GCTGTACAAGATATGGCCAATAAGCTGCTAAATGAGCGCGGTGCTGGCCAGGTTGGCAAGAACTGGCCATAGAACTTTGTTAAGCGGACTAATAAGCTTTAAACACGGTTTAATTAAAAGTATAATTACTAGAGAGCCCTATATAAAGATCTAAGGATTATTGCGCTATAGTTTAAGCTTATGCGTAATATAAAGGCGAAGTACGGTATTATAAATAATAACTTCTACAACTTTAATAAAACCGGCTTCTAGATAGGTGTTATTTTAATAGGAGTAGTTGTTACAGGCTCTAAGAGACAGAATTAACTAAAAGCTATATAACTAGGCAATCGCGAGTAGGCCACCGTAATTAAGGCTATTAATGCTTATAGGTAGGCAATCCCGCCGTTTATTATCCTTGCGGGCAAATACCACCTCTCTGTATAGTATAAGGGCAGTAATATACCGCTAGACTAGGCTATAGCAGTAAATAATAACGGCTAGATAATAAATAAGCTTAGTATTATATAGCTGCAATATTTTAATATGTATATAAAGGACCGCACCGTAGGCGTATATTGCTTGCTTATTTTAGATAGTTATAAAAGCTATAACTTACTTAAATTTAAAAAGCTTTATAAGGAGAATAATATTATCACGCTATATATGCCGCCGCATGCCTTGTATCTATTACAGCCGCTTAATATAGGCTGTTTTACGATATTAAAAAAAGCGTATAGTTGCTAAATTAAGGATCTAGCGCGCAACTATATTAACTATATTATAAAGCTTAAGTTCCTACTAGCTTTTAAAGCAGTATTTAATAACTTATTTATAAAAAGCAATATTTGCGCAAGCTTTTAAGGCGCCGGCCTTATACTGCTTAATCTAGAAGCAGTGCTTTTAAAGCTTAATATTATACTTTATACACCGTCGCCTTCTGCTATAGAGGCTTAATAGGAATTAAAAACACTAAGTAATACTTTTAAGCTAGGCTTTTAGTTAGCTTTAATTTATAATTATATTTAAATATATTAATATAGCTCTTCTACTATAATTCTTAAGTTGCTTAATTTGCTTATTAAAGGTGCTAAAATACAGATATATAGGGCTATATTATTGCGTAATTAGGTTATAAGCCTTTAAAAGGCGAATAAGGCCGCTATAAAGCGTAGAGAGCGCAAAAGAAAGCGAATTTAGAGGCAAAAAGTTCTAATAAAGGTATAGGGCTCTAATATAATCGCTTAAAAGGAAGCTAATAAATAAATTAAGGGGGAAATGCGTTAAAATAGGAGGCGCCCGGGTGGAAGTGCACGGCAGCAGGCGCGCTGCAGGCGCTGCAGCGAGACAGGATATAACTCTCGTACGTGTTAAAAAGATAAGGAAATTGTTATAGATTAGACTGCAGGTCGTATTAAGTTAATATCTATTAGCGTTGTAGAGCAATTTATATTTAATATTGCGATTTGCTTATAAAGTAGGCTACTTGCTTAGGTAGGCCGCTTGCTTATAAAGTACGTTATTAGATATAGAATAGAACTTAAGTAATCTAATTTCTATCTATTTATTCTTTATACTAATACAGTAATTATAAAGGCTTATATAGTAGTAATAGTGTTTAGAAAAAATGAAATAACTATAATATTTAAGTATATAACTATAGTATTTACTACTCTATTAGTAAATCTTTAACTATTAGATATATAGATAGATAGATAAAAACTTCTATATTATATATAACTTTAAGTAAAAAGGGTAAACCTAGTAGATATATATTAGTATATACTATAGTATATAATAACTATAGATAAGCCTACTTATTACCCCCCTTTTTGCTATATATTACCCCCTATTTTGCTGTATATTACCCCCCTAGATTTAGCCTAGCTCCGGCCCGTATTAATATTGTTCTACTAATTATACTTACTTATTTACAGCCTATACAAAGAATTATATAACTTCTAAAAGCGGAAAGCGCCTAAATAGTTACCTTTTAATTGCTAATTAAAAGGAACGCCGTATACACTATTATACTAAGGTTTTACACCCGAATATCCTTATACTACACCGGCTCCTTTACTACGAATAGCGTTCTTCTTAGAAGTAGATAGAGGGCTATTTTTAAGAACTAGTTAACTATTAGGGATTAAGGAAATAGAGCCCTTAGTTACTATTAAAGTGCCGGCTTATCTAGCGGAGAAATCCGGTGCTATACTAGTAAATTAAAACCCGTTATTAAACAATATTATCGCCTAAGCAATAGCCTAATTAGTGGAATAAAGTTATTATAAGCCGGAGCTAGGCTAAATCTAGAGGGGGTAATATATAGCAAAAAAGGGGTAATATACAGCAAAAAAGGGGTAGATATATAGTAAAAAGGGGAGTAATAAGTAGGCTTATTTATAACTATTAGCTTTATTAATAGCTAGGGAGTTTTATATTGCTAAATTTAGCGGTTCCTAGTACTATTTTATCTACTTTACTAAATTCTAACCCTTTTAACTACTTTTATTAATTAGCGTTAGCGTTCTATTTATAACACGTGTGTACTATACTAAAACCACCTGCTATTTATTGCGCTAGTATTATCTTTACCTAAAGGCTACTATACTATTATACTTAGAACTAAAAAGTAGGCAGCTCTTTTACCCGGATTTATAGCTAATAAAGAGTAGAAAGGTTTATCTCTACTTAATTAGCTATATACTTTTTTCTCTACTTTAAAGTCTTTCTTACGATCCCTATGCACTCTTCTATTATGCGCTATTATCTATTACTTTACTATCCTATAAGTATACAGAGTTCAGGCTAGATACTTATATAGACAAGTTAAAGATAAGAAGGTACAACTAATCCTCCCAATATTCCCCCACTTCCTTTATCGTTGCTTCACTTGGCTCCTCCTCCCTCTTCTCTGCCTTCACCAATTATACCATCCAGACACAACACTGCGATCGCTAAAGGTCCTTCGAGAACCTTACAAACAATAGCTGAATGAGTCGCGCAGACCGCATTTATAGTTTCGGCGGAGGTGATCGGCCCCTGAGAACCCCTCAGCAACACACTCCTGTCTGCTATACGGTATATAGTGTCCTGAACCCACCTCAAGTCTGAAAGGAACAACGCTGTACAAATAATACTAACTACAAATTCCGGATGCAAGGTATGCTCAAACAGAGACCCATCGGAAGGACCCGATATTATCGAGAAAGTCAGAGATTTGATGCCCATATCCATCCCTGTTCTTGACTGATGAAGTAATCGTCTGTGGAGCAGCCCTGATCAGAAAAAGAGTTGCTGAAATCACCGACGGAGCCGTTAAGGCCGTCGCTCGCCACTAAGAAAGGCTAAGTCAGCAGAACGAATGGAGAAAGACAGAAGCGTTCGTAAAGAGCAAGTGAAGAATTAACCTACTTAAACCAAGATCCATTAGAGCTTGAGTCATCGATGTGTCTTCACAAAAATCGAAATAGTTATCACCAGTGGTTTCGTAATCTGCCGAATGATCTGCCTCGTCGGCCGGCTGGAGATCCTCTTGGACTACGCGTTCCGAAGCCTGTGGTATAGTCAAATCGTTTGGATGTGTTAGTGACTGGCTCGCTGTGCGATCCTCTTCAATCGCCCTTGGTTCGTTCCTCGCTCCTTTGGTCGTAGGAACTTCGATTTCTAGCATCTTGTCCATCTCCTTCTTGAGCACAAGTTCAATCAACTTCTCCAGCACCTGCAGCCCCTGCTCCGCGACAATCGATTTGTTTTTCAGCTGTGTCTGTTTCTTCATTATGCTCCTCACGCCCATCTTACACTCATGACTATCTTTGCTAAGCGGATCCAAGCTCGTCATGATGGACAATGTAATTCCCGCCGTGAGTAGGTGCACGCAGATGAAAGCGAGCGCATACGTGTTGGACGCTTCTTTACATATTGGAGAAGATACAAGGTTGGAGATCTTGAGTGCCGCTTCTCTACATGCTTTGATGGAAGATTGGAATGGGTCGAGGGTTTGCGACGGGCTGTCATTGGTGGAGTCGCCTGGAACAACCATCTTGTAGGAGAGTAATGGCCTACGGATGAGAATCCTGGCATTTTCATACGCAAGCTGTAGTACAAGCGCTTGCACTCGGAAAAGGTGGTGTTCAAACGCCGTGTCATGAGGACTTGTGCTATGGTACGTTTCGGAAGAGAGATGATCTTGAGTTGAGAGCACACCGGAATCCTTCCATCTTAGTTCGTTCGGGAGGTCTGCGTGCCATTGCTGAAGGCGCTTGTCGAAATCTGTGACCTTGTAGATAAGGCATTGTAGGCGCGACGTGTTTTTCGAAGCTGAGGTCGCTTGTTTTGTCAACCCTTGATTTGTGCTGTAGAGGTCGATCAAAGCATCCTTCACAATGACCGAGAGCTTTAACGTTGCGCTTTTGTACGACAGGAGAGTCGTTTCGAAGGGCATTTTGCCCTCTACAGAACTCGAGGACCGGTCATGTGGATCCATCATATCAACATCGCAATCGCGGTCGGAGATGCTAAGAGGGAAGCCGTAGAGCATGGAGCAGAACGTTTCAACTTCGTATACAGCCCACCAGCAGCGCTTTCTTACTTCTTCAGCCTGTCTATTGAGCACATCCTGTGCTGCTGTCTTCCGGTGCAGGTTCAGTGCTTGAGCTATACGTAAACCACACCCGCAGATTGGCCAAGCGGATTCTGGCTCTCCATGATAGAGATAGTAGCTGCCAAGTAGTGTGCAAGTCTGCACCGCCTCTATGGTTCCTAAGGCAACAATGTCGAGAAAACTTGTCCTTAAGGCGGTAAGAATGTTTTCTTGCAAGGCTTGCGGCTCCACTCCACAAGCAACGAGGCTTCGTTTCTGCTCCTCTCCTACGTAATGTAGGCTAATCGCAAAGACAGCCAAAAGCACATTCATGAATCCGAATTGGGCGCTGTTGGGTGTCGGATGACTGCTGGTGCTGTTATAGAGACCTCTGAACTTCTTCCTGAAGTCATCTTGGTGGAACACGAGCGTAAACCAATGGATCCGGTCGAAATAGGTCTCCACAAGGAATTTGGCGGGCTCAAGCGGTGGGAGCGTTAACAAGAGCTTCATAGTTGCCGCATTTGAACCTTTGCAGCGCTGCCCTCGTCTGCCGGCGCCGTTGAGCGAGCTGACCGTTTCGATGGGAGTCGTGGTTTCGTGACGCTGAAAAGCTTCTCTTACAAACGTGACTGCTGAACTCGAATTGAAGGATGCTTCAGTTGGCGAAGCAGACAAGGGAGCTCTGTCTGCAGTCGTAGATGGGACGCTTTCAAGGCGCGCTGGGGTCATACGGCGACGCTTCAAAGGCCTAGCACATTCGGCATCATCTCCCTTCTCTCGTACTTTGGTCGATAGCTGCTCGGGATGGTGTGGTCTCCAGATATCAGGCTCGACAGCGGTACAGCGAGCATCTGAGCGGACACAAAGGGTACACGGCCGCTGTACGTCACACTGATAGCTTGTCGTTAATATGTGTTTGGAAGAGTTATAGAAGGGAACTGACTTTTAGCTTCTGCTTCCGGCACCGTTCACATGCTTTTGGAACCTTCTTTGAGTCCCCTTCCTTTAGGACGAAAGGCGTAGTGGAGAGAGAGTTCATCCGGGGGATCTGTTAATCTCACCATCGAAGCCTCCTAGTAAGAAAGCAATGCGGCCTAAGGAAATGGAATGAGCAAAACAGGTGTGCATCCTGTGAGGCGAAAGAATCGCATGTACATAGGATTAGAGGCGTGCCGTTTTGCGCAGTAGTTTGTTCCATCGGCAGCCCTTACTGTATGCAGTAATAGCCTCCGATCACGAGGAGGCGACATGATTCGTCGTGTTCAATGGCTCCGATGCAATAGCTCCGATGCAATTGCTCCACATGTTTTCATGTCCACCGGAAGACATTTCCTTTATCGACCTGTCAATAGGGTGATGCTTGCTGAAGATTCATTCACGTTGTCGTAGAATGTTCCTATATAAAGATCCACTTCCACATGGTAGGATGTGTTCACACAGCATACAGCTAGAAACAACCATCCCACGAAAGTGTTCAACTTTATCAATACATCCTTCGCAGCTCATTCTTGTTATCTTATTCTCTACAAGATGTCGAACACTATCACAGTCACCCTCTTTCAACTCGCAAAGATGATCGACCACTCTCTTCTCCATCCAACAATGACAGACGCCGACATCCTCGCAGGCATCGCCATCGCAAAACAGTACAACACCGCCACGGTCTGCATCAAGCCCTATCTGATGCCGTTGGCGAAAAAGGAGCTGGAAGGCACGGACGTCAAGATCTGCCCTGTCATCGGCTTTCCCCACGGAAACAGCACCACCGAAGTAAAAGTCTTCGAAGCACGCGCCGCTGCCGCTGCAGGCGGGCAGGAAATTGACATGGTGATTAATATCGGCAAAGCCTTGGGCGGCGATTGGGCCTATGTCGCCGATGAGATCCGGGTTGTCAAAGATGCGGTTACGAAACACGGCGCTGTTCTCAAGGTCATTTTCGAGAACGACTACCTCACTGACGAAGTCATCATTCGTCTGTGCGAGATCTGCTCAGAGATCGGTGTTGCGTTTGTGAAAACCAGCACGGGATATGGGTTTGTGAAGCAGGCGAACGGGATGTACTCGTACAAGGGAGCAACTGTCCATCATTTGAAGCTCATGAGGGAGCATTCGAAGCCCGAAGTTCACATCAAGGCGGCTGGAGGCGTGCGAACTCTGGATGATCTGTTCCATGTCATCTCACTAGGATGCTCTCGGATTGGCGCAACTGCGACGGTCAGCATTATGGAGGAAGCGGTGAAGAGGGGGATAACGGATGAGCCAACGATGGTGCAATTCAAGCCTATGGATAGCACTCTACTGGGAGTTATTGAATTGTAGAAATTTCGGCAAGGAAGAATCTTACTCGTAGGGGAGCAGCAACTGGATGAAGGCTGAAGTGAAGGCTGAGAAGGAGTGGTAATAATATCAAACTTATGAATCTTGGATTGTAGAACCTTTTGAATACTATGCAGATGTGCAAGGTCTCGTGAAACGACACCAATAGGTAGTCCGATGACGCTGGTTTTAAATCGTCGCGTTCTGGTTTGGATTAGGTTTGATAGCTTCAACATTGCTAGAGCTCGAAGGCTTGCGTTTCTAGTGATAAATCTAGATAATGTATGTGGAAAATCAAAGCCCATGCGTCTTCGCGGGCATCCTGCTTCAAATGTATATACCGAAAAGCTAACGCCATGCAATGCTGATTTGGGTATTACTCCGAACGTCTTCCAAGCAATAAGAAAAAAGAGCCTAGAAACGCGTCAACGTCAACGTAAACGATCATACTGGACTCCTGTGGGCTTGATGTCCCAATTCCTTTAGAGATCCTCCAGATCCAAAATATAAACCTCATTTAAACCTAGATTCTACCCCCTTCAACAAACTCTCTCCCGACAAGTTCTAACTCACCAGTCTCAGCGGTCCGCCTTCGTTCTAGCACCCATCGGTCACTCCCACTCTCGTCCTGCTCGCGCACGTACGTCACGCTGTCGGCAGTGCTGCCTTTGCGGCTGTGTGATGGCTTCCAGCCTCCACTAGGAGTCATGGGGCTTGTGGCGGAGATTGGCGATGTGAGACTGAGAGGCTGACTCGGAAGTGGGGCCCCAGACAGAGGCATAGAAGGAATATGTTCTACAGGATGGAAGAAAGACGTAGAGAGGCTCAAAGGAGGCGGTACGCCTTTGTTCTGGTAAACGTTTGGGTTACCCATGGATTCTGAGCTACCAGGGGGACTGGACAAGACATCGTAATTCGAAGCTGTCAAAGTTGGGCTGTCATGGTATCTCTCTGGTTCCTCGCCGTCCTGCTCTCCATTGTTCCCATAGTCTGAGTCCGAGTCTTCGTCGACGGCGTTCACAGCGTCCAGAGCTTCATCGTAATCCTCCTCCTCATATCCAGCATCGTTGACTTCTTTGTGGACCGGCGCATCATCACTATCAACGTCTCTGTAGAATGTTTGGGAATTTGCCATTGGGCTCGCGCCACGAGGATACTGCGGAAATGCCACTGGACTGGAATTCCGAGGGGATGTGCCGGATGAGCTGCGCAGACTTCCATTGCTACCACCAAACGCACCCCTCCTCAGTTTCATAAGCTGGCTGAGGCTGATATCTGGATCGTCGTCGGGAAAGCCGTAAGGGCTCATCCTGGCTAGCTGCGCAATGCCGGGGCTAGGAAGCCCTTGGTCGCCGTGTCGGAAATGGTTGAGACTGATGTATGAATTACGCGTGCTGTACTCGCTGCGCTCAGTGATTGGCGTTAAGTTGGGTTCGCGCACTGCGTTCCGACCACTAACGCTCCGTCCTAGAGCACTTTGTCCAAAGTATCCACCGTTGGCGAACTGAGCCTCACCCTGAGCAGACGCATAGAATCCGAATTCCTGACCGTAGAATCCGTCGTCATCATTCGCCAGCGCTTCGGCATTGGCAGCTGCTATCATGGGATCGTCTTCCAAAGCACTGTCGTAGTCACTGTAATCGTAATTATCATCATCGATGAAGCCGGAGCCGGCGCCATATTCCGACGGAAAGCCATACGTTTCTTGGCTGACCCGGCTGTCGTCAGGAATGAGACTTGGCTGAGAGCCATGACTATTTGAGTCTTCGTCATCCTCCATGCCAGACCGGCTGCCCAAGTCCACGCTTGCTTGTCGCTGGAAACGACCATCGGCCTCGGCTTTGTGGGCTGCGTCTGCTAGGGCGCTGTGGTATGCTTCGAGATTCATGAAAGTTGGAGAAGACTGCTGGCGGGCCTTGGATGTATGGTGAGTCAAAGCAGGACCCGAACGGCCAAGAAAGCTTGACAGCTCAGCTTCTGTACCATGAATTGCGGGCTGGCCAACAACAGAGTTGTTCTTGGGGATCGTAAGTTTTAGTTGGTCGTTTTTAAGATCTGTAGACGGCGGTAACGAATAGCGTAGCGGCCGCTCGTAAAGGGGATGTGATGGATCATCAAATATATTCTCGTCGAAAGTGTCTCCGTCACCGGGCGAAGGAGGTTCGATCATGCCGTCGTCGAAGTACAAATCATCCCCAACAGTGTTGTCGATCATACCATTGGCCGTCATCGAGGGAGCACCAGTTTTACCAGGGGTTGCAGCAGGTGTGACCTCAGATGGCTCGTTTCTGACATCGCTCTCGACGTCAAGAAGGCCTAAGCCCTTTGCTTCTGATATTGGGTATGCTGATCCTCCAAGATGCTGGCCAGGAGGGGGTAGGTGAACGTTTAGAGGTGTATGATCAGAAAGAGCGAAACCAATAGCATTGCCCTCAGCATCGCGGGGGGTTTGCACAATGTCTTCGTCGGTGATGTTCGGAATGGCGGGACTTTCAAGTGGTAGGCGGAGGGATGATAAGTCAAATGCAGCGATTCCTGGAGACATTGTGTCCATTTCGTCATAGTCGTCTCCACCCACCATCGGAATGTCTTCGTCGAAGTCATTATCCATGTCGTAGTCATACATGTCTTCGTCGTAGTCATCCTCAAAGGTGTTGGTGGATAGACGGGCCTGTTTTGACGCTTTTTCGGCAGCCTTTTGCTTATGCCTCTCCTCTAGAAGTCTTTCCTGCGCAGAGTCGTTTCCAGATATTTGAAAACTGAAGCGCGAGGACTTGCTGGTGAGGTGAGCGGGTAGCCCGGCAGGCACAAACGAGGGATCTGTAACTGAGGTTGCTCGCGAGCGGGACGATGGAGGTGTTTTTGTAGAAATCCTCTTCCTGGGTGTGCGTTCCGGGGAAGTCGGGCTCGTCGGACTGGTAGACTCCTGAACTGGGGATAACATCGACGATTCAAATGACTCAGGCGGCGGTACATAGCTGTCCGGAAGTGCTGGAAGAGGCGGAGGTCGGGAAGTAGGCAGCGGAGAGTTTTTGGCTACAGGAGGAGGAGGGGGCGGCGAGCGAGAAGGTGGAGGCGGCATTGAATTTCTAGCCACGAAATCACGATTTGCCAGAGTTTCTGCACGGACAGCGGCCTGTGAGGCCTCGAGACTCAATGACTCATCAAAATGTTCGCGAAATACAGGTGTGTGTTCTCTTTCTACTTTTGGCGGGCTGTAGTCTCCAGATGATTGTCTGGTGTGTGCCGGTCCACTCTGATTGATCTGCAGATGCCCTGCCTGGTCAGCGTCCCTATTGGTATTACTGTAAGCATCGTTGTAGGAGAAGTTTCTTCTTGGTCTAGGTGCGCTAAAATCATGAACGACGTTTCCTCTAATCCTTGGATCGTAGCCGTCCGGTAACGTCATGGCGGGAATCACTTGGCTTCGATGGGTGACCAAGGACTCGTCCGAAAGAGTGTCGATTGTCTGACCTGTGCGGCGTCTCATCAGAAGAGACATGGGATTCCGCAGGTTGAGTCTAGACTTCACTGGCTTTTGTGAGTGGGCTGTAGAAGCGGACGTCGAAGCCTTGGATGAGCTCGACTGCTTGTCGTTGTATCCGACATGGAGGGAAGATTGCGACTGGGAGTGAAGTGCATAGCTGTTTGAGGGCGCCAACGTTGCTACTGCGGGCACAGAGTAGGGATCTCCATGCCCTTCAACGCGAGTCCGGTCTTGAGGTGGCTGTCCGGCAGCCCTATACCCAGTAGGAGCATCGTCATGCTTTGAAGAGCCCCACTGACTCCCCTGGCTCTGCGGAAGTGAATCGTACGAGACCGTCTGCATTGCTGGACGCAGGCCTCTGCCCTGGCTTATGTTCTCCCGTGATCCTGCCTCTGCTGGGTGTTCACTGTGCCCCGGGTATGCAGTCGAATTGGACGTAGGTAGCGGGGATGGGCCATACTGCGAAGCCACACGTGGTATTGGAGGTAGGCTCGGAGGATACGGCGAGACAGGAGAGGCTGACTGCAGGTTTGGCGAGGGGGAGAAGTGCTCGGGCGACTGCAGCGGGGAGAAATGGCTGCTCGCTGGGGCGTTGGCAGCGTCCGGCGAGGTCGGGTTGGAGGCATTGCGCTTGTGGTGAGGGCGAAGGTAGGAAAACATATTCGAAGGCGCCATAAAAGAGTCCTAGACGCGCAAATGCCACTGTTCTCCCGCTTGCTTCTGCCTGCCGCGGAGCCTGTACAGTGGTGCGGTCAGCGACCGTCACGGCTCTCGCCGAGGCCAGCGACAGGCAGTGACCATCGGCCGGCCGGCCCTGCGCCAGAGAAGGCTGTCGAGGCTGCCGATGCCGTGATACCTTTGTAGGATCTTGCTGGGCGCGGTTCCGATGCTGCACCAGCGGGAAGGATGCGGGCGACCTTCACAGGCAGGGCGCGTGGGGCGCGTGCAGCGGGACAGCGCAGGCTGGAGGGGGGAACTGTCCGGTAAGCAGGCCACGACAGAGAGACCGCTGGGCGCACACACGAAGCATTCAATTGTCGCAGGTCGTGGATATCGTGAGTCGTGAAATTGTTGGCGTCGTCTCATCCCCAGGATAGGAATAGCCACCAATGAGATGCTTTGCATGCTCGAGGTGGGAGCTGGCCAATCATCGCCCTCGAAACCAGCGTATTTCCACGGTTCTGCAATTGCCTGGACTCGACGTGAATATGCCGTGCGCTATTCTTACACGTTGCCGCTGTCGGGGCCAGCCCCAGCTACTTTGCTCACTGCCACGGAAATGTCCTGTGTGCCGAGACTTGCAGCTTTGTCGTTGTTTCACTTGCGTACGTGCGTACCTACAGCGGGGCAGCCGAACGGGGAGTAGCGTCTTGGCCATAGCCTCAATTCTAGCAGCTTCTTCCTCGACGTCTCCCCGAACTCTCGACCCTCTTAAATGCGCCCTCGCCCCGATTCTGCAGGCCGCAGCAGAACTCGGTCTTTGTCGTCCGCATTGAATTGCCAAAGGTAAGCGGCTGAAATCTTTTCTACCTCGGTTCGAATGATGAAACAACAGCTGGCACCAGGCCTAGAAGACTTGTACTCTTTTGATGCGGAAAATGCTTGCGGGGAGCAAAGTCTCCTTTCTGACTTCTACTCTCTATCTCCATTGATTAAGCACCTTGTTATGAGATTCGGAGGCTAATCGCGATCAAATCTCAGCATAGATCGAAAGAGTTTTCACCGGCAGACGCCCCGCAACGACCCCTCCGGCGTGCACCATGGTCCTCCACAACCCCAACAATTGGCATTGGGTCAACAAGGATGTTTCTCCATGGGCCAAGGAGTTCCTCGAGAAGGATCTGACAGACCTCTCGGCCGAAGGTGGTGGCGTGTCTGCAAAGATTGACAAGGTCGTCAGCATGGACGGAGACGTCGATGTGAGCCAGCGGAAGGGCAAGGTGATCACCCTCTTCGATGTGAAGCTGAAGCTGGAATACTCTGGTGAGTAGGGCGTTTGTCTCTGCCGTCTAGTTACGCTCGGCCTGCTGCGCCTCGGCTCTTGCTCGCACAATTGAATTATGACTGATTTTCTCCATTAGGCAAAACAAAAGACGGGGAAGAAGCCAGTGGTACCATCACGATACCGGAGGTGGCACATGACACGGAGGAAGATGAGTACGTCGTACGTTCCCTTTCCGCTGACCCCTCAATTCGCTATCCGAGGAGTTTGATTTTTTGATCGCTAATCGGCCGTTCTTCAGTTCGATATAGACGTATACTCCGACGCTAGCAGCAAACAACCTGTCAAAGATCTTGTCCGCGCAAAGATCGTTCCTCAACTGCGCGAACACCTCCAGAAGCTTGGCCCTGCCTTGATTGCAGAGCACGGGCGTGATATCCAACATGCCCCGGGTGATGATCCGTCCACTGGTTGGGCTTCACCAAAAGTCTACTCGAGCTCCTCAGTCAACAAATCAGCCTCGGAACCCAAGTCATCGTCGGCGCCTACGACCCAGGGAGGCTCATCCGGCCCGCACGTCAACGTGACTACTCTAGAGGAGAGCACCGAGTTCCGTACTACTGCTGCCGAGCTTTACAAGACATTCACCGACCCAGCTCGTATGGCTGCTTTCACTCGCTCCCCACCCAGCGTGTTCACTGGTGCTGTAATAGGAGGTCGCTATGAACTCTTTGGCGGCAACGTATCTGGAGAGTACACAGTGTTGGAGGAGCCGACCCACATCGTACAGAAGTGGCGTCTGGCGCAGTGGCCGCAGGGCCACTACTCTACACTATCCATCCATTTCGATCAGAACGACGTCGACTCTGTCACTGTCATGCGAGTCGAATGGAAGGGCGTCCCCATCGGCCAAGAAGAGCCGACCAAGCGAAATTGGGGAGAGTACTACGTGCGAAGCATCAAGACGACATTCGGATTCGGAACGGTTCTATAGACCACCGCAACCATGTCTAGGGCGGCGTAAGATTCTCACTGGCGTACTTGGGCGACGGCGTGATGATGGATGAAGCATCAAGACTTATGCAAAGATTTTAGAGATAACCATACTCAACAATCCAGCAATACGATAATTGGGTACTCAAGAGCGTTGAATTTGTAAGTGAAGGTCGGACCTCTGAAATCGTAGGTGCATACTGCTACCGATGAACCGTTCTTCCAAACTAATGATCAGCTTGGTGGCTTCATTTTGTCAGCATGAAGACTCTTTCAAGGTTCTGCATTGTGCGACCCAAAATCGGTAGTTCGCATGCGCAAATGACAAAGCATTCAGAGTCATCCAAGCCTTCCAAAATACAACTCCGCAGCGTGACCGAGTTTCTCAGATGTATCGTTACCTCGAGAGCAATAACGATAATTAGAGGCACGGAACTCCGATATACATTGTAGCTTAGGAGGTTGACTGCTGAGCATCGCGTCAGGCCTGCTTAATGAGCTGAATTCTCCATCACTTAAATATATAGACGTAGCTATGCATAGTTGTAATGAACATTCAATTAATCAACAATCGTCTTCCACAATTTCAAACCTCATCTTGACTTCAAATCTATCTCGTATCATAAACCGCATCGTCCGCAGAAAATATGAGCTCCAGAGTTTCTCAAAAAGGAGGCCTCACAAGCCGACATCTTCATCCAAGCAACTGGCGACAACAGAGCCGCCGTCTTTGCCCTCTAGAAGGCACCACGCTCAACCCCAACCACAACTCCATTAACGCCAGCGACCGCCCCGTCTTCATCCAGATCTCAGGCGCCAGCAATGTCGCCCACACCGTTTTAGGCGAGACCTCGCCGCGCGTTTGGAGCGATTTCGCGGATTAGGACGACCTCCTGAAGCTCGACCAGACGCGCATCAGCGTCAAGACTGACAATGCTATCCGCAAGCTCTCAGAGGAGAAGAACATACGCTCTCTTACCTCCTACGCTCTCGCCAAACGTGCTTCTCGGCCGCGGCCTCGGCGCGGAGAAGGCCGAGATATTCCCGAAGCTGCAGTACGAGAATGTTCCCAAGAACGGCGCTGCCTTTCTACGTGGTAAGGGGGAAAACGTCTGGAGCTCGATGTCCATCGAAGATCTCGGCCGCGCGTGCATGTTCTTCTTGGAGGAAGCACAGAAAGGGGACAAATGTAGGCTTCGGTTACGGCAGAATGGGTATTACTTCATTACGGCGTTTGACCTCTCCGCGGCGGATAGAACGAAGGCGTGGGAGCAGAGGTTGTATGCGCAGAGGCTGATTTCGACGCCAGAAGTGCAGGTGAAGACAATTGAGGAAATTGGGGCGCGGTTTGGCCCGTTTGAACCAGTTCTTGCGGCAAGCAGCTCGTTGATTAGGGCGGATAAGTTGAGGAAGCTGGGGTGGGACCCTGTGGATTTCGATTGGGTTAGGCTGGTGCAGGAGGCGCCGGGGGCGAGGTGTTAGGCTGGGTCGGTTGCTTGGAGGTGGCTGTATTTTGCACAGTAGAATAGATACGCAAGCTGAGAGAGCATATTGGGGCTCGAGATAATGTTTGAGTGTTGTAAGATGCGAGAGAGACATAAGCTCGCCGCTTCATCTCCCCTCTTGAAGCCTCGTCTTGGTTCTGGCTTGCAATTATCTTGTAAAATGAGCTCTTCGAGGTTGCGAAATAAGTAGGGCAAAGTGGATTAGAAGAGACCGAAGCTTCCGTGAAGTATATCTGTATGGTAGAGGAGAAAAGAATCAGTGACTTTAGGTTGTTGGAAGAAGAGAAGGGTCGACAGATATGGCCTAGTTCTAGCGAATCAGCCCCGATTTGGTTATTCTAGATGACGCTTGGCGATTCCAATGCCCTGGGCCCACGCCGGCCAATTTCTCTCCCCCTTTCTTCCTCTTCGTTGATCATCAATCTTTCACTGACACCACACGTACCATTGACGTCTCCATTTCGTAAGAAGTGTTTCAATTGCTAGATCCCAGTCGTAGCAAGGGTGAGCGCCGCAAGCACAATATTCTAGGACGGCCGTCTTTCTCTGCTACCTTCACAAACTAGCCATGCTGCCCTGGACAGCAAACCATTCAATCAAACTACGTAGTATGATGTTTAATGTTCCGAATCTCTGTCTCGGTCAAATGGTACCTTTATGGTCTCTTCCTTCTCACTTTCTACCTTCTCTTTTGTCCTTCTATAATTTCATTCAACGGTAACTGGATTTATTGCATTGTCTTCAAAAAGAGAATTTGCTCGTGAATGCACACGCACGGTTATATCCGCTCCGCAGTAGAAAAGCTACTTTAGTCTACCTGGCCCGAGCGGGATACTCTCAAAGAAATATACTATGGTAACCCTCTGGAGACGTTGTCGCCTTTCGATCTTACGAAGACAGGCAGGGGCTGGACCACTATTACACGCTAGCCTGTGATGCCATATTGGACTCGATTCCTGGACATTGCCTTTCCACACAACAAGATCTTCTGTATACCGACCACACCAACTGGCTCTATTTGCAGAATGCTATTCCTAGAGAGGAGAAGTCTTATCTACCCCCATGACTATGCTTGGACCTCTTCCCAGGAAACCAACAACCCGCCCAAAAACATTTGGAGCGAGCTCGGGAAGAGCTACAATTCAGATTGCTCGATGCCTGTAAGTCTGGGGTACCTTCAATCCCGGATGACCACCAGCTGCGAGCTCACCGGTGACCTCCATATAGCCATGTGGAAGAGCGCTGCTAGGTCTAGTCGTGCGGACTGACTGTACTCATGATGAGTGCTTGCTCGACTTTGTGGCAATAGATTGGGATCCCGCCGCCCCGTGGGTTCGGAGCACCAGGATGGCTTACCACCTTGCAATGGTTGTGTGCCAGGGCAGGGTGTGCTAGAGCAGCAGCCTGCACGGTGGAACCTTATTGGCCGGGCCTATAAGGCTGTTCTTCTGGCGGTGGACTTTGTCCTGGATCTGGGAACAGGACAAACGTGATACGTCACTTTCTTGCATTCATGTAGCGGGTACTCTCATAGAGCCCTGAAAAAGGCCTCGAAGGTGATTCTGGATGGAAAATATCTGAAGCTTGGACAATTTCTGCCACAGCTCGAGTTGTGTGTATGGCCATCATTCTGCGTGGTTACAGTACTGAGGATTGGGCAACTGGGGGAGGTTGATCGTCTTGACAAATTGATAGTAGACGTTTTGATGACCTGCGCGAAATTCCTGTATTCCAAACGTTCTTTAAAATAGAGCAACTTGTTCTGAGCAAGGCACAGATAGCGCTCCTATGATGCGTATTGGCATACACAGCCGATAAATGCTTTCTTTAGGGGGCGTCTGTTGTAGCCACTGCCGGGGTGGAGAAGACCGGGCTGCGCTCGAATCCCGCCATGTCGGATCCGGATCTCTTGTGCAAATGTTCCACTTATGTGTGTGCTCACCAGCGGTCTGGGGTCTTACCTCTCGTGCCATTCTTAAGATATGGCCCTGCTGAGCTGTAACACTCAACGCCGTATTCAGGCCACGTTCGATTGTGACTCTTTTTCGTAACGGCAGCGCCTTTGAACCATTCATTGGAGAACCTGACCGTGAGCGAGCCGGATGACTTCTTGCTAGAGAGACAATCGTATGTTGAAAATGCATTGTGCCATCTGGTTGACGGGTTTGAGCTGACTTCGGGACGCCGTGAACAGGAGTGATATTGCACTTCTTGCGCAATGGGAAGAAGCAAGAGAGAAATACTCATCAGGTGATTTTCGAAAGAAACTTGGAGTTGCTGGCATAGTAGCTGCCTACATGCCTAGCCAGTTACAACTTCTACAGAGAGTGGTTGTGGTACGGTGGCCTACCGTGCCTACCGTGCCTACTGCTGTCTCTAATTAGTGCTTCTGCCTACGCGTACAGTCACTTCCTACGTAGTATATAGTTTGGCCTTCGGGCCCCCGAAATAAGACAGAGTTCACGTCAATTTGCAACCTGAGTAAGAATGAACGGCTTGAGATCGAAAAGTTCAAAACGCCGCAAGATCTTCTCGAGTCGCTGAGAGAGCTAGGAGAGCAGTACAACGACCATCTAGCCACGAGACTGATCCGTCAAAATGATCCCACTAGTTCGCACGCTTGGCACCTTTGCAGGGCTGCTGGCTACAGCTCTAGCTATCAGATCTTTCAGCACGAGATATCCGTTCGAAACAACATTACTCTGGGGATCGTTGCATCTCGCTATCAAGGCTGGTTTTCCAACACAACGTATAGGTTATGAAGTGAGATCTTGTTCGCTAAGAAGGAGCATCTAGGGCGCTGTTCGTGAGGCGGAAAAATCGCGCGAGGCGCTTGAAGCCACAGTGGAGATATTGAAGAGAATTCGTCCACAGCTACGACTTCTGTCGAAGTCCTTCGACAGACAGGCAGATCTCAGGCAGATACGCCAAGAGCTTGTGGATATGTTCATTGCTTTGATCAGTTTCTAGACCGAAGCAGTTCGCAGATTTCGCAGTCCACCCATATGTGAGTATTGCGCACGCCTCACTTGCTCTCACTTATGCTGTGTCAGCTACGAAAGATCTGAATGAGAGGTTTGCCATGACATTCAACAGGTTGAAAGAGTCAGTCGAAATGATCGAAAGGCTTTCCGATAAGACAAGCCAGATTATCCGACCCGATCGATTCTCAGACTTCTCTTCAATGTACGAGGAAAAGTACGAGATTAAGACCACATTTCCATGTCATGCAGGACTGCCAGCATTGAACCTGTACTTCAAATGTCGTGCAGCCGAGCTTTAAGAAATGAAAGCATTCTTCCAAGGCAGTGCTCCAACACATGAACTTCGGTGCTGCGTCATCTATGGACTTGGAGGGGTGGGAAAGTCAGCATTGACCCTTGCTTTTGTCGGAGACTCCGTAAAAGAATGCAAGTACGATGCAATCCTTTGGGCGAAGTCGCAAAGACCAGCCGATCTTCGAGTCATTTGCAGAGATTGCACGACGGCTCGAATTGCCAAAAGGAGATGAGAATGGCCCTGTTCAGAGTACGAAGAATTGGCTGAGCAAAACAAGTACGTCGGTCTCCTTTTCCAAAATACATTGCAACTAAATCGTCTTAAAGCGAGATCTTGGCTTTGCATTTTCGACAACGTCGACGACATCAGAATGTCAACAGAAGACCACTTCCTTCCGTGGAAAGGCGATATTATCATCACCACGCGCTACAAAGATCAGGCCAAAAAAGTCTCCGACCACTCACATAGTGTGCCACTTGAGGTTTCGGCGAAGACGACGCTCTAGAGGTGTTCGCTACGATGAGAGAAAGATATAAGGTCACCTTACAACCTCCGCACACGGATTCCTGGCAGCTGGATGCACCCCCTAGTGCGTAAGAACTAGTGTATTTGATACTGTACTAGAACGCTACTGCTACGCTGCTGCTACGCTCCTGTCACTTCTCCTTGTTTCACCATGTTCCACTCCTACCGTCTTCCAACTATATAGCCACTCGCTAGAACCTCAATACAACTCATGTCTCCCTCACTGATTCTCCCTTCCTACGCCAGCTACCAATTCCGAAGAGAAAGCATTGAAAAGTTTGCTCAAGCACTTTAGTGGACATGCCCTTGGACTCGAACATATGACGGTATACATTGCTTACGAGGATATCTCATACAAAGAATGTTTGACCAGATACGAAAAGAAAACTCGAAATCTACTTCGCTTTGAGGATATGTTGAACGAGCTCACCCAGCATAATCTGGCAACGCTATGGAACATCCATTTTGAGACTCTGAGTAAGGATCCAGTTGGACAATCCGGGTTGCGCCCGCTTTCTGTATTATCGCTCTTGACTCCAGAGAACATCCCATTCGAACTGCTCGAAGCCGATGATAATGTATCATTGCCAAAAGATTACGACGATCTCTGTAAGGATGAGAACGAGTATGTTAGTAAATGCCCTTACACGAATGTATATTAACATATTCCAGATTTGAGGCCACCCGCGACCTATTAGTGAGACTGGTGCTCATAAAGAAGCACGAGCATTCCCTCTCCCTCCATCGGCTCGTGCAAAAGGCATTTTATTTCAGCCAATCCGGAAACAAGACCAATCCGCGACAAGAAGCGTTTAATACTGCTGTGAAACTTGTGAACGCAAAGTTTCCTAAGACGGGTGGAGTAGCAAGCCTTTATGAACACTGGGAAGAGTGTGATTCTTGGCGGAATCACTAGGAGTTCGTCAGATAGATTGAAGTGAACATGAGTTTATATTGTAGTGAACGTGCGAGCTTATATACGTAATTGAAAGGAGAGTAGCGTGACTGTGTGTAGCTACGTAGTGCGGAAGTTGATGCCGCAGCTACATACTCATACGTACTGAAGCCGTATAGATCTACGCTTACTGTGGATGTAGAGGCGGAGGTGTATGCCGAGCCAATAGATCATACAGATCTACATGAGGATCTACAGGTCAAAGCTGCAGAGGAATTCCAGCAGTCAGAGTGTTCCCGATTACTTCCGCACTGCCAGTGTCTTGCTACATCCTGTGTCAGACAGGAGTCTACACGTAAGCATGACCGTCTCGCGATTTTGCCGGATTTTGAAGAGCTACTGAAGAATTGCGCATGGAATTTGTACGAGATCAGCGAAAGCCCCGAAAGCCTAACTTTGGTAGAAATCGCGCAGCGCGCGTGTACGGATAAGAGCAGTCTTCTTTACTCCCAGCTATGTAACAACGCCGGCTGCGTTGACTTCGAGATGAACCGGAATGTGGCATGCTACGAAAACCTTTCCAAGGCTTTGGAGATTCGCCTGAACCTATTGCCACACGATCACCTTGATATCGCCAACACGTATCGCAAACTATCACTCCTCAGTTGGCGAAGCCCAACTGGCTGTTGATATGCACAACAAAGTCCTTGACATCACGGGCCCGGGCTCAGGAAGGAAGCCTACATACAGGGATCTCTCCCATTTGGGGATAGACAAGGCTTTCCTTGTTGGGGGAAAATTGGACAAAGCAGGGGCTGAATATTAGAAAGCTAGACTTCTCTTCGAGCCCATGGCGGCATCTGTCACTAGCTCATGGCTATGTATGTCTCGGTGTTATTTGATGAAAGCAACAAGACTAACATTTTGGGCAGCTACCACTTTGATCTCGGGAATTTGGAATATGCCTGGAAAATCTGATTCAAGCTCGGGACAACTTCGACCACGGACATGAGCTTGTCAAGAGTAAGCCAAAAAGTATGCTCAGGGCAGATATGCTCTACAAGCGTGCATTTGTGCAGACCCATCTTGGTCAATACGGGAAATCACTGTAAGTGGACTCTCCCTCCCCTCCCGCCTTCTCCCTCTCGGCCTATTAAATAAATGCTGACCCCCACGAAAGGTACGACTTACGCCTGGCTATTGCAATCGCGGAAGATCGTAAGGTGACTGGTCATGTTGCTCGGTCAATATGGTGGAAAGCGAATGTGGTTGAGAGGCAACCAGTTCACGAACGTTTGAAGGAGAACGATATCCGCAGTTTGAAATTGCGGGCTGAGATACTGAAAGCAGCAATCTTAGAAGACGGAAGCCTGGGAAATTACCTGAAAATCTGACGGAAGAGGAAACGTACGATAGGCTAACTTGCTTATATCATCGTTGATTACAACTTGTAAGGTATAGCATAATTTGCGTTGTCAATAGTATTTGTCTAGGTACGATGGGTGTGACGAGGGCGAAGAGGCACTGGACAGATTTTGAATCTCATTACGACTACGAGGCGTTGAGAGGATAGAATCTGTATCCAGCTATCGTGAGATCGTAGATTAAACATATGAATGAGATGCGCTCCGACGGGCGTCAATGTGCTGAGAAAGAAGACCCAAAATGGCCCTTGGTATTCAAAGTCTAGTCAATTAATGAACCGCTATTGAACGTCGTCCTCATGCAATATCCTATCAATGCCCAATTCGTGTTCAAGGTCGCTGTCTTCATCATCGCCTTCTTCCTCTCCCTCGTCTTCCTCGTACTCCACGCCATCCCCCGCCATCTCTGCCGCCTCGGCATCATACATTCCCTCTCCCTCAGCCCTCGCCCTTGCCCCAAGCACCCTCCCACCACCACCACCGCCCTCCTCGCCGCCCTGTTCTCGTCTCACCAGTTGCTTTTCTGACTCCCCAATCGTCCCCTTAACCTTCAATGCATCTACCCACGCTTGCTGCACTTCTAGTCCACGTGGATCGGTTTGATAGTGCCACAATCCGTTCCTCGCACAGAACGCCAAGAAAGCGGTCCAGTTTTCGTCTTTCGTCAGCACTTCCGGATTGCCGATAACGATGAGGCCATGCTTGGCGCGAGTAAGAGCGACATTCATGCGTTTTGGCATGTTGACGAGGCCGAGAGCGCGAGAAGCGTCGGAGGGAAGGAAACGAGGGCGGGTGCGGGTTGTGCAGAGCTAATTGGGGTCGTCAGTTGTTCAACTCTTGAAATCGGGTCTAGAGCACAAGGAAAGGTAAGTGAACTCACAATGACAACCCGACTCTCTAGACCTTGAAAAGCCTCCGCCGGGCCGATGTTAACGTCCCATAGCTGATACGGTGGCTGGCGAATCAGAGCTCGCAACCGCCGCACCTGAGCGTTGAAGGGACTCATGATACAAATGTCCTGCTGCTGCATCATGCCTGTCTTGAGTAATTCTAGTGCGTAGTCGCATGCCATGCGCGCCTCGAGGTTGTTATACCACCCGCCACCGTCCTGCTCGATCTCATCGAAACCCGCATTATATGAGAACAGGACAGGCCATTTGCGGCCGCGCCACCCATTCCACGAGAGGAGGGAGTCCGTATTCGTGGCTTCGGGGATGAGAGTGTCGTGATAGTATAAGGAACTGGGTATTGCTAAGATGGCGGGATGAGAACGGTAGTTGCGGGTGAGATTCGTAAAAGAAGGACGAGCGATGGGGAGCATAGCTTTGGTGAGGACGGGTATTGAAGCAGAGGGATTGACGTTATTGCGGGCGAGGGGATGTTCGGCAAAAACGGGAAGAGTGAAGAGACGTTCGAAGAGAGACATTTCGATCTCTGAGGACTTAGAAGAGGTGCATGGCCCTAACTGCTTGTGGTCGCCGGCCATAACAAATTGGGGGTCGAATGTAAGTTCAGTTGCGGGTGGGGGCGCAATGACTGTAAGTGGGATGAGCGCCTCCGGTTCGATGGCTTGGGCGGCTTCATCCATTAACAGAGCACCCCAATGTGGTTCCCAAGCACCTTTAGGGGGATCATTAGGATGTAGGGCTGATTGCATACCCGTTCCAAGACTGTGGAGATCGTGGTTGGTTACCCTGCCAGAGACTAGAAAGGCAGCATCTCTACATGTAGTGACGACGATCTCATATCTCGTAAGCTTCGGCATCGGAGGAATGTAGAACATGTCCTTTTCGATATAGCAGTATGGCATTAATTGCCCAGGAACCTCAGGGAATGACCTCGAAGGCCCGTTCAGTCGAAGTAGCTCATGTGGCTTGAGATGTACACTGAGTCGCAGGGCCAGTGTATCCGCTGCAGGATCTGAAGGCGCGCAAACTAGGATATGGGCCCTCTTTTTAGATGCTAGGAGTTGCAATGCTGTTTCGACAAGAGTCTTTGTCTTTCCAGTCCCTGGCGGACCAGATATGAGGAACGGAAGTGTGCCATATTCGTTTCTGCACACGGAGTCGATGGCCTTGAGCTGCTCAAAATTGAGTCTCGCATCGAACATCCTCCTGCGGAAAGGTATTTTATGCAGTGTTTTTTGCAAGACAGTGTGACTTTCGTTCGGAAACAACATCTTCCGTACCCATATGAGATTCAGAGTTGATTGCCTCTCACTTTCTGCTCTTTTCTTAATCAGCTGAGCTGACTCCGATTTATCCACCGCTACCGTAGCGAGAGTCAAGTCCCGTGGGACGCTAGGGTCGGCAGTCATATGTGGTGGAAACATATTCGGTGGAAACATATAGGCGTCGGCCATGGCTATTGCAGTTCTCAAAGCTTTGATCCGGTGTGGCTGTACTCGGAATATTACATTGAATATCAGACTTTCGGGTACGAGCCCTTGGATCTCGAGGAAGAGTAGTTCTTGTGCGCGATTTATGGAAACAACCAAAGCATTGTACTCGTAGCCGGTCCACCCGGGACAAGGGAGACCTCTACTTGCTCCACCACCTGGAGTCAGCCACAGGTCCATCGCGACGGGATTACCAAAGCGGTCGAGCCGCAGCTGTCTAAGCTGAACATGGTCACCCATCTCAATCATGGGAGTGTCCTCTCGAAGACCAGGTACATAGAGCTGGCATGTACCATGCAATGGATCTGCCACCGTAATCGGCACTTTGTAGAGAGTATAATTCTCATTTTCTTTCTGCTTGGCTTGAGCTTCTGCGTGGAGCAGATCTTCGAAATAAGCTTGATAGCTTGTCTTTAGTAACGTAATTGGTTTACTCCTGGGGCTTCTTGCGGAACCTTCACCTAGACCACGTGGCGGCCGGGCGGGCAAGAATGCACTCCCTGCAAAAGTTCGAACATAGGCATGGAAGTCTATTACACGATTGGACTCAGTGTTGACGACGATGGCAGGCTGAGCGTTGATTATAGTGAGTGACTGTGGTACGAAAGGTTTGGCATAGACGTCAAATTCGAAACCATCCCGTTCTTTTTCGGCAGAATAACCGGTCGGGGAGATAGCCTTTTTGGCGACGCTTGATGTAGAAGTGGGATTTCCATTAATTGGAAGTACGTTATGGGCAGTATTTTTGGTCCCGCCAACTTTATTCGCGGCGCGCTTCTCTCGTCGTTTGATACCATCACGCGAGGACGGTGGAGTAGGAAGCAGATCGGCCGTAACGGCTGGTGCCGGAGCAATCACTGGCTTCGTAGCATCGGGCGCTACGATTGGAATAGACTTCGAGCCCTTTGGTATGACGAACGTAAATTTGCCGGTGCGAGGAGCTTCGCCTGCCATCTTGATGATATTCCGCCTGAGGCGGCTTGGCGAATTATACACTATTCAGAGCGATTATCGGAAACCCTCTCTAAATCCCGAAAGTACTGTACATTGAAGCAATAAAGACAGAGGTAGACGGCCGTAAAGACTTGAGTTTTGGCGCAAATATCGGAGCCTATGGTCGATCTCCTCGTGCAATTGATGCCAGGTTAACTAAGAAGGCTGAAACTTATAGAGTCGGTGGCAATTTATTTTAGGCGGCCATCGGCCGAATGATTATCTCGTGGTATTGTAGTCAATCGGAAGAAAGGTATATTAAACGTTAATTTGAAGACGGTAGGCTCATGCTTGACGACAGACGTGTCAGTCGTGTTGTTGATGAGTTAGAACTAGGCAGAAGCGAGTCACGTCGGGATCATCTAGGTTGGACCAGCATACTAAGCCCTTTGTGGGATCGCGTGAGGACGTTTTAGTCCTGCAATCTACTCATCATGTGATCTTTGGGTGAAGCTGTCAAACCACGGAGATATTGGGAGATTCGACTGTAGACGGTGTTCTCAAAAGCTAACAGGCCTTTCTTGTTTAGAAATAGTCAGCTCTCTGATAATTGATAGGCCAGCATGCTGGAAAATACGCTTAATGATGCTACCTCCGCCACTACCGCCCTTCAACTTAGAGCAAACCATAAGATTGGAGGAAAAATGTTTAAAATTACCTGCTCTGTACTTTGAGAAATACAGGTGCATTATACTGGTCGTCGTTCGCCTTTCTGGACAGATTTACTGTATAGTCACGTGATTGAAGGCAAGGCTCAACGTTCCTCCTTTCGCTTCTCCAAACACTGAGCCATCAGCAACTTTTTGAGCGAGAGCGTGCCTTCGACATGCTCAGTAATGTAAGTATCTATCCTCTTTCGTTATATTGGCGGTATGCTGTATCATTGGATGGGCAATTTGGTTTTCTGTTGCGTTGGACGTGTGTATTGAGTGCGTCTTCCACGCGTCTTGAACTCTTCTTCAAATAGCAGAGCTAACCTGATTCTTCGGGTACAGATTGAACATAAGTTTTCATCACACGATCCTGTGTTCGAACTAGCCCGGACATCGAAGTGATCCGGTGGCGACATAGTAGAAAGGCTACCAAGATCGCGGGAGACGGGGACCTTCGCAAGAGCGTCCTTATCGAGTCGCATACGAAAGACAAGGCGAATATGAGCACTATATAATGGCTGTGTTTGACCGGGGGTAGTAGGTATCTCTGTCTTGAATCGTGTGGTTTCGTTTTCTTGCTCAGCAGAAAACGATGGAATCGGCCGACTTGAAGAGATGGAAATAATAAGCATGCTGTAGAGGCGCACCATCAAAGAGCGAAACACCTGCGTAGGTGTGATGGTTTGTGAGTGCTAGGTTAGTAGAGTGTATTTCGTACGCTCACTGTCATTTTCTTAATGTATCCTCGTCTAACGACTGCTCTACTCATGCCACGTTGGTACTTTCCGTAGTTGTGCCCCTGAAGCCGAACGGCAATTAGCGCGTAGTGCGTTAGATAGATAGCTCAATCTTCGACTCAGAATTTGGATCTGAACGCCTGTGATGTGGCTACTGTGGATGTCGGCCCCATGCCAGAACGCCAGGATCGCTTTCCATACTCACGGAGCCCAACGCGATGCGCTACCCCGCCAACAAGAACCTCGATATCCCTGGCAAATTATCGACGATGAAGGCATCATTGTGTTGTCTTCTTGCTGTTGGCTGTTCAAGTGAAGACAGTTGAGGCCCGCCCGCACGGGCTACCTCACAAGACCTCCGAGCGCGGACATCTCTTTAGAGATCCAATCATCACCTAAACTGGCAAAGAAGACGCACATGCTACTTCGAACCTCGTTTTCCTTGCGCCAACGTAGCCCGGCATACTCATCCGCGCCTCCCGCCGCCGTCTCGTGCTTGCGCCCCCTGCCAAGTGGCTTTACAAGGCCGACAACTCTACCTACACATCACATCGGCACGGAACTACCTTGAAAATACGCATCTTCACGAACACGCCATGCCAAGTGCCTCCTCGGTGTCGCCTCCAGGCCGGCCCGTGGTATCGAGAGTGCCGGCCTGAGGGACACTACCGGCGCCGTCACGGGTCGTAGGTCTTGTGACTCTGGGGATTGGCCGCTCCACGCTCCGAGGACGATGGAGCTCTGTAGGGCTGGGATCGTATGGCGTCTTTACTCTAGTCGCAGGAACTTTCCGCCTCTGCGAGGAGCCGCTTCAAGATACGTAATATCCTCGTATCATTGCAAGCAACTCGTACGACTATCTACGAAATACATTGGGATATCGAAAGCGCTCTGTGGGACTCGGAACCGTACCTCTGGACGTGATGGCGGCGTATGCTCTTGAACATGTGAGAAACTTTTCGAATCTTCGTCTTTCCCATCGGATCGCTCAGCCGTTGCTACTCCCACCATTGGGTGCTCACTTTCTAGATTTTCTTTAGTCACCCCTTTGCCAGTCGCGACACCCGCGATTCTTCAAAGCACGCTCTGAAAGACATAGCGCGAAGACATGTAACATCGTAGCGGGAGCATTGCCTCGATAGGTATGCCGTGTTTGGCAGAAAGCCCGCAGATGGCAGCATGTGCCAATGCGGTCATGAGCGTGCCTGGTCAAGCAAGAGACCACGTCAAAGCCTCTCCATACAACATATCAGCCAACAGTACGCATTTGCTGGATCATTTAACGCCTTGTTTTGCCGATGACAGCTGGACTGTCCCTCGAATGAAGGTAAAGAGCAAATTCGGACCCCCCACAGCCTCCTCCGTGCCTGTGGTAAGCGGCGTCACACTCCAGCTCGGCTTGAGTCACGGAAGTCCGCCAGTCGGCCAGCGGATGCAACCGGGGCGAGTGAATGAGACCTGCCAGCAAATCCGTCGTCGTTCGGGGCATAAAAGTCTTCCCTCGTTCCTCCAGACCTTCCTCTCGTTCAACACAACTACATCCTCGCAATCACCGCACCACATTTTCGCAGCAACACCACAACCCACACAAGCAACTTTATTTCACGCAGGCCGTGTCTCTTTAGCCACCTCTGCTCATCCTCCTTTGACTTTATTGTCCCCTCCACCCCGTCCTGACCCTTTTTACGTCATACAAACACCGGAATTCAACAACCAGCATGTCTGGCTTTGTTGCTATCAACGCTCCCGTCGAATCCACCCCACCCTCCCCTCGTTCAGAGTACTCCGGAAATTCTGACAATGTCGTCAACTCCGTGGAGCAGACGCTCCCAGTGCGCCTGAGTGGTAAGTGGTACACACGCGCGTACCAGAGTAATGAATACTGAACCATACCAACAGGTCCGAATAACCATGACGCCAACACCCATCCGCTCTCTCCACCTCGCGAGGCCTCCCCGACCGAGCTCACGCCCGTCTCGAAGACCCCTTCTATCGCCGAAGGCACCGCTGGGCCAACCCCTGAGCCTTCCGAACATGAGGACACATCTATGGAGGGCAGCGCCGATGGCAACACTACTGTGGACGACTCTTTGGGAGATACTACCGTCAACACTTCTATGGAGGATAACTCTCTCGTTATTCCTTCGGAGGACACTCTGGACGCTACTGACGAGGATGAATCTTTCACCAACGACCAGCCCGCCACGGCGATGACTAAGGCCCAAGCTCGTGCTGGTAAGTCTCCCCAACACCCTCCTCAAAACACATTTCCTAATCTATGCCCTCCTACAGCTCGTGACTTCGAATGCGTCTTCAACCCCAAGGGCCAATGCAACACCGGCCAGTACACCATGGACCTCGCCCGCAAGACCATCTCTCACCACTTCGGCCGCAACAAGGCCTGCACCCGCGCCATCAAAGGCTGGCCCATGTACTGCCGCAAGCACTACCAGCGCGGCTGCTACGGCAAGCACCAGTGGCAGATGACCAAGATCGACCTGATCAAGCACATGTTCAAGAAGATCGAGAGCCAGTACCCGGGCATCGAGTACACGATCGCGATGAAGAAGTCTGAAGAGAAGCGCATTAACGAGTACGCGCGCGAGCAGGCATTCCCGACCACCAAGGAATATAGGTGGGCGGATACTCCGTCGTGCATCCCCGCCAAGGGGGAGAGCCAAGAGGCGCCCATGAGCCTGCTCATCAAACTCCAGGACCGTATGGGCCCGGATAGGGACATGAAGTTCTGCCGCGAGACGATCAATATCATCAAGAAGGAGATCGAGGCTGATACAACCGACAAGCTGGAGCTCCCGAGCATCGAGTTCCTTCCACAGATCCCGGGCCTTCATACGCCTAAGAAGAGCCGCGTTTCCACCAAAGGTCGCGTTCAGAAGCCGAAGTAGGCGCTTCTGGATGCTTCGACGGCATACTTCTGCGGCTGTTTGTAAACATTGCATGGCGTGGAGTTCATTGTGGGGTTTGGCGAAGGTAATGTTAGGCGCAAGTCTTTGCGGAGGTTCTCAAATTGATACCCTTACTTCTGTTCAGCAGTACAATACTGCACCTTCCTTGGACGGCCTTCCTGAACTACACTTTCTGGCGGTTGGTATCATTTTCTCTGCGGAGATGATTGGGCATAGGATACCTGTGATCCTTGGTGGCGGATGATTTTTTTCCTTAACTTTTTTCACTTTGTCTTACTTCTACTACTTTTCCATAACTGTCATATTTCCTTGTCTGCTTGCAACAAACCGCCAGCGTCAAGTATCGTACGCATGTACACACAAGCATAGACCAACCTTGCACATGCGGAGAAGCTCTCTGTAAGATAAGGAAGGTCGACGTACACGCGAACGAGGTATTTGGCATGGCATGGCATTCTCTGGCGTCTTGGCAATACCCTTGGGCTGAACCAGTTTGGCGGACTTGGAGCGGGTAGGGCGATGGTGTTGTCTGTCGGCGCCTATGTGGTCGGTAGTGAATTATTCATCAACTTGGTGAATCTAACTGTACTAAATCATTTAATTTGTGCTTTGAGTGATCTCCGGACCCAACTCCGTGATGTGTACACTCTGCATCCCATCACCTCCGCAATAAGATCTTGGAGTTGACGTCGATCACCCATGCGCCATTGCCGATCTCCCGCAACCCCTGCCAGCCCTACGCCCCTTGGCCCCACACTTGATCAACACCACAGTCCGATCACCAGAGTGTACCATGTTCATTCCATCCTGAAGCGATCTTCGTCCAATCCTGCACACTCAACATGACCTCATCTTCCCCCTTCACCGATCCCACTACTTTCACGGCCATACCACACAACAATATCAAGATCCAGCAGCACATGATCGCATCTAATTAATTGAATTGCCGCTGCTTTTGTGCAGCAGAGCATGCCCAAAGCCTCCGACCCTAAGAAGCCTCTGGTTTGCAAAACGCCCCAGTCAATAAAGTTATGCTCAAGCCTTACAATTGACTAAAGCTCAATGCCGCCTTAGAATATCCAGTTGAAGGAACTGACCATCCGAAACCGCCAGTTATCGTCAAAGTACCCGAAACTTCCGTTCCAAGTAGCATAATCGCAGAAAATCACCATCATCATCCATTGGCCTCAACCTTCCTTCGCTGAAGACCTACTTCCCCAAAAAGCCTCTCAGCGCACTTTCCACCTGCTGCTCATCCATCTCATCCGTTCCTCCCATAGCCCCGCTTATGCCCGCACTAACAGACTGCACAACCCTCTGCACTGGCGGCGCAGCAGGCGGCGGCACAGCACTCGGACCCGTTCTACCTGCCTTTGACGTGCCATTGCTCACAGCAGCGTTCCCATTCAACTGCACCGGCGCATGATGTGCACCCTGCCCTTGTCCATTCACTTGTCCGTTCGCCATCGCACCCGCACCCGCACCCGCACCCGCATTGCCCGTCCCCACGCCCAGCGCCTTCTCCAGCGCCTTCTCCCGGTCCTTCTTCTTCTTCTGCACAAGCGTGCCCTTCACACCCCTAAGATACTTAGCCGCGTTCTCAACAAGCTCACGACTCTCCGTACTGTTCTTGAGCGCTTCCAGCATGTCCCGGACCTGCGTCTCGGAATGGATATGCGGACACGTGCGCTGGGTGCCGTAGTGTGCCATGCCGCAAAGCCCGCAGTGTTCGACGCCGGCTAACTTGAGCGAGCACGCGCCGCGTGGGTGCTGCAGGGAGCAGGCCGGGCAGGCCGGGAGTTGCTGAGCGGTGTAGGGGTCGAGTTGAGGCGGGACGGGGAGAGCGGATCGGACGAAGGGTTTGACTGCAATGTGTTTGTTAATAGGGGCTGGAGGCTCGTCGGTGTCGGAGAGGACGATGGGGGTAGAAACCGAATTCTTGATGAGGGGGGTGGGTTTCTTGTGTTTGTTTTTGATGGGTTGGGGTATGATAGGGAGGGAAACGCGGCCGCGACCGAGCTTGAAGCCGAATGGATTCTTGAAACCCTTGAGTCCTCCCGGACTGATGTCGAGAGGAACAAATACGGGTCGCGCAACACCATTCTGCTTCTTGACGGGCGTTCTTACTGCGGCGGCTTTACCATTCCGAGGGGAGTGCGCTAGCGTTGAAGATGAAGAGTTGTATTTACCGGCTGAGTTGTGTTTTGAGGAATACTGGGCGCCCACAATGCCGCCAGCTATTCTGCCTTGCCTCTTGCTCCGCTCCGTGTCTGCCAGCTCCTCCATGAGAACGGGTTCATCTTCATCAGGGCTCTCGTCAGCTTCTTCGACGTCGGAGTGTTCCGCCTGAAAGTCGGTGTCAGAAGACTCATCTTGAGCCTTTTTGCGGCCTTTGGGTTTGGCGGGTGATATGCCGAAGCCATCGCCGTTAGCATCCTGCCCGTTGACATTGTAGTTAATAGTAGCCATGCGAGCACGCTTGCCCCTACCAAAAGCTTCTGCTCTCGCTAGAGCCTCTGCCGCTCTGGTTGCTTCTCGCTCTTTCAGAATCTTCTCCCAAACTGATGGATCCGGAGCTGTCTCATCTGGTGCCTCGATGTCCTTCAGTAGCGTGCCTTGATCATTTGCCCAGACTCTCGCGAAACTGAACTGCGACTCTGCAGAGTCGTCTTCGCCCGCCTTGGTATTCTCGATCTGACTGCGGTCGAGTAGCTTGTCAATCGAGGCAACGTCGTAGCGAATATCGTGATCAGTGCCGTCATCTTTGAAAAGTTCTGCAGCTCCATGCTTAAGAACGGACTCGACATCGTGTTCCTCCATATCATCAGCGTCCAGTTGTTCTACGACAACGTGATCCAGAGCCATCTTCTTTCGACCAATCTGGACTATCTTTTCTTCGGCGCTAGCACGGATCATGAACTGGAAGCAGAGAACCTTCTTCTTCTGTCCAATACGGTGAGCGCGAGACAAGGCCTGAATATCCTGATGAGGGTTGAAATCCGGATCGAGGATGATGACAGTGTCTGCAGTCGCAAGGTTAATACCTACTCCGCCAGCCCGTGTGGACAACAGGAAGGCGAAAAGCGGCGAGTCTGGAGCGTTGAACTTGTCGATGCGCTTCTGCTTTTCTAAAGACCCAATATTTCCATCAAGTCGTTCGTACTGCATCTCCAGGCCATCGAGGAAGTCTTCCATAATATCAAGCATATCGAGAAACTGGCTGAATATGAGTACCCTATGCCCTCGTTCCTTCAACTTTGGCAGTAAGAGATCTAGGAGCTCGAGTTTTGCGGATGCTTCCACCAGGTTGCGGTGAGAGACGGTAGCAACGTCCGTACGCTCTTCTATCGCACGATTGTAGACGAAGGGATGGCAGAGGCACTTTCGGAGTTGCATGAGAATGTTACTCAAGCTTGCATGCTCCTTAGGACCAAGGTTGGTCTTTGTCGTTGAAAAGAGAGCTTTGAGCAAATCCGGGCTCTTCGAGAGGATGGACTTGTAGAGCTGCTTTTGAAGAACGCTCATCGATATTGGCACGATGATCTGCCCCATGGGCGGAAGGAAGGTCAAAACCTGAGCTTTGGTTCGACGCAAGATATAAGGGCGGATAAGGTCGTGCAGACTCTTGATGTTGTCGTTCGTCATCTCGGCGTACTCCTCTTCTAGCTCCGCAGCCTTGTTCGTGTCGTCAAGGAACTGTAAGAGGTTGAATAATTCTCTGGCGTTATTCTGGAGGGGAGTTCCCGTCAACAAGACTCTGAATGGAGCCCTGATAGTATTCAAGGCAGCGTACAGCTGCGACTTGTCGTTCTTCAGACGCTGGCCCTCGTCGACAATAAGTCCAGCCCAAGATACGCCTCGGAAGAACTTGCGGCAAGAATCATCAGATGCAGCATCGTAAGATGTAACAACGACGTGGCAGCGAAGATCTTTTGATTTTTCCGGATACATCTCGTATTGATATGCCATACTTCTCGCCTTGCTTGATCCGAAGTAAGTGACCACACGGAGGGCCGGTGCCCATTGCTTGATCTCGCGTCGCCAATTTGCGCAAGTGGAGTTGGGGACCACTACCAGGAACGGGAAGCAGTTGTGATCTTGAACCAAGGTAGCGAGAAAGGCGATGACCTGAATCGTCTTTCCTAAGCCCATCTCGTCGGCAAGAATGCCGTTCTTGAGGGAATGCCACTGATAGTAAAGCCAGTTCAACCCCTCAATTTGATACTTCATCAGCTCTCCACCAATCAAGTTCTCCGGCTGCTTCTGCTTCTCGAGCTTTGAAAACGGTATGGCCCTCGCTTTGTCGAGTCTCACTTTCATTGGTCCTTGCTTGGGAATTCTGACATATCGTCCGGCAACCCAGTCGTTATACGCAGTGACAAAGTCGATCCAACGGTCTCCGTCTTCGGAAGTCGGTACCTTCTCCCAAACGGCATCCTCGTAGCCGAGTCCCTTGTACTTCATGAGAGCTTCGTCGACCTCCTTGATGCGGGCGTTGTCAATGTCTTCGGTGCGGACATCAACATAGCTGGTGAACTTGACATCTAGGACGATATCGATTCGCAAGTACTCTTCCGGTATCGCGTCTTCAGTTCTCAACTTCGGCCCTTGGTCCTTATTGAAGAATGCCTTGCGCATTGCCGCGGCCGTGCAACCCCAAGTCCAGGCTCCTGATTGCCAGGTTGCTCGGAAATAGGACTGGTTCTCCCATTTCACGAGGTACTGCTTGTCGTCTTCGTTAACCGTAGCACAGGGGGAGCCTGGGTAGTACGTATCGACGTCAACCGGTCTCCAAGCAATGAGCCCTGAAATCTTGCGACTCTTGTTGTCGTCACAGTCCTTACACCGCCATTTCTTAGAGTATTCATGGAATCGTTCTTCCGCGGTTTCGTCTTTGTCGCGGGAAATGTCCATGGTGTATGCTGAAAGCGGAGGCAAATGGTGATAGTGAAAGGCTCTCGAGCAGCCCATACAGCGAAACAAAACGTTGCTGGCCTGGTTGATCAATCTAGGGTCAACTATCGTGATAGTATCCTCGCCGCCATTTTCGTTCCTCTCCTTCTGCTCCTGCACGGTCGTCTTTCTCTCTCTGAATGGTGAACATGCAGGTCCGACCTCCTGACACTCCTGACACATAGCCATATCGGGTGCTGTGGGGTCTTTCTTCTGCGGCACATTCACGCATCGTTTGCATTGCAGGACGAAGTCCCCATCGCCAATCTTGGTGACGAGATGTTCCCTACCACTGCGGTTACCTAGGCAGGGTTTGTGGTATGAAAGGGAGCATCCCTGGCAGTGCACTAGCGGACCGGCCTGCGTGCCTCCACCACAAACGTCGCACCCGTGCACGTGGAGTGTTCGGAATGGATTGTTGCTGGGGATTGGCTTGAACACCTCTTTTACGCTGACAATCTTTGGGGCGTTTGGCTGGGACCGCTCAGAATCAGAACGGTAGACATCGTCCAGGCCTGCCTCTTCCATGTTCTTCTGGGCTCGAGTCGACCGGTCAGATTGCCGATATCCCGTTCGAGGAATCTTCTCTTCTTTTGCAGTAAAGGTCCGGCCGCGCTTCCGTTTGTGAGAGATGACATCTGACCTAAGGATGTTCATGCTGTCCGAACTCTCCTGCAACTCATCCTCGTCTTCTTCACTGGACCGAGGTGCGTTGCGTTGACGTCCAGAACGACGTGGTTCGACTGAAGGGGCGCTTGCAGCAGTGCGAGTGCTCCGGCCATTCTGGGTAGTCCTTCCGCGAGTTGGTCGTCCACGAATCGGTCGTGCCGCAGAACTCTCACTTCCACCGGAGGAGATGGACTCTACCGTGATCTGGCTTCTTGACCTGGTACTCGCTTGTCTTCCACGGGTGCGCCGCGACGGCCCGGCCTCAGCTATCAGCTCATCTTCGTCGCCGGAGAGATTCATCTTGGAAATGTCGATGTATCCTGGCTGTCTCGCAGACTTGCGTGCGGGACGCAAATTCATCGCTGGCGCCTCACTTTCGGAGGCTGAGACTTCTTCCGAATCGACTTTGTTGATGTACTTTTCGAGTGCGACAGGGCCGTCGTCTGTTGCGATGAGTTGTTCAAAGGGCAACTTCAAGTTTGTTAGCGAATGTGGATAGACTTGAAGTTGTGTGGTGTTTTGTGAAAGTGCGAAAGGCCTGGAGCGAGGTGTTGCCGAGAATTTATAGGCGGCGAGAGATTGGTGGTGGCAGAGAGACAAGCGGAGTGATTGAACGAAGAATGAACCGAGACTCTAGATGGAATAGATTGTGGACGTGTAGTAACTCGGAGCAGGGCACTTAAGAGTAAAAAAGCAAAAGAAATGGTGGATGAGATAGGAAAGTGAGGAGGGGCAAGACCTGTAGGAATGCCGTGATTGAGCTACGAGAAAGGGACGCGGTATCGAAGGAGGTAAGGGCGATAGGGAGGGGATATAGAAATCAGCTCGAGAGACATACCACTACTCTGCGCCCGTCTGTGAACAAGGCGGCGTACATGAGCGTGCCATCGGACTGCTCATAGTCTCGGAGCACGGTCTCCACGACGTCCTCGGGCTCTGAATAGTACTCATATTCCTCCGGATGTTCCAGCGGCGTTACTTCAACCGCAATAGCTCTCCTAACAATCTGAGACCGCGACGAGGATGCAACCACCTCTACTTCTTCGCTTCGTGACGAGCTGGGGCCCGAAATGAACATGCCCGGTGAGAGTGAGGGTCGTTTCGACGACGCGGCGCGCGATGTTGATTGTGAAGTTCCGCTACGAGCCTTGCGGCCAAGAAAACTGTTTCCGGCCCATACGTTCGCCATCATGACTGTCAATATCACGCGCGTTGTGAGCGCGACTCGGCGACGTGGTTACGGGATGCGGTGCGTAAGGGACTGGTTGACGGTGGAGAGTTCATTGAGGGTCCAGGCAGCTGGAGAAGAGAGGTCAGTAGCTGGTTTTCACACAGAGAGAAGCCGTGGGGCCTACCTAGCTGCTCTGCTGATGCGCGACGTCTCGAACAAGGCGGAGGGTGGTAACGACAGGGCGTGTTGGTCGAGGTTTGCGACGAGACGCGAACCGCTATCAATCGGACGGACGCGATGGAAGATGGGCCCGTGCCAGAGCGGCCCAAATTTATTTTGCACTCCACGCTACATCATGTGATCATCTACATCACCACCGCTATATCACCTCTCCACCAACAATGCCACGGTCATGCTAAGATCCTCCCCATCTCTTGGAGCTGAACTCGCACACCGTCTGCGAGTCGCGCGCTGTCCCAATGTCCGCCATATAACCACCAATACCGCCATTGCGAGGGCCCTCCACAAACCCTCGATCCCTTTTGGGGCAGAACGCTCCTCAAAGCCCAGATACGGCATCGGCTCGCCAACCCGGGCTGTGGATGGACGGGGGGGGCGTATAGGAGGAAGACAACCAACAAGGAGCGCGCCTAGAGACACTCGACCGCCTCCACGCGACCCCTATGAGTGGACCGGGAGCGCGACTAAAAAGAAGAGTCTGTCCCCAATTGACAACGACGTAGCCCGAAGGAGACATGTCGACGCCCTGAAGCGGAAAACTGGCCGGGCTCCACCAGCAGACGGAGACATCTACGTTCGATACCACTCCAACCGGGAAAAAAGAGGCGAGAGAGGCAATCCAGGTCTCAGGGTCGCGGGAAGAGCCTTAGCGGAGCGGCCAAGTCCGACTCCCGATGCGAGATATCCCAAGGTGAAGAGGGGTAGTCCGAGAGATACTTTCTCGTCGGAAGGATTTGATGAGGATATAGCTCCAGGACGATCGCATCCGTCTCCAGAGTCACGATATGAGAGTAGCTCAAGAGGCGGCCGCCAAGGCATGAGGTCAACAAGGGAGACACCGTCAAGACGAACTCGTTCGTTTCCGGAGGACCTTGAAGTTGTGGACGAAAGGCCTTCGAGGCGATTTGGTGAAAACCCGAAACGCCGTTCAGAGGATACAGAGTCAGGTTATTTTGGGCAGCTACTTGACGGAGTACAGAATCCCAACGACCGGGGAGGAAAGAGAGCCATGCTAGAGGAACGAAAGTATAGGGATGATCGTCGGAAAGCACCAAGTCGTAATGAAGCACGCACCCTGGTTGGGGAGTGGGACCAAGATAGCACAGAAACTATATCCGAAGATCGGGATCGTAGGAGTACTCAACGGGCTAGAGATGAAGACACATCGGAAAGCTTCGAAATGAGGACCTCGGAACCTCGTTTTCCTCCGAGACAGTCTGCCCGGGCATTTGTTGCCCCATGGAGCATTCCCTACACAACTGCCGCCTCCGAGTTTTTATACGGCTATTCCGTCGTCCTTGCTGCTATCAAGGCTAATCACAGGAAGTTGTACAATCTATATATTCACCCTCGGGCGGAGCGTAACGAAGGCTACGCAGTTCTGGAGCGGGTTGCCAAAAATGCTCGAATCAATCTCAAGCACGTGGATGATTCATGGCTTCCTCTCATGGATAAGATGAGTAGCGGGAGACCTCATAATGTAAGAGACAATTCTTTCGTCTTACAATTCTTTCGTGCTCCTCATTTCTCTGTTTTCTTAAAAGCTCAACGTCGATGCCTTCGAAAATGAACATCTCTATGGATTGATCCCCTGAACTTATTTGCACACCTCAACACTCCCTCTAGACTAAACCCATCATCCCTACCACCTACTAACACCCCCCAGGGCTGCATCGTTGAAACGTCACCCCTACCGCGCCCCCCCATCGCCAGCCTCGGCGCCGCCTCCATGGAATCCAACAGCTTTCAAGTAACCCTCTCCCACCAAAGCCGCGAAGACGCCGACATCAACGGCTCCAAAGAGCACTACACCTACCCCTCCTCCTCCTGGCGCCACCCATTCATCCTCTACGCCGACGGCGTCACCGACGAAGGCAACCTCGGCGGCATCATCCGCTCCGCCTACTTCCTCGGTGTCGACGCTATCGCCCTGCCCACCCGCACCTCGGCGCCAATCACCCACATCGCCCTGAAAGCGTCCGCCGGCGCCGCCGAGGCCATCCCCATTTTTGCCGTCGCGGACCCGACGGGCTTCTTGAGGGACTCCAGTGACGCGGGCTGGTGCATCTACGCCTCTGACGCGCCTACCCCCATTCCTTCCGCGCCGGGCGGCTTTGGCACGCAGCTCGATGCCACCCCTGCCGCTGAGAGGAAAGCCGCTCGTGACCGCAAGCTCGCGGAACAAGCTGGCGGCGGCCTCATCTCCTTCTCGTATAAAGGCGGGAAGCCTTTCCAGGACGCGAAACCGTTAGCTCGTCATCCTACTATCCTGATGTTAGGGAGTGAGGGTAGCGGAATCAAGTCGAGTCTAATGGCGAAAGCACATTTCAAGGTGGGGATTAGGGGCGCGAGGGTGAGTGATGAGGTGGGGGTCGATAGTCTGAATGTTAGTACGGCGGCGGCGATGTTGTGTGGGGAGTTTATGCGACGGCCGGTTGTAGAAAAGGGGGGTAAGGAAGGATTTTTGTTTTAAAGTGAGTGGGAATGTACGTATTGGGTGGGTGTTGGATATGGGTGTAGAGCACTGTAGTATATGGGATAGACGGTGTATTATATTGTGTATCTGCTTGTACGTTGCGCTATCGATTTGAATGGAAAGTGAGTGAGACGCCTGTGGTACTAATCGTGGAGTTTTGTGAGAGAAAGCCCCAGATCTAACAACGTGAATATGTTTGGTTGCGGACGCAGCGTCTACGTCGCGGTGCATCGGGGTAGCTACAAGATCTAGTGGTTTTCACGACTTTACAGGAGGGCGTTGGTACAGACACAACACAATTCGATAGGGACACTCACTGACCAACGCAACGAAAAACAATACTCGGATAGTTATTTCACTAACAGCCACACCTAGTTTTAGTACTTCTGCGCCACTGTGAAGCTCCACAACCACTCTCAACAACTTTTTAGTCCTGAAACTCAACGCAGGCCAGAGGCTGGTAGAAAGTGTAGGTGCTTGTGGCTGGCGGGCGGGAAGGGTGCAGCTTAACACCAGAAAGTCCGACGACGTGTGATTTTGCGCAGAACTCTACAGTCTCAACCTATTGCAGATATGTCATCGTTGACCCAACGCGATGACTACCGTGGTTTTTGGTCGTGTCGTATAGTAAACGAAATCCAAAGCGCGCTTGCTCCACAGGTACGGCAAGTTGATGAATGGAACCCCAGTAGAATCAAAAGCGTGTGCCCTGAGGAAGACCGAGGCTCGATATATCACCTGGCGGTGGTTTGCCCATCACCAACTCACTCGCAACCTTCCCGCTACTAAGTCCAAGAGCAATACCATCGTTGGAATGGCCCGATTTGGTCATTAGTCCGCCTGTAATGACAGCTTTCTCGGGATCGAATGGCTCAGGAGCAGAGATCGACGTACTGTCCTTACTCAACAGGTCCCAGTTAATCTTTGTGATAATCGGACGGTAGCGCCTTCTAGCGTCAAAGTAGTCCAGTTCCTTGGTGGGGTCAGCATTGACATACTCCCTCATCACAGGAATCCTAGCTTTGATCTCCGAGGGCTGGGCGTGAACAGATGTAGCCAGGTCCAGAAACTTCTTCGGGCATCGCACCCCAGCCGCCAATATAAAGATCACCATTGGTAAAAGATGTGACGTTGAATCTGCTACCATCAGGCGTCACATTCGTGTGGTATACCTGCACGCTGTCATCCTTGCTGTCCGGTCTCCACCCTGATATTTTTTATGCGAATGTGGTTGCCAGCCGTGTTAGTCGAGTTCATTGGCAGCTTGGTCTTCGCATCAGGGAACAGTTGAGAGAAGACCCGGTCGGACCATGGCTCTGCTGCCAAAACTACGGCTCTGCAAAGCACGACCGCGTTTTGAGCCGCGGGACCTCTGAATCTGAACGCTCGAGAAGCTTTGCTTAACAGGATCTAACTAGACCGATGTGACGTTGGCGTTCATCTCAAACTCCACGCCTAGTTCTTTGACTCGTGCGGCGAGACAGTCGCTGAACTGCTTGGGATCCCTTGCAGGTTCAAATTAGAGCTGTATGCGAGATGCGGTTGATGTACATACAGATGCCCCCCCTTGGGTCCACTGGAAAGCTTATGAGCCTCCCAATTGTCGGATGTTCTAACCCAGGACGGGAGGGCTGATAATGGTACGGGAACAGGAGTGTTGTCTGACCCCCAATCATTCCCTGGACTTGGAGTTCCGGTGAAGCCTTTCGTTCTCAGTCGATATACAAGCTAATTGAGGTAAGCAAATGGAAAACACAAAGTAGGAATGGGGGAATGACTGCCTGCTCGCTGAAACCGTAAGTTTCTGGACCGTTGTATTTTGCGGCTATATCGACATGCATGACGCCAGCAACGCCCGTCTGTGGCTTGACTGGATGCAGCGGGCATATTTTTGGCACCCGGCGGCGGTCTCCTGGCGAAGACGATGGCGCCGCTTCGTTCAGAGCGAGGGCGAGACTGTAGGTGGTTGACATGGAGTAGAGAGCGGCGAGGAGCGAGTTTAAGAAGTTCATGTTCCCGCTCTGGACGGATCGAATTTGGGGAAATCTCGAAGGAGGCAACGGCAGCGCAGTCAATTGGAGAAAGGATGCATCTGTAAAGCCAAACTCGCGACTCTGCGCCGGGCTTCTGGTGCTTGCTGCAGCATGATGGGTCGTGTTAGCAACAGATAGTACGATTGTCTGCCTGACAGACCGCCTGAGGGTGCCTAGGCGTCGTCATTGACGTTAGTATTGCTCTTTACAGCATTCGGTACGAGTTATCTTACCAGCGGTCGGGTCGGACGTGGAAAGGGGGTGTATTGATGCGTTCTTCGTATTCTCAGCCCAAACCGCCGGATCGTGGGCCGAGCCAACCTCCACAGTAGCTTCCGTGCCGTGCGCAGTCTTATTGTGACAACACATGCATGCCATCAGTGACAGCCTATGAGGACGTTGGATGATGCAGCGCATGAAGTTGTGTCACAGAGGCTTTGCAATTTCTGATAACTAAGACGAGCAGCCCAGCATCGCAGTGAAAGCGATCTGCAGACGGTGCATTGTCGCCTCGCGCAAATAGGGTTTCGTCAACATGATCCGGCAGCTGCTCGATAGTGTCGCTGAATCGGGCGGGGAAGAGACACGCCGTAGCACAATTGCAAAGATGGGGTCACCAACTACAGCATCGCTAGGCTGCTCTTGATTTATTTGTAGTAAACCTTTTGCATGTTTAGAAATATCGAAGTAAAGACAAGGAGACTTGTAGGACTGCCTGCACCCTTGCTCGGTGTTGTACGTAAAGAAACCTATATCACGCGACGTGTGTACGACACGAAGTGAATATTGAATCTAATCCCTTCACTGTATCCAATAAAACCTTGAAAACTATCAGAGAGAGCCTGTGCTGAGCATTTCACGCACTTTTGCGGACGCCGATTTCGCCGAACAAGTATTGCGCCGTTGCGCGTTTCCCAGCCAGAGGAGATCGGGACTTCTCCCTCGTCGGCTTCTTCCAATGCTGCGCAGCCCCCGCCTCCATATCTATTCTTTGGCTAGCAACGCATGCCCATCGCCGTTTGCTCTATGATAAGAATGGTGGACCCTGTACTTGGCAGTGTGTGAGTGGATCGGTCGAAGCGAGGCTGCATGGAAGCCTGATGGGCGTACAAAGGTACTGCCAGACAACCAAGGTTCGGGTCCGGTATGAGGCTTCGTACTTGGATTGGATGGAGCGGAAGGCTGAGCTTGGCCGGACCAAGTTTCCGAGGACAATGGAATATCTATCACGACTGCCAACGCATCCTTTTCAACGTTACGCAAGGTTGGTTTTGCCTGCACAAAACCGACTCTCCTTCACCCTCAATTTAACCCGCGTATTGTACTGTTCAATCTCTTATTTTTATCGCAACCATTGCCGTGCCGTTTATCCCCAGGACAATACTTCAGTCCCTTATTCCAACCGGCATGATTTAATGTTGCGCTTGCCGCCCGACCCAAGTTTCTGTCGTATTTCCAACCCATCAACGAGGGCCCAAAAGAGAATGTCTACTCGCGATTTCTTTGTCAAAGAGTGGGACACTGCCTTCTCGGTGAAAAATGTTCAAAGGGAGGATGTGTCCTATGTTGAGGGTAAAAGACATCTTAACGCAATAGGCAAAGGCATTACGCTATTCTTACGCGACACTGAGGACGCGGTATCCTCATGCAAAGTCCAAGCAGTGGAATCTTTCTGTCGAGGTACCTACCTGGAAGATATCAAACGCGGAGGGACGGCTGGACAATGTCGGACTGCTTGGATTGATGACAGGAGCTTTCCGAATGAGCCAGATGGGCCAGATGGTGGAAAGGCCAGGACATGTCCGAATCCACTGACAGCGACTGCGCTTTACCGTCATCTAAAACAACCGGTACAGGACCACTAAACAGATTTGAGTTAGTTTTCCTTAGAGTTCAAATCCAACTAACGTTTAATTAGCGATTTGGCAACGGAGATCTACCCGATGCGGATAGACGGGTGATGTAAAACAAGTTCCTGTCACTGATCGATTGGTTGAGATACTGACTGCTTTGTTTTAGCTACATACCCAATGTGGATCCTAGTCACGTTATCGTGCTTGCAGAGACTGCCACCTATCATCAAGTCCCAGCGTTGAGAGATGCCTTGACAAAACATATACAATATGAAACATCGATCCGAGTCAAGATACCTGTGAGCACCTCAAGAAAGTTATTACCATGCTCTTAGACAGACGTTCAAAATACTAATATAAAATCCGGTTGCCTTTCGTTCTAGAGTCTTGGAGGGTTCCCAATTTTCCAACTAGAGATACACCTTCCCTTCTTCGCCTTCAGAGAACTTCCATCATCTGAGATGGACAGCTGGCACACAGGAGGGAGCGACATGAGCCCAAAGAAATCCTGGATTGATCTGTCAGTTCTCAGCACTCAGGCCTCACGATTCGAAAACGGACCAAGATACGGTATATACAAGTCGCGGTTCTCCCTTGTGATTTGTGGTTCGAATGATCGACGCTGGACTGGATACGCTTTCGTAGATCGCGACACGGAAGGTGAAGAAGAGCTTTCCTACAAGGGTTCAGAACAGGAACCAATCATTGGTTTCCCTACTGACGTCCCCGTTTGGGACCCGAGAGAGTATTTTCTTATTTCTCTTGAAAGACAAACGGCGAAAGTACTGAATGAATGGGAGAACGTCGTGTGCACGGTTGAGCGAAGAATCAAGAGTCATGTATGCAATCCCTCTCTACTGAGACACTGTTACAAGACCGCAAACTCATACTAACATTCAAGACAGAAATACCATCAGTCAGCTTTGCTTTCACGTGACCATGGGGTAGAGAAGGAGTGTGCTGCTGAAGAGGCTTTCGCCTGGACCTCTAGGACGACGGCGCTCTTGAGTCACCTAATAGAGGTTCTGTCTAACACGGTCAACGCCTGGGAAAGATTCAAATGCTCGAGCGGAGACATCGGGTACTTCTGCGATTCCTCTCCGGAGTCTCCAAAATCGAAGCTGAAATTCTCAGAGCGACGTGCTCGACAGTCGCTTAGATCTATCAATAACGCTTTTGAAGAACTAGAGTGTCTGGGTGGAAAACTTCGTTCATTGAACGAGTCTTGCGACAAGTCGGTCAAAGATGTGAGTTGATTTACATTGTGTCCCCATCTATGTTACTATGTCGCAACGCGTAGGTTAATGCTCCTAACTCATACGCGTAGCTTCAACTGCGTCACGCTGTCAAACTCAACGAAACGTCACAGCATACCGGAATTAGCATAGATTTTGTCGTAACTGTTAGTCAATCAGATTCACTTGCTCTAGTCCGCCAATGTTAATTCCCTCAAGGTGCTATATCCATTCGCACTTGTAACCGCCGTTTTCTCTATTCCACAGAGCGCCGTCCCTTTCAAACTCAGCTTCAAGTCCTTCCTTATTTCCTTCATTGGCTGCCTAATTATGTGCAATGTACTGTTTTTCGCCCTCAGTCACGTGTGGCTCAGGTCTTGGTGGCGGAACGGATCAGCCGCTATGGCCAAGGGCCTCTCCCTACGACTTTTCTCGAAAGAGGACGACGAGAGGCTACCTCTTTCGAACAAGGATCCACCAGGATGCTTCAGTGATTCTATTGATCCAGGATTTAGCCGCCACACGATGCCAAACTTCCAGTACCAATTCATGGATACTCAGCATGAGCCACTGCTCCAAGAAGTTGAGAATAACGAAGCAACTTTGCTCGATACTCCTTATCAACGTAACACCTCCATGCTAACCGAGATTTCATCTTCCGCACAAGGCCATCCTAATCGAGAGGGCTCAGGATGTCCGTATTACGACGAACCAATCCCCCTCGATGATGCAGCTAAACTCCAAGAAGGAATTCCTACTCAGTCCTACCAGATATCACCAGAACTCGAAAGAAAAACCAGGTGCTCCCCGAAAACCAGTGGGCCAGAAGCATCACGTGAGATGCAATCAGTGCCTAGCACCACTTCCACAATTTCCTCAGGTGTAGACAGCGAGTACGATGATTCCAGTGAAGGAGAGTTGTCTGATGTATCGACGCGAAAGGAAGAAATCATCGACCGAGTCATGATCGAGTTCTATCGTATGTTTTATGCAACGCTTGGTATCCGTTGTGCCGCGTCTGGACAATCGAACTCCGTACATAGAGATCCAATCAACTACTGTGGCACCTCAAGTAGCGGATCTTCGCAACACAGGGCCGGGAAGCGAAAGACTGGTAAAAACAGCGAACGAGGAGATGACGAAGAGGAGGATGGTAATGTGCACAAAAGGAGTAAACCTCATAAACATGACGATGATCGTGAATCCGATCGGAGACTTGCATGTCCTTACTTTAAACACAACCCCTCCAAATATCGGGACATTGCCCCTTGTTTAGGACCTGGGTGGGGTAAACTTCACCGTCTCAAGTGAGTGTAGTTCTACGGCGAATCTCTGTCCCTATTGAACGCATGTGGTAACACAGTTTAGGGAACACATATATCGCTGCCATGCGCTTCCGCCTCGCTGCACGCGATGCTGTCAGAAATTCAAGTACGACTCTGACCTGACAGCCCATTCACGATTGCCAGAAGGATGCGAAGTTCGAGACGAAGAACCGCCTGAAGGCATCGATAGCAATCAGAGGCAGAAACTAAGATCCAAAAAGAAGGGTGAATTCGGCAACACGAGAGAAGACCGATGGAAACATGTGTACTCTGTCCTGTTTCCGAACACGGCGATCCCGTCACCCTGTAAGTATTAGATTACCATCAAGATCGCACATCTGAACCATTGCTGACAGTGTCCCAGACTATGATTATGATGAAGACTTCGGTCAGCAAACTACTAATTCTCCATCCTCTGCAAGATTTGCTCGCTATGATGCCTACCTCAGGCGCGAACTGCCGCATATTGTCCAACAAGAACTTGAGACCGAGATGGAGAAGGAGCTTAGCGTGGTGGATGAGAAGCTGAAGAGTAGACTGCCGAACATCGTTCGGAACTGTCTAGAACGGCTATGCCGGACATTTCAAGAAAGGGCTTTACCGGAGGAAGCCATACCGACCGAAGGTCTGGCACGTGAGCCAGAGACCAACATATCAGGCTCTGTCGAAGCGGCTGAAATCAACTCCTTTCCACGCCTATCTCGCCAGGCAGACCTAGGGCCCTTCCAAGATCCCCCAGAGGTTTTCCCCGGCTTTTATGACGACTTCATGTCTTTATTCGACATCAATGGAAGGGGCCCACCTGATTCAGCGTACTGGTCTCAGACTTGGCCTCGAGAGCCAAACCTGCCAATGAGGGAATCCAACATTCATTTCTCTGGAACAGAACATCCGTACGAGCTTTTCCCCTTGGATTACCTTTCAGAATCTCCACGACTCGAAGAAACGCATATTTTACCCATTCTCCAACACGAAACGCAGACTTTTGATGATTCTGGTGAGCCTGGAAGTTCGGATGCAGGGAAGGGAAAGAGTAAAGCGAAAGGGAATGATGCGAGTGAAGGGTAATGAAGTAGAAAATAGTCCTGCCACTTTTCGTCCGCTGTGTCCTGTCCTCTTTTCAAGTATATAGACTCATTTGCAAGATCTTCATATCCCCCGTCAATCTTCTCACTCGTCCATCAATATAAAATCTGATCTTGAGTTTCGTCGACCGTTTCCATTTTCTTATCTTTCGGCTTGACATGCCAAGGCCCCCGGCCCACGATGCCGCTCCCACCTGCAACTCCCGCCCGCCTTGTCTCACAAAAGCCATCCCATCCCACATCAAGTGCTACAAGCCGTTCATCCTAACTATTCCCGTTCTCGAAAGCCGAAGCCACCAGAACCCCAATGCCAGCCCATAATGCTTCCAACTCCCATAAAGCCGATTGATCCATTTGGGATCCTCCCACTAGCTCCTCCGCGGTAGTAGAGTCTGACTCTTGCAGCAGCACCTGCCGGGATCCGTGACCGAGCCCCCACCTTGCGCAATCGACCTTGCGCAAATCGGAGCAGGCGCTATGAGGAAGAAATATGTTTTACACACGCTCGTTTCCTAGGCTGAGTCGTGCGCGCATTGTTGCTATTTCGGATTTTGAGAGGGAAAAGTTGGATTGAGGATGGACATGGATTTTGAAAAGAAGGGATCTTCGGCACCGTCATCGATTGAGAGGGAGACGGCGCTACAGACAGAGGCCTATGTCATCCAGTCGCAGAACCCACCGACGGCTGAAGATGAAGAGAAGGAGGCTGGGCTGGAGCAAAGCGGAGAGCAGAAGCCTGCGGCGTCGAAAGCACGATTAATTATACTGGTGCTCACGGTGACGGGTGCTGCGTTCTTGAATGTAGGTGCGTCCCAGAGGTCTTTGATTGAGAGCGAGCTAAAATATTCGAAGACTCTAGCTGTACAAGCCTGTGTGATTGTTCTTCAGACCATTGGAAAGGACCTCAATATCCCAGAGAGTCGCCAGCAATGGGTCATCTCCGCCTACTCTTTGACATTCGGTTGCTTCCTCGTACGTAGCATTCTCACCACACGATACAACTGAGAACTATGCTGATTGTCCATAGCTGCTATGGGGACGCCTCGCAGACGTGTACGGGAAACGACTGATATTCATATGGGGCTCCTCGTGGGTGACAGCGACGACCATTGCGATACCTTTTGTGGATAACGAGATCGGATTCGATGTGCTGAGAGGCTTGCAAGGACTGGGCGCGGCAGCGAATGTCCCTACAGCTATCGGGATACTGGGTGTTACGTTCCCTCCGGGCAAAGCGAAGAACTACGCGTTTTCGTGCTATGGTGAGCGAGAAACTGCGATGCCAAGACTTTGGTTAGAGCCATCATCTAACGCGGAGTAGGCGCTGGAGCTCCGATGGGATCTATATTCGGAAACCTGATGGTAAGTTGCTTGTAACTACTCTACCGGATAGAGCTGATCATTTCCAGGGTGGCCTCATTGGCGGTTACTTGACCTGGAAATGGGTCTTCTGGATCCTCGCCATTCTCGCTGCAATAGTCACTGCGGCAGGCTACTTTCTCATCCCCGTCCCACTCATTACTGCGAGCAGTGCCGAAGGACCCAAAGCGGCCGTTGACTGGATTGGTGGAACGCTCATCACAGTCGGACTCCTTGCTCTTATGTTCGCTCTCACTGAGGGTAACGTAGTTGGCTGGAATACGCTATGGGTACCTGTGCTCATCGTTGTCTCCATTATCCTCATTGGCCTCTTTGTTATCTGGCAATGGTGGCTGGAGATGAAAACTACGCGACGGCCATTAATGAAGGTTTCGATTTTCAATAATTTGAAATTTTCCGCGGCCATGGTAACAATGCTGTTCTTCTTTGCATCTTTCAACAACTACCTCATCTTTGCCACATACTTGTAAGCCTTCAGATACCCTAGTTCTCTTATAATCTGTCTAATAGACGCCAGTTTCCAAGAATATCAAGGCTTAAGCGCAATCCAAACCACACTCCGCTTTATCCCTACCGGCGTCTGCGGCGGTAAGTCAGCCCAGTTTTCACCCCTGAGTATCTACTAAAGTTCAATCCAGTTCTTGTCGCTATTGTAACCGCGAACATCCTCTCCCGCATCCGCGGCAATCATATCCTGATGTTCGGCACCCTGGCCACCTCCGTCTCGGCCCTCTTGTTCGCCGTCCCCATCCCACCCCACACGAGCTATTGGGCCTGGAGTTTCCCAGCTATGGTTCTCGCCGTCTGCGGCGCTGACACTGTCTACCCTTCCCTCACTCTCTTCACTGCGCACGCTCTACCGCAGGAAGACCAGGCACTCGGTGGCGCCTTGGTCAATGCCGTAGGTCAGGTGGGCCGTGCGATTGGTCTCGCGATCGGAACGGCTGTGCAGACAGCGGTAGTAGCGAACAAGAAGGGCGTCAAGATCAAAGACGTAGGTCGAGCTGGCCTGTCAAATAAGCACGACACAGCGTACCTAGACGGTTTGAGAGCGGCAGAATGGCTCAATTTCGCATTAGGAATCGCAGCATGTGCAGTAGCCGGGTTCGCGATGAGAAAAACAGGAATTCTGGGAGCGAAGAAGCACTAACATCTCATCCCCATATCATATACGTCTATATCTCTATACCCGCATCGTAGAAAAGCATTTCATCCTTTTACTTCCAACACGCTTTCACCCAATTACCCCCCGCTTCCCCTCTCCACCCGCCATCGCCCACTCCGCCACAAACTCCGCATGCACAACCGTCGAATCGTACACCCGCACCCCCCTCACCCGCCCCTTCTCCACCTCCCCCTCTAGCAGAGGCGCTAGATCCGTGCACGCCAGCACAACCGCCTCAGCGCCCTGCTCCCGCAACCCCTCTATAATCCCTAACACCTTCTCCCGCGACCGCTGCGCCACGACACCCTTCCCCAGCTCTTCGAAGATCACGTGGTCCACCCACGCCGTCTCGCCCGGGCTGGGCGTCACGACGTCGAGCCCGTAGCGTGTGCGGAGCGGTGGGACGTAGTAATCCCCCTCCATCACGCCCTTAGTCGCGAGGAGGCCGACTTTCTTGACCCCTGCGTCGCGCAGCTTTGCGCCGACGGCGTCGACGACGTGTAGGATGGGGATGTGAGCGGGCAACGCTTCCTGCACGGGGGGTGCGGCGGCGTGGATGACGTTTTCGCAGACGACGATGGCAGAGGCGCCGATGGAGACGAGGTTTTGAGCGGCGGGGATCAGGAGCGAGGAAGCGGAAGCCCAGTCTCCGTTGGATGCGGAGACTCGAGCCAGGAGGGTGGAGAAGTCGAAGCTGTGGAGGAGGAGGGGGGCGGAGTGGGAGCCGCCGAGTTTGGAGTGGGTGTGATTGTTTATAGTGGTGTAGTAGAGGATTGTGGAGGGGTAGGAGGTGCCGCCTAGGAGGCCGAGTGTTTTCATTTTGGGAATGGGGGTGGTAGATAGCGGCTTTGCGACGGAGGGAGATTGAGGCTTGACGATAGAGGTAGATAATGGGTTAGAGATGAGTTTGGGAATGTTTTTAACCAAAGGCCTAGAGATGGGCTGGAGTGATTTCATCCGGGGACTTCTGAGCGAAGGAAACACGACGGGGCGTGAACCAGAGTTGAATATAATTGAAGGGAGTGGAATAATTTCAGGCAAAGATATCGATGTTATAAGCCCACTTCCAACTTAAGGAGGGAATTATGACTTCTCGCGCCCTATGGAATCGCTAGGGTACCGACCAAGCTTTCATGCAGTGATGGTACAGAATTGGGGTGGTTGGCCGATGGGTTCAAAGAGCGGAGTTGGGTTGATATTTCCCTACTATAGAGACGCGTCTTTTTACTTATACGAGAATTGATGGTCTAGTCGTAGGTGGGTATTAGGTAGTTGTATCATCAAGGGAGCATATCAGCGAGTCATGTGTCTAGTGTGGGGTATCTAGACCAGATCTCCGCTCACCTCCGCTCACCTCCGCATCCCACCACGCGCCAACTTCAACGACCCAAGTGGTATACGCACATAGACACTGTCCGCTACAATGGCTCCATCTCCAGCTGGCCTCACATCCGAACAACTCGAATCTTTCAATACCAATGGCTACCTCCTCATCCCCGACGCGCTGTCAGCAGACACCGTGTCGACCCTCCTCGCCGATACGAACAAGATGCTGAACGAATTCTCGCTGGACGACCATCCCATGACCAAGTTCTCGACTGGTGAAGGGGACAATGCGCACGTAGGCGACGACTACTTCCTGACATCGGGCGATAAAGTGCGGTTTTTTTTCGAGGAAGGTAACTAATACCCCCCAACCTACCCCCCATTCCTATAATAAACCTCTAATCTGACCATGATACCTAGACGCTTTCGCTCCAGATGGTACCTTACTAAAACCAAAATCACGCGCCATCAACAAAATTGGCCATTATCTACACGCCCTATCCCCCTCCTTCCGCTCTATCTCCCTCTCCCCCGTCAACGCCGCCATCGCCCGCTCCCTCGGCTTCGCAGACCCCCGCGTCCTACAATCTATGGTCATCTGCAAACAACCCGAGATAGGTGGCGCGGTCCCGCCGCACCAGGATAGCACGTTCTTGTATACCGACCCGCCGAGCGCTGTAGGGTGGTGGTATGCGCTCGAGGACGCGACGATACAGAATGGGTGTTTGAGCTTTGCGGGGGGCAGTCATAAGAGAGAAGAGGTGGGGAGGAGGTTTATCAGGAAGGAAGGGGGAACGACGTTTATTGAGAATGATGGGGAAAGATTCCCTAGAGGATTAGAGAGGGAAGTTGTGAATGGGGAGAAGAAAGACGAGGAGTATACGATTGGAGAAGTCAAGGCAGGAACGCTAGTGCTGATCCACGGGAATCTGTTGCATAAAAGCGAGAAAAATACGAGTGGGAAGAGTCGGTTTATTTATACGTTTCATGTCATCGAGGGCGAGAATAGGTACGATGAGAGGAATTGGTTGCAGCCGCCTGGTAAGGGGTTTTCGAGGCTGTACACATAGACTAGGGTGATGTATAAGAGATGTGCACGTATTAGATTTTCTCCTTGGCCTATAGCTGTCAGCCTGTAGCTATCAACAGTAGCTTCTCCTAGGCGACTGGGCGACGCTGAACTCCCTGCGTGGAGAAACAGCAACGCCGGCCATCTGACACAGGCCACTCAGGCGATCACCATGATGGGCTGTCGAAGAGTGGCAACGCATCGCGTTACAAAAGATCGCAATGGGTGTTGAACGGTTGTGAAAGATCGTGGAAGTTGTGCAGATAAGTGTAGCATGCAAAGCGAAGTTGGATATGACGACTGATGTAGACCAAGTGGATAAATAACGGGAAAGACCTCTGCCTAACTTCATGACGAGAGTCATGCGAGAGGCAATGATATCGCCCTCCCTCTTTCCCTTGGGGGTTGGTGCCATTTTGTATATTGATTGAGGAATCGCCGGAACGAAGCAGAGTTTATAGTAACGAAATTTCAGTGTGGGCGGCATAGAGGTCTGCTTCGTTTTAGTACCACCATGTCACTATACTATTGCAAGGCCGTTATTGTTATCGGCTAAGGTTTAACTAGTAGAATGAAATTTAAGAGACCGTTCTCTATCCTCTGTATTACCCTGTTTCCGAGTGGCTACGAAGTACAGCTGTTGCAACCTCAGAGTCGCTCGTTTTGGGTTCAATTCGACCCCCGGGGTATTTCCGGGCTAAGCGACCCTTCAACCGGAGATTCTCTATCGAAACAGGCTCGGAAAACTGGCTTCGACTGCCATAACGTCGGAGCCGATACGTGGGAGATGTGTCTTTGTAGACTAATTTGACAACCCTCGCCGCACCCTGTTCCCCAAACATATACTGATCACTATTACTCAGATCGGTGGCATATACGGGTAACGCGTAGAAGGAGATGTACGAAACTTGGGAGAGGCTCAAACTCGAGAAAACTGACAGGGTCGCACTGTGTGCAACACTGCTCGTAAAAGATGAGAAGGAATGGTGTTTGGCAGACTTCTTGTAGACTCGTGATGCCTGGAGGTCTTGCTCATATGTGAGTTCGGATGGCGACGTCCAGTTATCGCAAACAGGTATCCCGCCGGTGTATTCGCCCATACTAAGCTCTGTCGTGTCATCATTGTTGGGTTGTAGTCGAGACCGCGCATCGGAGTGCAGTGAGCCCTCCCTCTCGAGCCGTCTAATGCGCGCCGCTACAGGGGCTAAGACAACGACAGTGCGGACAGTCGCGTGGATGGCGAGATGCAAGAAGAGGCGTTGGAGAAGGAAGGGAAGCCTGGAAGTCGCAAGTGGTGTTCGGTGCAGGGCACTTAGTCATAATTTTACGGCTGGGACGGGAGTAGTCTAGCGGAGGGGCAAAGTTGAGTGGTCCCCGAGGATCGCAATCAGGTCGTCTTGATATCATCATACAAGCCTTGAACGAGGGTTGGGTACACGAAACCTCATTGATGGCGGTGGTCTAGTTCTCCAACTTCGCGTAGAATATTGCACCATCGCAGCTCCGGCAGCAAACAGTGCACATGACGGATTATTTCGGCAGCGCAATCCCTTCTTGTTCCAACCCTGCTTTGTTCCTGGAAAACTATTTGTGTGATTATTCCGATCACGTGATAACAAAAACGGAGGACAAAAGGTGTCGATTCTATGTAGGAATCTAGCTAGGCTATATACACGTAGGGAGGGCCCGTGCGGCCCTAAATATTGACTAGATCTATAGTAGGAAGGCCTCTTAGTATAGATCTACATTTCACGTGTATAGAAACCTATACATCACGTGTCTAGCCATCACGTGCCCGAATATCAGCCAGACGCTGAGAATTCCACATTTGATGCCACGCGTCTTGGAAATGAGAGAATCGTCATCTATCCCCCACACCAATAGAAGGATGCCCCAATTTGGTCCGAAGAAGTGTTCGCAGCCCGTTTGTCGAGCCGAGAGTGGGCTTTCCAGGAAAGAAATCTGTCTCAAGTCCTTCACTTTGGCAGCAAGTGGATATCCTGGGAATGCGATAAGAGAAGCTCATCGGAGTACGTTAATTGCCTCCAGAGATCGCGTCAGCATTTGATCCCTGAATCACCACAGCAAGCTTCCACATTTTGGGCGAGCATAGTTTCCTTACTGTTCTCAAACTGTACCGCGCTCCTGGACGAGCGTGTTGGTGCGGATGATGTAATTCATGCGGTCTGCCTTCCACTGATGAGGGTGTTTCGAACCGCAAAAGATATTGCTTTTAAAGATTACGCCTGGAAGGGGCTTCTGCTCTCGAAGCCAGACGGTTCCAGGTTTCGCCGCATAGGTCTGGTTTCCCTTTGGGAGGAGTCATACGCTGAAGACGTTAGATCGCGATACTCCCATGAATTTGACCTTTGGTCAGTTGCAAGTGATGAAGAGTTCATTGGGCTTGAATAGGAACGGGACACGGAAGGAGGGACAGACGAAGCATCCAACAATTCGTTGGTTGCAGGTGAGCAAGAATGGCTGGACATGACAGACAGTACGTTCAACCGATTGTGGCAAACCGACACTACATTAAAAGAAGGCGTTATCGTCTAAATTAGATCCGCACTTCAGATCCCATCACATTCATTGCAACATTGGGGGTGTTGGAAATACTCCGAGTGCCACTAGCGTCCAACGACAGGTCGATAGGCGCATTGCAATCTTGCGGGTGTTAAAACATAATCAAGACCATAGAAGAAATTGCTCTTCAAGCGTCCCCTCGATTTGTAGTGCCGCAATCGTTACATCATAAGATGGTTCCGATATCCTATTTGAAGCCATCCAAATCTTCTCAAGACAACACTGAAAAATGCTCAAACCACGCACTTCAAATCAAGCCACTCAACATCAACGACCACACATATAGTCTCGAACCCACACACTCAGAATGGGCCTCCAACTTCTCCAATCCCACTCCAAATTCACGTCCCGGAGATTGAGAGTATACTTATCCTTGCACTGCCGGATATACTCCAATAGCCTCCCCGGGCTCTCATCGGGAAGGAACGCACTATACCGGACCCTTCCCTCAGACGTAGGCGTACACAGCAGCTCGCACACCACCCCCGTCTCCGGCCCATTCCGATACTTCAGGTCCGCCGGTACCCCTTTGTCGAGGTTCGCTTAGACCGCTACTGCCGTCTCAAGCGCTTTTCTAACAACGAAGAAGACGCGGTCGTCTAGCGATAGATCCGGGTACTCTAGGAGCGTGAAGAGCGGCGGGGTGGTGCTATGAGCTTCGAATTTCCGGTAGCGGGTATGGCCTGGATGGCCGGGTTCGTGAGAACGAAGACGTGGTGGCAGTGGACGGCGTTCTTGAGGGTGGTTACGTCGGAGGGCGTGCCCCTGAGGAGGCGGGAGAGGGCGAGGTAGAATGAGGATGTTTGGGGGCTTGGGTCTTCTTCGATTGAGATGGAGGAGATGGTAGGGATGGGGGACATGGTGGTGGTACAATGGGGGGATAGAACGGGTTGTGTTAAGAATATGGCGGTGGGTGGGTGGTGGTGGAAGTAGTGGATATAGAAGGCAAATGGTGGATTTGGGAAGCCATTTTGAAGCAGCGATGAAATTGGAATAGGAGTTGAAACATGTGAGTGACTTCAGCTAGACTGGGGATCAACCTCCAGTAAACGTCTAGTGAATCTCAGAGGTCTGTGAGGTGAAGGGGTCGGTTGGGGCAGTGAATGGCGTCCAGAGAACTGAACTTGGAAAAAGCTTAGGGATGTAAGTATTTACATGCGTGATTCTAATATATGCTACCTCGTGGCATTTTCTGAGATTCGAGAGCCGTTATTAAACCTCAACGCAAACTCGTCAGTGAATAGCAATCTGCTAGGGTTTTCCTGACAAATATATCTACTAAAAGGCGATATAGCAATAGATCTAGCTAGTTCCTAACAGCGTTCATATCACGACTCGCGTCTTGGACAGTAGGAACACTGCATCGTTCTTTTTCTCACTTTCTAGTGAAGCAATACACTCAGTATACGCATCGGCCGAATAATCTGGGTTTCACTTCCCCAATCCGCACTACCGCCACGCCACCTCTTTGCTCACGTGATCTTGAGCCACTGTGGCTGAGGTCGGCCTAGAACTCCAGACTGCCTCCCAGAGGTCGGGTATCCGGTAATAATTCATTGTTTAGCATATGTTTGCTGGCTATAGCCAGGGACAACGGATGTCGGCATGATTTGATAATTTTAAGCGCTTGTGAGGTGGAATGATGCTTCGAGATTTTCTACGCACAGCCTCTTTTAGCTGCTTGTGGCTAGCTTGCCAGTGGATGCAAGGGAATGTTATGCTACTCGATATTTAGAGAAGCCTGATTTCCCTTTTTGTCCTTTGCAAGGTCCAAAAGCCCTTGTTACGCAGCATCCACGAGATACGCTAACCGCAGTATGCAAAAAGAGGCTGTATATGGATTTGGATAGGCCTCGGTCTAGTCCAGTGTGATTGGTGGAAGCTCAAAAGAGGTTAGTCTGTGAGTAAGCACGCCTCATCATCCACCTGCCTTTGTAACCATGCACGGTCATGCAGGGACAGTTTTGCCGGATTTAAGTTCGAGGGAACCCCTCCCATGCTTGACAACGTCTGCTTGTCAAGTGCACCACAGGCATGTTGCTTACAGGCCTGATTTACAGCGCTTCTCAAACTTCATTCCGTACCTGATTTCATTGTATCCGGCAGTTCCGCAGCCAACATGCCATGTCCTATATCACCAACAGCGAGGGAACGCGAGGTTTACCGGTATGCGCGGAACCGCCTCCGAACCAGTTCCAAGTGCTCAAGACTAACAGATACGTAGATATTATCAGCCCTCAGATAGTCCTGCTCCAACCGCGAAATCCTACCCAAGAACAGATGCCCCGCGATCATCAAACGATCCCGTCTTAACGGCGTTCGCTCAGCTGGGCGCTCACAGACTGAAAGCCAAGCGTGGGCTTATTACTCTTTCTACGCGAGAGACCGAATACATTCTCGCGGAATCGGGAGTAGGGCTCGGGTTGCAGCAAGATGATGATAAAAATGATCCCCTATGGCACGGAGCCGTTGCGCTCCAGAATACTACCGGCCTCGGATTGAAACTTTGCCAGCATTTCTGTAGTTCCAAAGAAGACCTCCCTTACGCAGCTTTCGATGATCTAAGGAAGTATGACGAGTTCAAAAACCAATACGTAGTGACCCACGCTCCACACATCAGATTTCTTACTTGCGTACCCCTTCGATCCTCATTATACAATGCGATCATTGGAACTTACATCGTAGTGGACAACAAACCGCGCGATGGATTGACCGCGCAGGAGGTTGAGTTCATGGTTGACATGGGCGTGACGGTGATGGACTATCTCGAGGCTCAGCGCAACAATCGGAAACAGCACCGGGCGGAAAGAATGGTAAAGGCAATTGGTCTTTTCATTGAAGGAAAGTCAACTCTCAGGGAGTGGTGGTTGCAAGGCGGGCATAAGCGGGAGCAAACGAAGGTCACCAAGCGAGCACGGACTGGTTTAACTACGCTGGACGTGCAAGCAGACATTGAATTTGGTGTTCAAGACCCGGTAGAACAACCTGTTACCAGGGGGATGGAGAGCCTTTCAGTGCATGACGGGAAACCACCTCTCTCACGATCGCCCTCCTCATCTACGCTTTCGCACGTCGAACGCAAAGGCGACGGACGACCCAAAATCCCCAACAGAGACAGCACGTTCTCTTTATCAGACACTACGAATCCCTCCGTATTCTCCCAAGCACCCCGTGCAGCCTCCGTAACTACAGCCGACACGACTGAAAGCTCTATCCCCGGCCACGTTAGGCACACCTCAGTTGCTTTTGACATGCCCCAGGAAACAGCCGACGTGTCGAAGGAGCTTCAAGAAGCACTCCTGACGAAGGACCTGAGAGCAGTTTTCGCTCGTGCGAGTAATCTTATTCGGGAAGCTGGCGGCGTTGATGGCTCTATTTTCTTTGATGCTAGTGTGGGATCTTTTGGCGCAGCTTCGGAAAAAGATATCATGGGCCAGAAAGCTCCAGGGACCTTTCACGTTGATGAGACAATGACAACTAGTGAGGACGATTTTGCTCGCAAATCCTCGGACCCGGATACTCCCGCCAAATATGCAAATGATGCTAGTCAGTCGGAGCAGTGCTGTAATATCCTCGGTTTCAGCACCCGGAAACGATCCAGTCTCAAGGGTCACTCGCCCCCTCCCGAGCATCATACCTTCCCGGAAAAAGTGCTGAGGACACTGCTCAAACGATATCCGCATGGGAAAGTGTTCAACTTTGAGGAAGATGGCTCGTTTTCATCTAGCGACACAGATAATGCGTATCTCGGAGGCGAGAATGAAGATGGACCTCGCAGACATACAAAATCTGAGGCAACGATTCGGCGGAGAAAAGTATCTCGAGAAGCAGAAGCGGCCGCGCTTTTGAAAGCACTCCCCGGAGCTCGCAGCATCTTCTGGTTCCCTCTCTGGGATCCGACCAGAGAGCGCTGGTATGCAGGGTCACTCGTGTGGTCAACTGGCACACGAACTCTCTGTCCAATTGAAGATCTTGCGTACCTAGCTGCATTTGGCAATAGCATAATGGCCGAGGTAGCCCGACTCGCCGCCTTGGTTCTTACTCAAATGAAGACGGATTTCATCTCGAGTATTTCTCACGAACTACGCTCGCCGCTCCATGGTGTTTTGGCCAGCGTTGAATTTCTACAAGAGACTCCCCTGACTGAGGTACAAGCAGACATGGTCAGCAATATCAATGCATCAGGGAGGGTTCTTTTGGATACGATAAACCACGTTCTCGATTTCTCGAAAGTCAATAAGAAAGTGAAAGGCAGGGGGAGGGTTTCAAAGAGAAGGAATGGAAAGAAGCAAAGACTTTCGTTTCAAGATCACGAGAGCTTAGACAATACGCCTGATGAAACTGCGGATATGTGCATTCTATCTGAAGAGGTGGTTGAGAGTGTATGGGCTGGTCGAAATATGAGCAAAGTTCTTTACCCTACGCCTGGTAGTCATCAAACGTCAAGACCGCAATCGATGATCGCCGCCCTCGAGTCCCCGGTCATCGTCATCATAGATATCAGATGGCAGCCCAGCTGGACGTTTGAAATGGATGCTGGCGCCTGGAGAAGAATTCTCATGAATCTTTTCGGAAACTCGATGAAATATACCAAGTCTGGCTTCATCAAGGTATCAATGACCGTTGAAGAGCATTCGACCCTTAGAGGAGAGAAAGCACAGTCCGTACTTGTGCTTAAAGTCATAGACTCTGGCAAAGGAATGTCCAAGGAGTATATGAAGCACCATCTCTATAAACCATTCACTCAGGAGGATTCGTTGGCAGTGGGAGCTGGACTAGGTCTGAGTATAGTCCGGCATATCATCCAGGACCTCGGCGGAGAGATCAACTTTGTTAGCGAACAGGGAGTAGGAACAGAAGCAACGGTAAAGCTGCCCATGGTAGCTTGTCCACCAATGAAAGATGACACCTTAGACCTGGTGGCGGATGTGAAGGAATTAACGAAAGGAAAGACTTTCCATTTAGAAGGATTCGATCGATACCCGGATATCTCAGAGACACCAACGGGCATTCTCTCTGCTGATACCGAGGCAGCCATGTTCCTCAAGTCATCAATCCATGTCATGTTGACTGAATGGTTTGAAATGGAATCATCTACCTGTTTGGTCTTAGACAGATCCGCGGAAGTAGTGGTGATTATGGAATCTGGTGTTCCTTCCTTGATAGAGAAGCTACAATCGTATGTACCTGATTCAGGACCATCGATTGCTATAGTTCTCTGCAGCGCATACCCCCCTGCCGGAACAGCCACGGTTATTGGATCGCTCAGGGTCTTTTACGTCCCTCAACCGTACGTCAAGATGTATCGTCTTTCAACTTCCCTGCTAACATACTATCAGTTACGGCCCTCACAAAGTTGCAAAGACTCTCCACCACGCGTTCACGCAGGCATCAATTCCCGCGCCCATCCTAGATCCAAACGGCACGTCTGAAGTCTCTTTACTTACAATTGTACCATCATCAATTCCCGAACCGAACACCCTTCCAACGGGGGCCGTATTCCACACACCTGAATACCACGGCTTCGCCGCACCCAAACCACCACTAAAACCGTCCCCTCCCGCTCAGATTGATCGTAGAACATCAATCGACACATCCGTTATGCAACCCAGCGGGATGCGCATTCTCCTCGTTGAAGACAATGAGATCAACCTGAAACTATTGGTAGCGTACATGCGCAAACTGAAGCTGAACCACGCAACGGCTATTAACGGGCTCGAAGCACTAAACGTGTATAAGGAAGCCAAAGGGGAATTCGACGTCATATTTATGGGTATGTCTTCTCTTGCCAACCCTTCCACTACCTCCCTTCCTGGCCACCACGTCTAACACCTTCGCAGATATCTCAATGCCGATAATGGACGGCATAGAGTCGACGCGGCACATCCGCCGTTTCGAGCGCGAAACGTCCATCCAGCCGGTCGCGATGATTGCATTGACAGGTGCGGCGAATCCGAATACGAGGCAGGAGGCGTTTAGCAGTGGGATTGACTTGTTTTTGACGAAGCCGGTGCCGATGAAGAATTTGAAGGTTATGCTTGATGACTTGAAGGTTAATGGACGGCAGGGGTTGATGATTTAGATGCGGAAGGGAATATGAATGAGATGAAGCACGCTGAACCTCTCCAAGACGCGCCCGGTGAAACCATCATGAATGACTTCTGTTAACTTTAGGTGTAGAGACATGATGCATCATCAGCTCAGGCAGCCCAAAGATAGCCTACTCCGTACTCCATCGACCATCACATCGTTTTGGAGTTTGAAAAGCCTACAGGTGTACTCCGAGCGGTGGCAGGAACAGGCCCGAACTTTCCTTGCAGGGCTGTGACGCTACTGCGAAGATATTAAAGTTGAAGAGACGGTGTCATTCAGGGTCAGCATGCACGTGACTGCAAAAATGACGCTAAAGGCAACTTTAATACAACATCGCGACAATCGCCCACTTCTTCTTCTCTTCTTCATCAGGCTCGGAGGCGCCCTCTTTTGAGCTGTGCTCACTTCTTTCGTGAAACCGATCACCTTTCTCTTCGTTTCTTGTCCACAAGGCTGAGAGACACCCTCGTTAGGGTCGCCTTTCTCTACCTTTTCGATCTCCTCACCTACTTCTTTCTTTCAGCTTCGAGGCGTCCGCTTTAGGTAGCCCATTCTCACCGCTATCTCTATTCCCAGGGCGCTTTACCCGCCTGCGTCATTAAGACCACGCCCTCTACTGATCCCTGCGTCCACCCCGCTCTCGATTCAAGATGCCTCTAGAGAAAGGTAAAAGCAAAGGCAATGCTAAGACTGGAGCCTCACATGATGATCAACCGTACAGGATGAATGGGATGGGCGAATCTGCCAAGTTGGAGCTCAGGCGAAAGGTTGCAGAGAAAGATGCAGTGATCGAGGCACGAGATCGCGAAATTGAAACCCTGGGAGCCAACTTCGACAGCCTCCGAACTGAGAACGAGCGCCTCCACGCCGAGAACGAGTTGCCTCCGGAGGATGAAAGAGCCCTCATGACATCCAACGCCAACATCGAGCAGCTGCAAGAAAATCTTTCGAACGTCGAAGCAGAGAAGATTCGGAATACGAAGGAAAAGGATGCGACCATTGAGCAGCTCAATGACTGGTATGATAATCTGGTTTCCAAGTTTGGTAGGTATATGGCCTGGGCTGAGAAGCAGGTTGCTGCGTATTTGGATGCGTTTAACGAAACCAAGGAATTACTGGCAGGCCGTGACCATCTTTTGGGGCAGTTAGTACCTGGTTGGAACGAAAGGCCTGCGCCTGAGAATGATGGACAGGAAGCTGAAAGGGGAGAGGCTGCAGGGGGAGGTGATTGAAGGAGACGAGTAGTCGGAACGAAGGCAATAATCTACCATCATATTCGGGAGTGTCGTTTTGACGCGGTGATGGCGTTGGATGATCTGAGAGCTTCATGGAACATAACAAAGAGGACTAGTGAGCAAGATCTACGGGGCTTCAAACTATGAGATTGTCTGCGGCCGGCCTGCGGAGCTGCAAAGATACAAAACTTACCCAGATAGGCAGCGCTTAGCGTGATCAAGGTTGAAAATGGCTTGAGCACAGAGAAGATTTCTATCTCTTAGCGTTTCTTGGAAACGCGAAGGGACAAGCTCAAATTTCCAAGACACGAATCAACTTTCCAGGATGGACACTTTTTGTTGACTCTGGATTCGAATTTTGATACTTTGCCTCAGTCACTAAACCCCTTAAACTCCTCTTCCTCATCCAGCTTGGTCCGCTCCCTCACTGTCTCAATCATCTTCCTCAACTCGGCCTCCTTTTCCCGCTCCTCAGGTCCCAGCTTACTCACCCTCTCCTTCTCTCTCTTCGTCTCCTTCTTCTCCCGCCTCACCTCCCTCAGCGCCTTCTGATCCTTCTTCTGCGTCCAAGCCTTCTCCTCCCGATTCATCTTCCCCTTTCTCTTCTCCCGAACTACCACCTGTCCCTCCGCTCTCTCGGCTCTTCGCTGCTCCAACTCTTCCAACCTCGCTGCCTCGCGCTTCTTATCCTTGTAAGGAAACGTGTCCATCTCAAAATCCACTCCGAGCGTCTTATCCCCCTCCCACTTCTTCAGCTCCGGCATCTTGGGGAGCTTCAACAGACCCCACGCATGCCCTAACTCCCCCCACTGGAGATCCGCGACGCGGAAGATGCTACTAGCGGTGTGTTTGCTATACGCCTGCACCCAGCTGACAAACGCGCGGTTCTGCTTATCCCAGATAGCGCGATCTACTCTGACCAGTTCTCGGATCCGCTGGGTCGTGATCTCAGCATCCGCGTCGGAGATTGAGATGGCGGGAGTTAGGAGCGGGGAAATGGGGGTTTGGCGGACAGTGAGGAAGTCGATGTAATCTTCCTCTCGGCCGGGGGTTAGGAACGCGACGGCGAGGCCACGGCGTCCTGCGCGGCCCGCGCGCCCGGAGCGGTGGATGAAGGTTTTGGGGTCGCTGGGCGGGTCGATTTGGAGGACGAGATCGACGGAAGGAATGTCGAGGCCGCGGGCGGCGACGTCGGTAGTTAGGAGGATAGAGGCTGGGGTGGTTATGAGCCTCGTGCTGCTATTAGCTTGAAGGTTTCGACTTACGCGTTATCGAGTCCACGAATTTGGTGAAGTTCTTGTGGCGGACTTGGGGTGGGTGTTTTCCATGCAACGGCACGATTGTGAAATTTGGAAGGAGGGTAGGAAATATGTGCTGAAAGTAGTCCACACCAGCGCACGTTGAGAGATATACAATCGATTTCTGAGGGGTACGAGCGAGGTTATTGAGAATTGAGATGAGAGCAGGAATTTTGTGCCGTGGGGGAGTGATGAGGTACGACATTTGCAAGCTAGCCGGTGTACGTTTATCCGCGGCCCCTGAAGCGGATTTTACCTTTACGGCGATGCGGACGGGGTTCCGAAGTCCTACGCGCACTATCTGGTCGACGGCTTCGCTGACGCTTGCGCTGAAGAGGCCGGTGCGGCGCTGTTTGGGGAGGCGTTGGAGGATCTTTTGGAGGTCGTCCTTGAAGCCGAGGTCCAGGAGTCGATCGGCCTCGTCCAGAACTAGAACCTCGAATGAGGATTGAGGGCAGTGGACATGAGGGCTCGAGAGAAGTTCGAGGAGGCGACCGGGCGTGGCGATAAGTAGATTTGGGGATCCTCTGAGGAAAGAGCTTAGGTCTTGAGCGGGGGTAGTATTGCCGCCCAGTAATAGTTGGGGCACGACTTTTGGAGTCGATGCTGGAAACGTGGGCTTTTCGAGTTCGGCTTCCATGTCATCCTCAACTGGTAGTTTGATCACGGATGCAGACGGGGCGTGGAATGCGAGTAAAGACAGTAGGACTGAATGTATCTGGGTGGCCAGTTCTCTGAGAAAGACTTAGAGATGAAACAAAAAGAACTCAAGATTTCCTTACCTTGTTGGCGAGATGATGATTGCTCCTACGTGATGCTTTTTCAGGGAGCCGGCTCGGAGCAGGCGTTCGATGAGCGGGATGAGAAACTGTGAACATATATTAGCAAATGAATGATTTGACATCAAAATGAAAGTACTCACAGCGAGAGTTTTACCACTGCCAGTTACGGCTTCGACCACCACGTCTTTGTTGCTGAGGAACAGTGGAAGCGTGCTGGCTTGCACAGGTGTCATTTTGGAGAAGCCCATTGCGGAGATGGCGTCTAGGATCCATTGCGAGAGAGACGGGGTAAGGGCTTCCCATGCCCTAGGTGCGCTTTTGACGGGCTTGACGGGCTCTAGGTTCTGTTCTGGGGCCATGGTGGCTGGTTTTATGGTGCGAGGGTTGAGGAAGTTGGTGATTGATATTTTGGTGTTGAAGAGGTAGAATTTTTGGGTCGCGATCGCTGGCACGTGATCTTTGCCTCAGGCAGCAACGATTGTCTCGCACTCATGTTTAGATCAGGCACAATTTTGGTATCAAAGAGCAGACTCTCACATGCTCCGTACTTTTGGCTCTGAAGCATCCGAGGCCAACCTCAGCCGGAACCGTGGTGGTGACGCTTTTGCCAAGACCGGACCAAAAGTACAACACCACACTCCAGTGATCGTCTTCCTTTTTCGTCCATCACGTCTCTCCTCGGCTGCCCTGCGTCGCCGTCCTCACTGTGGCCCAGCCTACTCATCCACCATATGATGCTGCGCGCCCTACTCCTCAGCTCACTCTGGCCCCCGCGAGCCCTGTACGCTTGACTGCACGTCCGCTGCGCGCTTCCGATGCACCCGCCGTGATACTGGAACCCTCAGGCTGCGACTCGTCCGACATCACTCCACTCCTTTCGCATCTGTCAAACTTCTACTTTCGCGCGCATAGCACTTTAACAGGTCTCATTCGGCCTTCTGCGCTCCCCTCTTTTCCCATCTGCTGGCGACAGGCTATGGCGTCCTCGAAGCAGTACCAAATCCCCAGCACCCCGCGGGTGATATCTCCTTCGCCCACCCCCTCCGAAGCCAGCGCGCGAGACGGATATTTTGGCCCAGTGACGCGCTCTGCTGCCCGCGCCAACCGTCGCGCGCCATCGCCACCTTCAATAGACGAGGACAGCTCCAGCTCAGATCCGGAGAAGCGGGCACGTACGAGGAGCAGAAGCCCGCTACTCGATGGCAGGAAAAGGCGTTTGAGCGGTATGACGGCTATGAAGCCAGGACTATCCGCAAGAGGTGCTGGCAAGAAGCCAAACCCGGCACTGCAGAACGGCACCTCGAACGGCCACCTGTCACCGGCGGCAGCGAACAAGAACTACTGGCGGGAGATGAGTAGGAGTCCAAGTCCTCTAGGCCTCATTCCTATCCACCAGAAATGGCGGTCATTCGTGAGTCAGACCCTTTTCTCGATCCCCCAGCGTTGTGCTTTGCTGATCGGCCTAGATTCACCGGCATGAAATTCCCCGCAAGGTCCTCCACGTCTCCATCGGCTTCTTGACCACATATCTCTACTGCAGCGGGACGCAAACCTCGCAGATCCACCCTGTCCTTCTCACTCTTCTCATCCCTATCGCTGCAACCGACCTCCTCCGCCACCGTTACCATCAAGTCAATCGCTTCTACATTCGCTGCCTAGGCGCCCTGATGCGCGAGTCCGAAGTCGACGGCTGGAATGGCGTTATATTTTACCTGCTAGGTGCATGGACTGTGCTGCGTTTCTTCCCCAAGGATGTGGGTGTCATGGGCGTGTTGCTTCTGAGCTGGTGTGATACGGCTGCATCCACATTTGGCCGCCTTTGGGGCCACCGGACTTGGCGCGTTCGGAAGGGCAAGAGTCTCGCGGGCAGTATCGCGGCATGCATAATGGGTGTAATCACTGCCGTATTTTTCTGGGGCTGGCTGGCTCCACACATGCCGGCGGCATACGATGCTCCGCCCAATTCCTTCGCCTTCCAGGGCAGTCTCACACTCCCTCCGAAAGCTAGAGAGATATTGGGATTGTCGGCATCACAAAGCTCAATCACGGGGCCCTTGGCTCTCGGTGTAATGAGCTTGTGGGCAGGTATCGCGGCCAGCGCGAGCGAGGCCATTGATCTGTTCGGATGGGACGACAACCTCACCATTCCGGTACTTTCAGCGGTAGGCCTTTGGGCTTTCTTGAAAGTCTTCGGCTAGTTTGAATTGTCATTGGCCGAAATACGTTCTGTTGTGACTCTTTCCTTTGGTTCATGCGTCGCTCTATACACCCTTTTCCTTCTTTTCACTCTGCATATATCCCCAGAGCGCCAATTTGATCTTACAGCTGGACTATGTAGTCCGTTCATCACTTCCATATTTCTTTAAGTACTTTCCGCTTATAGAGAAGCTTGAATACCATATTACCCAGACTTCCCTACTTTCTATTACGTCATGACGGCGTCTGGGTCGTTTTGGATGAGGTGGGCGGGTCTAGAGAGCTCTTACCTCACCTTTTGCATGCTTAGACGGGAACTTTTTCTTCGAGTTCTGCGGATCGGATAGGAGGCTTGGATGAATGGCTTGACGGCGGGAGGAGGGACATGTGCGATGAAAGGGATCTGGACGTTTATGTACGAGTAGACACGGCGAACGTGTAGTTGATAATTTAACGATCGAGAATCAAATCAGCATAAGACGAGGTTCACACAACCACCTTGTGAGTAATTAAACGGGTATTATGTCTCCCTCATCACTTCTCTTTTGCTTACACTCAAGTAACGTCCTTTTCCCGTCTCCACCCGTCTCATCATATTCATCAATCTCCAAATCCCATAAGTCAGAGGTTGTATTTACACTCTGCTCCACGGAGTCATGCACGCCCTTTGGCCTTGTGTAGAAACGCATCACGGTCGGAAAGAAGACTGCGCCCACCATCGCCAGCTCAGCAATTTGGGGGCGGGTAGGCGATATCACCAGGCGCTCCGCCGATCGCCTTCGTGGCACCCAGCATGCCACTCCCTAGCGAAATTACCAAAGTCGAGTACGTACGGACTTTCTGTGCCTCGCCACTTCAGCTGTTCAAGTGCGAAACAAACAAAGTCTACTCAAATGCCGACTCATAGCAGCTTCAAGATCTACACAAGATGTTACGCATAGTTCCAATGTCGTGAATTTATCTCAAGTTGTTATATCATGCGAATCAGTGAGATCCGATACATGGGCAGCGCGCATACATGATGTATATCCCGGCATATCACTCACTCCCCCACCTCGCGATCATCCTGCCAATGAGCAAACTTCCTCACGAACGACCAGTTCCACGTCGTACGCCGAATGCCTTTCCCAAAGAAATACAATGGAATTGCAAAGAGAATAACAGCACTTGCTATGCCGGCCATCGACCCAAATGCTTTAGCATAGCCATAACTATCAATCCATGGATTTGTGTAGAACGAGAGAAGGAAGCCGAATGCCGTTAAATCCATGTTAGATTTGCGACCCGCGTCGGAATGCAAAGGCTTGCTTACCCTTGAATACTAATTGCGACACAGCCACCTCGCCAGCAGCAGGTCTGTAGCAATCGATGGTGTACACCAGGGACACGCTCGTTACCTGCACAATCGCAAAGTTTAAACATCCCAGCCCTAATGTTGGCACCATCCAGTGTAAATGGTTGTTGATGCCAACCCCGTAGAGGATAAGAGCGACCGGGATGAAGATGCCACCAACCGCCACTGCCGGAAGCCTCATTTCAGGCTCGCGCAGACCTCCGTTCCGCTTTGTAAACCAATCGGCAGTCCAATCAGAGACGTGGCCGCCGAAAGCTATTGCGAGGAATGAGCCTATGATGGCGGAAACGAAACAGAGGCCTGATTGCCATGGCGCGAAGTTGTAGGTTGCAGCAAAAGCACTTGCGAAGTTCGAGGTGATGGCGACAAGAAATCCTACGGTGACGGACATGGCAAAGGACGCCCAAAGGACTGGTGGTAGTAAAATGAGACTTATCGGTCGGAGAAAGATCCTCCACAAAGACTCGGAAGTGTATACACCTGAAAAAAGGCTAAGAGAGCTAAGATAGGACCTGCCGGGGGGTAGCTCTCGGCGATAGGCATCTGCACTCCCTAGTTTCAAGTCCGGTTTGTTCTCGAAACATGTAGCAGTGTTCGAGAGCTTCTCACCTTCATCTACGACAACACCTACAGGTACCATCTCATCATCTGACTCCTGGCCGCGCAGGAAGGTGGTCTCGGGGAATGTAAGAATTACCAGGATCGTCGTAAGGCCTGTAAGGGCCGCTCCGACGTAAAAGATATAGTGCCACAACAAAGTCCTCACAATCAGACCACTGATGACAATCCCGCCGCCAACGCCCATGGAAAGGGCTGCGGTATATATGGCCATGATGGATCCACGTTCATGCAGGAAGAAGATATCTGCAATCGTCAAGGGTCCTAGGCATTCTCCAGCGCCGCTAGCCAAACCCAGGATGACTCGACCAGCAAGCTCCACTCCGTACGACTCGGCAACACCGCACCAGACGGCACTGGCAGTGTAGAGGACGAACGAGATGATGTACACCGGGCGCCGGCCGTACTTGGCAATAAACGGCATCCAGAATAGCATGCCAATGCCCTGGCACAGAGAGGCCACTGTGAAGAGATAGGCAGTCGTCGAGATGTGAGCTGGCAGATTTGGGCCGGGTGGGCCGAAGAAAGTTTCTGCGATTGACACAATTGCAACGCTAGGACCGGCGGCTAAGAAGTTGGTCATGAACATGGCGAAACACACTAGTACTGCGATGTAGAGGCGGTAGGTCCTGGACCTGTGTCTTATCAGTCGGCATTCCGCAAGAAAACCTTCGAAGTTTCGATCAGCGAGACGTTTTTACGACATACCAATTAAGAGGATCATTAGGATTAGAGGAGGGCGTAGGGATCAGGATGATCTCGTTTGTGTGGATATGTCGCAGTTGGAGGCTGCCCAGGTTTCGGAGCTTCTTCTGGGCATGACGGTTGATATGAACTCAGGTTGAAAATTGATGTGAACTCTGTCTTATTTCGGGGGCCCGAAGGCCAAACTATATACTACGTAGGAAGTGACTGTATGCATAGGCAGAAGCACTAATTGGAGGCAGCAGTAGGCAGCATTAGGCAGGGTAGGCCACCGTACCCCAACCCCTCTCTGTAGAAGTTGTAACTGGCTAGGCATGTAGGCAGCTACTATGCCAGCAACTCCAAGTCTGTACGTAGGTGACCGTGAACCGTATGAGTTGTTGATCCTAGGTTGTAGCTGTTACAACCCGAGTTATGATCTTCCGCCATCTTCTAGTGAAGCACAATGTAGATATCTAATTTCGAGAGATTTTGGTTACCGATGTTGAAGAGGTTGATCTGCTGCAAGACTCAGATGGAGATTGCGGGGATTTTCTACATTTTTCGGGGTCGTAGGCAATACAATCGCGGGAGAGAGTTATGCCTCGTGCCAAAACACTATTGCAAGGAGGCCTAGCTCTAGGGATGTGGTCGAGAAGCCGGCATCTAGCGACCTCCACTCCGTAGCCCACGACAAAAAGCGCCTAGCACATTTCCGGGGCATAAGCATCCGGGGAACTTGAAAGCCACCACCCTAATCATCCTCCACATTTCTCCATGTGGGGTACCCCGGAAGATCTACGCTTCAAATTTCAAGATTTGTGTTTACTGCAACCCGCTTTGAGATAACTCTCTCGCCAGCCAATTAAAAACCAGTATGTTCAATGCTGACATCCGTGCACTTGGTATTTATGGTGAGATGAATTAGATTGTTGATATCTAGTACACTGTTCAGTCAATCAAAAGCCCGCCATTAGCATGCAAATGGACACCATTGATCCAGCTTCCACGGTCCTCACACAGTATCGCAACAGCATAGGCAATCTCCTCCGGCTCCGCCATTCTCGAATCGACAGATGTCTGATTAATAATAATCGGCTGGAGCATTGTCATCGCTTCTTCCCCCTGCATCCGCAAAGCCGGCTGTCCGAGTTGGCCCAGGACTCACTGTGTTGACAGTACAACCATACTTTGGGGGAAGGTCCTTCGCCCAGCGCCGTGTGAAGGAGTCCCGCATTCCTTTCGTGCCCGCATAGATGGTCTGGCCAGGTGGAGCGCCTAGGATGCCCTGCGCACTCGCGGGATATTCTTGAAGATGACGAAGCCCAATCTTCTTGGAACTTCTTCAAACACCCTTGGGCCAATATCATCTACTGCCGGCTCGGCTCTCGGATCGGAGTGGACCTGTGTGGGGAGGTGATGTCCTTGGCATATCGGTTCGGGACCACATTTTCTCCACCTGTGTAGATCGCGTGCCAACCGAGCGAGTATGTACAGCCTCTCTTCACGTCCGGTGGTCACTCTCTAATATCAAGCCACAGCCTTACCATATAAGGGAGCAACTCTGGGCGCCTTAAGGGGGGGGATTGCGACCCTCTAGCCAATCAATCCTCAAGCCGGTTAAGTACTAGCCTAGAAAAGAGGTATGCCAGGATCAACTCAGTTCAGCGCTAGACCACCGGACGTGAAGAGAGGCTGTATGTACATACAGGATGCCCCTAGTTCCGGTGAGTTAGCGGGCAAAATCAGGCTATGGATCGGCCGCAAAAAAGGGGTATTTTTGTGAAAATAACGCCTCAAAGTACCATGCTTTCCGCAGTTCAAGCTCAGACCGACATGAATTACTCCAGAAAATGGTTGTCTCCGCGGTCACAACCTCTATATCCACCTACTGCGTGTGTGGCTTCAATTTCGCGCTAAACCACCGGAACTGAGAACATATGTAAATGTACATTTACATATCATTCAACGACCTTAAACATGGCGCGTCTCCTAGTCACTACATCTAGCTCTCTATTCTCAAGGCCGATATTGTCGATATGGTGTCCATTGAGACAAGCTTGCCAATCATCTGGCGGCCCAATCGATATGAAAACGAATACGAACGTGCACGAGTCGGACGCGTCTTCAATGCGCGTGGGCCAAAGCGATTTCCACACGCTGTGGTAGAGGCGACCGCAGAATCACAGGTTGTGTAGGCGGTTCGTTTGGCCATCCGAGAGAAGTGCAGGGTCTCTGTCAGATCTGGTGGCTACAGATGGGCAGCCTGGAGATCTTGATCGACCTTGGGTAGTATCAGCATCTTGAATTGGATGAGGAAAAGAAAGTAATTGCTGTATCTCCGAGCACGACGGGAAGAGTGTTGAACGGCCTCCTCTCGACGAGAGGACTGTTTGTTGGCGGTCACTGCCCTGACGTGGGTGTTGGGGGATTCCTGTTGCAAGGAGGAATGGGATGAAACTGCAAGAACTTAGGCGTGCGAGCAAGTCGTCGCGATTGACGCTGTAAATGCTGGGGGCGAACTACTACACTGCGACGCGGAGCAAAATTCTGATCTCTTCTGGCCCGCGCGAGGAGCAGGGCCTGGCTTCCCTGGAGTCATCACCAAATTGTGGCACCAGTGGACTTTGAATCGGGTTGAAGAAGGTCAATGTATGTAAAATAGCGCAAGATTTGAATGCTTTTTCTTCCATATTCAAAGTTGCTACATAATTTTCACTTGCCTCGGAGGTGTAAAGTTGTGCACTAGATCATGTATCCACCTATGGTCAACGCACTGTCTTGGTCTCCATACCTAACCTTCAGAGAGCCTGGCACTAGACTGAGTTTCTCATCATAAATATTGCCTAGTTGATGATACTTTGGAATAATAGTCTCGGAACTTTCGACCCCTGTCAAGGGAGAAAGGTGCTGCCTCTTTCATTCCACGGGACGAGCAGTGGAGACGTCAGGAACACCCACTCCCTCTACTACCTTCGCTCCAACAATTTCGTATACGGGCAACTCTTGCAGCCGAGAAATTATATGATGCAGTGTAGGCAGTGCCTCCCAATCCAGTGCATCTATCTTGAAAGTCGCCTTCGCCGCCTTGAAGAATCGCTGAGGCTTGGGTTTTGGTGTGACATCGTTCGATGCATCGAAGACTGTGTACTCTTCGGCAGGCTTGCCTTTGTTCTCCCGACCAACTGTTGGCATGTAGCGGTATGCGAGGATGCCGTCATCACGCTCACCACTGATCGCTCCACTCTCCGAAGACGAATCTACCTCTTGTAGTCCCTCCAAGTTGAACTCTCCCCATGTTGCCCCTTCCCATCCGGTCTTAATCCGATACGAGGTCTGCCTTCGGTGCACATCTACTGATGTGTACAGCTTTGGCATTCCTAGCTCTTCTCGCCCGGATACAATCGGGTCAGTCAAGGATTCGAAAAGAAGCGGCAGGTACGAGCCGCTAATAGTTTCTTTGTTCTTTTTTTCATACTCAACACCATGGATGTAGAGACCGATGTGCTTGTATCCTGAACCACCAAGCCACTCCATCTTGTTTAGCGTCGTTTGTGAGATGGACGCGTAGGCTACGGTGCCAGGAGACTTGAAACTCCATCCAGAGCGGCCGGGAGGAAAGAGGTTTTGAAGTAAAGTTCGCGATGTCTTGAACTTAATAGACGCTGTTGTGAATGTGGACTGCGTACTGTCCCTGGCGACCCCATAAACGGTCTGCCGTGGTCCTGGCATGGGGCCGAATGCTATTGGCATGCGCCAATAGACGTCAGCGTTCCTCTTCCATGTCCACTCTCGGAGTTTCTGCGTTGAGTTGTCCCATTCATCATGGCCAAAGTTGTAGTGCGAGAATCCGTACACTGCCGACGTTAGCTGCTATTCAGCACAATGCTCGCACTATCTCTCTTCAGCTTACTGTCCAACTTGTTCTTTCCTCGGCTCTCCCCAATCATGCGCGAGAATTCCTGGATCCGATTTGCTCGCTCATACCGGATTTCCCGATAGAGCTTCAGCCTGTCGGCTACTTCCTCCCGCGGAGTGCCGTGAGGGAAAAGAACTGCCAAGGAGGCCGCATCTTCGATGGCAACACCTGCGCCTTGGCCCTGATGGGGTAAGAATGGGTGTGCCGCATCTCCCAGAAGAGCCAAGCGCTCGTACGTCCAGCTTGGAATAACTTTCATGTCGAGCAGGGTCCACACATTGACCGTCTTTGGATCAACCTTGCCAATGAGCGCTCGTACGGCTGGGTCAAATGAGCTGTAGATTTGCAGCATCCTATCACGGTCGCCCGTCTGATCCCATCCGTCGCCAGACTCAGCCGCCGACTCCGACTCCGGATGGACGCATACGAAATTCAGCACGCTGTTCTTCGAAGTTGGGTACATGATGATTCGGCGGTCTTCTGCATACCAGATCGACAGCTCTCCGGGCGTCTCGACAAACTGCCGTGTTGCTGGATCTGCTTGCGCAGCCTTCTTGGGCACCAGAAATCGATAGGCACTCTTACCACAGGAGAATGGCTCGACGTTGCCTCCTGGGACTTGCTTCCTTGCAACAGAATGCACACCATCTGCTCCTAGGACCACATCACCGTGGAACTGGCTTCCGTCCTCGAGCGTGATGCTCGCGGTAGTCGGTTGAATGTCAATGACTTTACTGGACAAGCGTAATGTCACTGGCTTCCCCGTCGCGTGTGGATTTGTTGCGGCAGATTTCAGTTGATTGTGCAACTCGATACGGTGAGCAAGTAACCAAGGCTGGAGACAAGTCAGTAAGAATGACTGGCTGCTCCTGGCAGGGGTTAGTGAGTGGGACTTGCATGCTGCCACATCTTGTTCGTCTCTCTAAGGTCCATCGACCTCTCCGTATCTCCTGTTGCAGAGTACTCTGTAAGCTGTCGTAACAATTAGTCCACATTTAAAAGTTGTCAAAGGTTTGGAGCAACTCATTACTCTTTCCATGGGGTTCGCGCCGAACGTCTCGGCGAAAATCCCCAGTCGCCGCAGAATACCATTAGCGTTTGGAGCCAGATGGATTGCTGCTCCAGTCTCGCGTGCAAGAGCTGACTGTTCAAATACCTGCAATATGCGTTGAGCTTAAGTCTGTTAAGTTCAATATCACACAAACCTGAACATCATGGCCCTGTTTTCGCAGCGCGATTGCTGCCGTCAAGCCTCCAATCCCAGCCCCAACTATCAAGATATTCAAATAATCTCCCTTAGCTGACGCCGATTCCATTCCATTTGGCATTCTCGCGGGTCTCGGGTGTTTAGATTTGCGACTGCTTGAGGACTTGGAACAATGTGAAAAGTTGATCAGAGGCTTGAAGCTACTAGTATATGTGTGAATGGGGTACCCGGACTCGATTCGGACTTCTTGAGGATGTACATGCGGCTCCACTGACTGTCCCAGAGTAACGCTCGGGATGTGGGGCTTCGGGGCCGGCAAGGCGAGCTCTACGAATCCGGGGAGAAGCCCCTTCGGCAGATGACTTCTAGCACTGGCATATGGTATTGTTTTGCAAACCTGGATTGGTACACTACTTCTGCCCGGTCAAACTTCGCTGGCCTTAGCTCGTGGAAGGCCCGGTGGGAGGGTCGTCGCATTCTATACGAAAGTCATGGGTGATTCAAAGAGATTTGCTCAAAATGGGAACCTCCATTTCAATGCCGCGTGCCAATACTTCGTATTTGAAAGACTACAGCCGTGCTTTCGTGCCATTTCCTAGCTCCTGATAATCTTGAATCCAGGCCACCTTGTCGCTAAGATATTTCTGCGCCCGCAAGTCTCCTGAACGCGCGTGGCCTTCAAAGTTCTCTGCTCGAGCAGCACGACCGCATAGTCTACCAAGCTCCCCGCTTGCTTCGCTGCTCTTGACCTCTTGATAAGTCACTGTTCGCAGGAACTTGCCAACCCAGAGTCCACCCGTGTACCTCGCTGCCTTCCTCGTGGGAAGGACGTGATTTGTCCCAATGACCTGCAACTTGTGTGTTAGATTTCATGCGTAGGCAGTACGTTCAAAACAGCAGAGCTGCGGCAACGTACCTTGTCTCCATAGGAAACACATGTTTTCTCTCCCAGAAATAGCGCTCCATAGGCGGACATGTTTTCTAATGCATCTCGAGGCCGCTTTGTAAACACCTGTACGTGCTCACTGGCGTACTCATCCGCCAACTTCCAAGCTTCGGCCAGGCTGTCAACCACTATGACTTCACCAAACGCATCCCAAGAGACTCCAGCAATAGAACCAGTGGAAAGGTTCTTCAAAAGCTCGTCAATGATCTCGATTGATTTCTGCCCTACCACCTCGGACGTCGTGATGATAACCGCTGGAGAGTCCGGACCATGCTCTGCCTGTGAAAGTATGTCCGTGGCGATGGTGAATGGATCCGCGGTTTCGTCCGCCACCAGGAGGATCTCTGTAGGCCCAGCAAACAAATCAATTCCGATCTCGCCAAAAAGCTGTCTTTTGCCCTCGGCCACGAAAGCGTTGCCGGGACCTGCGATGAAATCAACTTTGCGGATTGTTTGGGTGCCAACTGCCATAGCTACTACAGCTTGGACGCCCCCTAGAATGAAGATTTCGTCGGCGCCTGCTAGATGCATTGCGGCCACGGTTGCGTTGGGGATCTTGCCAGCGATAGGCGGCGTGCATCCTACAACATGTCGAACACCAGCAACCTTTGCGGTGAGAATGGTCATGTGGGCCGAAGCAAGTAGTGGGTACCGTCCGCCCGGGATGTAGCTACGCAAACACATCAGTCCAGCCGTTGAGGCCATGTGGTGTGGCATACTCACGCGCCAACGCAGTCGATTGGAACATTTTTCTGGCCAAGGAAGACGCCCTTTGATGGTGTTAGTGTCGAAGGAGAGCCTAAATAGCCGAATGGATTGCTCACGGGGCGAATTTCCAGCTCGAAGTCTCTGATCGAATTTCGTTGTGCAGCTGCAAAGGCTTTGACGTTTGCCTGCACTTGCTTAATATCGTCTATCGTCTGATTCGGGCACGCGGCTATCGCAGCCAAAATCTCTTCCTGGGTGAGCTTGAAAGATTGAGGTGCCCATTTATCATATTTGTCAGAGTATTTGCGAACGGCGTCATCTCCAGTCAACCGGATTTCGTCGATTACACCCTTGACAATGGCGCTGACGTCGACTCTGGGTGTATTCGCCGTCTCGGTTGTTGAACCGCTCTTGAGGAATTTGTGGCCCATTGGGTTTAATCGATAGTGGGGAAGTTGCTAGGGATCTTTGTTGTTGAGTTTGGCAGAGTGCACGCAGTTCGACGTGATACTAGTTGCATTGGGGCACCCCTACTCTCGTACTAATAGCCTACGACGTCCCAAAATAGGTGAGCGGAATACCGGCTCCACCTTGATTGTCAATCCTACATCCGAGTATGTAGGAGACTTGCTCATGCGTGGAGTAGGGTAAAAGGTGAATCCGAAATTTGTTGTCGCCCACAGGAACAACGGAAAATGGAGTATTCCTTATCCATGAACGGAACCCTCCAGTGTGGAAATGGCTAATTCAATGCCACTAGTCTTCACGGGAAAATTGAAATCATCCATAGTACTTTGCATGTTTGATAGTTCCCATACATGGGTCTGCTTTGCCAAATCATTCAATGTTACTGTGACGAAAGAAGATCAAAAGCCAGAGACGCCCGCTGTATCCCTGCAGGATTGCCTCCCATCATTTCGACGGCTTTACATCATCCATTCCGCTACCGTAGTCTTCTCCCAGTTGCACGCCACTGAATTCCAAAGGCTGAGCTTCCTGCAAAACGTAAAGCATTCGTGCCCAAGCAGTTGAGCTCGGATTCCTCCATGCGTGATTTGTCCCCCTCTGAATCGATATGTCTCCACGTTTCAGCAGTCGCACTTCGCCCGAATCGAGTACCAGCTCGACCTCTCCCTCGAGGACCACTCCGTAGTCCAGACTGATTGTTCGATGCATCGGCGACAACGACCCTGGCTCTAAGTCGACAACTCGTATGACTGTGCCACCTGGGATCGTGATTCCAGGCAGGTTGTTCGTATAGTGCTGGTAGACCTCCAGGTCCTTGTTCTTGCTGAGATTGACCGGAAATTCATTCGTGGCGTAGCCCAGGCTGAACCGAGCCCCATTCGCAAGCTGCTGCCATTGGAGAGTAGTCGGCACGGCTTTTGAGAACGTGGTTACGCCTCGCTCGTCGTGGTCAGTGATGTAGCGACTGAGCGGCCGGAGTCCGTTATCATCCATATTGAGTGTGCTGATTGAGTGAGAGTGGAAGAGTGGCGGAAAAAAAAGTTGATCAAAGACCCATGACGGGCTGCCAGCCCATTCATGAATGGCAGTCTGGTGACCCAAGTGTCAGGAACACGACTCGGCCGATGGAGGTCAGAGCTAGGCGAGGGAAGTCAGTCACGATATCGGGAACTCAACATGTCGGGAGGGGAGGGGGAGTGGGGCCGAAGACCCCCCCCCCAATTAGGAGAAACGAAGAAGCATTCCATGTCGATGGAATGGCACAGTCACGCGATTTTCTTGGAGCTAGATTCTCTTGCCCTCTGTCATTAAACGATCATGGACACATCTAAAGTCGCTCTCATTACGGCTGGTTCGAAGGGGCTTGGGGCAGCTATTGCTCGGGTTCTGGCTACCGAAGCTTACATGCGAGTCGTGATCAACTACCACTCAGATTCTTCTAGTGCAGATGAACTTGTTCAGGAACTGAAACACTTGGCTCTAACAAACACACGGCACGATGGGAGCCTGTCCGACGGAGAACGTTTCATAGCGATAAAAGCGGACATGGCATTTCCCGACCAGATCAGACGACTTGTCGAAGAATGCATCGCTAAGATGGGACGATTGGATGCTGTGGTCTCGAATGCAGGATGGACACGCATGACGAACTTCATGGATCTACAGGATGCAGATCGTGAAGCTGATTGGGATCAATGCTTCAACATGAATGTCAAGAGTCACTTTTTCCTATTCAGGGCTTGTCACAGACACTTGAAGAGTAGCGAAGGTGCATTCATTGCGACAGCAAGTGTTGCTGGCGTCAAACCAAGCGGCAGTTCACTGGTGAGTCTGTCTAGACGACAAATCATCCCTATCGTGCTGACCGTAATCCAGCCGTATGCTGTTACTAAAGCTGCTCTCGTTCATTTGACAAAGTCCCTTGCAGTCATCGCTGCTCCTCAGATACGTGTCAACTGCGTCTCCCCAGGCGTCTTACTCACGGTGAGTTCTTGCCGATGTTGTACGTGTGTCAATGGCTGAAAAGAACAGGACTGGGGCCGTCAGTTCTCAGAGGAACGGCTCCAGACGGTGAAAACGACGAATGCTCTCAAGCGACTTGCAACAACTGAGGTGAGCAATTCGTCCCAAATTGTGTCGTACCATTCTACGAGATTGTCCGCGCTTACGTATGTTCGCCCCAAGGATGTCGCGCAGCAAGTAAAAGTCCTTGTACTTTCTCAGTCCGTAACTGGGGTAAATACGATTGTTGATGCTGGCTTTTCTCTATGAGTGAGATCATCCATGATTCCATACATTAGACGGCGAAGAGGAAGTGAGAAATTGTACATCCTATCCAGGCTAGAAGAATAGAAAGCTACATATGTAATTCTCCAGTACCAGAGTGCTTCACACTTCCAAGCACCAAGCAAGTAGTGCAGCTGCCAAGCTTCGGGAAATGCTGGCTGCTCAGTGGTCTTTTTCGGCTGGGGCCTCGGCGATAAAGGTGAGTGTATTACTCGGTGTCTGTTTTAACAAGATTTCGAGAATATTTTAGCAAGAAAAAAGGGGTCACATATTACTACACGCGCAGTACAATTGCTATCATCTGGCACCCCGGAAATGCTCAAGGCGCCTCGTGATATGGACCATGTTTGAGACGCAAACGGTTACTCAAATTTGGCCTAAATCAAAATGAAAGACAGCTCTAGCCTCAAATGCTGGCAATTGGCACGCTCTGCCAGCGGCCGATGGTGAACTGCGAATTGCTCATGTTGGTGAGTTCCCAGGTCTCGGCCTTCAGTTCGCCATATGTTCCCAAATCATCCTCGCTACCTGCTGCGCCCGCAACAAACATTGCAGCCATGAAGTGATCGTCAGTGGCGTGGGCGTCTCTAAACCTGGGATGCTTCATCAACCTGGTGACAGCTCGCCGAAGGAAGGGCCCGCTGTTGTTCGAAATGGCGTCTTCCACGGCCTGGCGAAACTCCAGTGCCCAATCCGCTGGTGGCTTTTCCTGTGCAAAGTTGTCCGAGTACTGCAGCATTGGCCGCCATTCATTGCGATACAAGTTGTGGACCGCACCGCCAGAACCAATGAGAAGGTAGCCTTGTTCTCGCAAAGGGCGCAGCGCCGCTCCCACCTTCATGTGAAAGTGTGGATCAAAGCGGGAGTTGAGCGAGATGACGGTGGTGGGAGGGCATTTTGCGGGGAACATGCGGATCAGAATGAGGTACGTATCGTGGATCCAGTCAAAGGTGTCGTTGCCAGTAACGTTGAAGCCGGTGGATGCCAGCATGCTGATACAGCGTTTTGCGCCGTGCAGATCGGGTACCAACTCATAGTCGACGTACTTTGACGGGTGGACGTAGGCCACGGGGGACTTGGCAGGCCTGGGGTTCGTCGAGACCTCGATCTTGTCTTTGCCACGACTGTCCCAGTGTGCGCCCTGGGGAGTGTTAAGTAGCTGTGCTAACGTGCGGGCGATGGCTTCCTACCATCATGACCACGCCCTTGATGCCGTGCGCCAACGCCTCGTCGCCGCATTGCTTCCAGTAGTCGGCCGACTCGGACGCTTCGCCCAGCATCATGGTCGAGCCATGGGAGAACAAGTGCACTGGAGTCGGAGCTGTGCACGCTGATTAGACGGAGCGACGAGGCCGGAGGGAGACGTAGAATACCCATTGTTTCCGCACAGATGCGCTCTCTTCGCTGGGCGGACGGCTCAGCAGCAGGGCGGGCGCTGTCCTTTGATTCCGCCTGCGCAGGCCATGCACTGGCCCTGTGGCCCTGCAAGCCGACGACTCGAGCATGCCCACCGTGCCCACCTCGGAGCCGTGAGCATCTCCCGAGCAGCGTGCGCCCCGCAGCAGCAAAGGTATTCTAAGGCGCCACGCCCCGCCCACTTTCCCCACACCACGCTGCTCTCCTCCACTTCCACCTCCACCTTCCCCAGACACATTCCATTCCCACCATGGCCACCGTGGCCACCGTGGCCGATGCTCTGCCAACACCACAGCCAACGTCTGCCACTCCCGAGCTGGCACCCGCACTGCCCCAGAATCGTGCGCGCCCCGCCCGTGGCGCGTTCCAGTGCGGCACCTGCTCGCAGTCCTACACCCGGCTGGACCACCTGGCCCGCCATGTCCGCTCACGTCCGTATCCCCCCCTGGCGCTGCGTCCGTCATGGCCATGCTGGCGGCTGGCGGCTGACGGCTCCGCGCAGACACGCAGGAGAAGCCCTACGCCTGCCATTCGTGCGAGAAGCGTTTCAGTCGAGTGTAAAGAGCCAGTCCGCACCCGGTCTGGCCGTCGCCATGCTGACTAGCTTCCACCCAGCGACCTGCTCCGGCGCCATGCTGCATTGCACAGCGAAGGCACAGCAGCCGAGCCCACCAAACGTCGTCGAATTGGCACCAGCGCGGCAGGTGCAGTGCGTGTGTCCCAGGCGTGTGCAGCTTGCGCAGATAACCATCTGAAATGCGAAGACCAGAAACCGTGCAGGCGATGTCGGAACAAAAACATCGCTTGTCACGTGCCTGAGAAGGCGTCGGCGACAGACACCATCGAAGCGAGAGAAGAAGAATGCGAGGAGCTGGCGTTGGATCCCGCGCTACCCGTCCTACACCACCCGTCGGAGAGCATGCCCTTCAACAACCACCATTTCGCTGCCCATTCATCACCTGCGCCTTTCCATCGCTCCTTGACCGCGGCTCAACAGCCTGAAATGCTGATGCATTCCTCGGAAAGAACCATGATGAGTCCGACGGTCGATGGCTTGCCTGATGCCATGAACATGCCCTTCACGGATTCCATGGATTTGCTTCCTACCACATTCATGCCCACACTGCCGAGCGGGACAAGGACGCCCCGAGGAGTATTCGACTTCGGCCTCGAGACAAATCTCGAATTTAGCGACAGTGATCTTGGCTTCCTCAACTCTTACAACACTCGCGTCCCTTTTGAATTCGAAAACCAATGCGAAGCAGTAAACCTGCCACGTTCCCACACAGTCAACGACGACGTCGTTGGTGGAACCGCTCCGAATACTGCGAGCCCTTTACAGACATCAATCTGGCGCTTTGTCCCCAACTCTCGCGACCATGCCGCAGCAGAACAGCCACATCTATCTCTTCCGGCCGCTGAAAGTTGCCGAGATAGTCCTGCGAGTCGCGTTGGACTTGGTCGGCGGGCTACGACAGAAAAACTCGACATGCTGTCACGCGACAGGATTCTAGGTATCGTGCTCAGCCAGGTCAAGCCGCACATCTCTCGGGCCTTGTCTTCTTTCCCCTCTGTAGACCTGCTTGACAGTCTGCTACAGTACTTCCTAACCGCCCCATTCTCCGGTGCCAGCTCCTGGTTCCATGCTGCCAGCTTCTGCCCAAGAAAGTCGCGACCGGAGCTTTTGGCTGCAATGGCTGCCGCTGGCGCTGTCTTAACACCGGACATGTCGCTACGGAAGCTCGGCTTCGCCATTCAGGAAATCGTCCGGAACTACTTGCCCACAGTATGGGAGAACAACAATGCCGAAATCCGCGATCTTGAGCTTGCGCAAGCCTTCATGCTGCAATTGGAAATCGGCCTCTGGAGTGGTAATAGTCGCAAGATTGAAATTGCCGAAAGTTTCCAACAGCCACTGCTGACGATGCTTCGTCGCGGAGGCAAGTTCAGGCGGTCCAGCTATCCGGCCATTCTGTTGCAACCCGAGGACAATAACCACACGCTGAGCGAGAAGTGGCATACGTGGATCAAGCAAGAGTCCTTCAAAAGACTGGTTTTCCATCTCCTCCAGCATGACGCACAGTCCTCCGTCGCGCTTCTGGTAAGCCCGCTGATATCTTATGCTGAAGTCGGTCTTCCGTTACCAGAATCACAATCTCTCTGGACAGCGACCAGCGCAGAGGACTGGAAGGCGCTGTACTTGACCAACGCCGATAATGCTTCGATTCGCATACCAGCACTGACGGACTGCATCAATGATCTGGAACTGCTGGAGTCGAGTAGCCATCTCACTGACGTGCCATTGTCGTGTCGTGCATTCCTGCACGCCTTGTGGGGAATGGTCTGGGAATACCGCCAATTGGCTCTGCTGTTTCGTGGGCAGCCGCATTTCTGGGATGGTGGGCTTGTAATGATGTCCCGATACCAAGAACTAATCAAGATACTCGACCACTTCCGCCTTGGCTATGCGCAAGGCTGCAACCTACTTTTGGAACTAATTCTCATGCATATGCACCTATCACTGGATGATGTGCAGCTCTTCGCAGGATTGGAGGGTCCAGACGAGGCCCGCCGCGTGTACCAATCAATGGGAGAATGGACGCGAAGCAAAGCCTCGCGTCAGGCCGTGTGGCACGCAGGCCAGGTCGTGCGAGCTGCTAAGTCTCTGCAGCCTCAGCATCTGCGAGACATCAACGCCATTGCCGTATATCACGCAAGCCTAGCGTTTTGGGCATATGCCCTAGCTTCCAGGATAGTGGGCTCAGAGAAGGCTTCTGTGGCCGGACAGAGTACGTCGTCAAATCCTCGCGCTGCGGAAATGCGGATGGTCTGGCTAGATGATGCGGAGACGGTGGACACCCAAAAATTCGTTGCCTTGAAACGAGGCTCGCCTGCGTTGCGCGATGTCCGGCCAGGCACCCAAGCGGCGCCACTTGAGGCCCCAAGCGCTGTTATTGAGGTTTTGATTGAGACCATGCGCCAAAATCACATTGAGCTGGACCGCCCAAAACCACCGCTTGTAGAGAACCTTATCCAGCTTATGGAGGCATTGAGGGATACGGCGAAATGACAGGTCTCATGTGTATCTAGACACCTGAATTCTGCCTCTCGAGAAATAATACAGTTGGAATCTACAGATGCATTGCTCTCTAAGACATGAGAAAAGGGCAGACTTCAAAGAGTCCATTTCATGACCTTCTGCTCATTGCAAAGCGAACCGCATAATATCCCAACGCGCCCAGTCCCACCAGCGCCGGCATGGCGATGAGTCCAATCCCAATAAATATGCCCTGCTCAAAAAAGCCAACCTGACCTTCTTTCATACGCTTGGTACTGGGCAGAAGCTTTTCTGACATTTTTTGAAGTACTTTCTCTGAGGCACTACCACTAGGATCGTGCAGCATTTGCCGCACAAGCTGCGACTGGACTGAAGGAGTAACAAACTGAGAGCGTTGAACAGTGAAGAGAGCTGTCGGGTAGCGTATAGATCGCTCTACGGGCGAGCTGAGCGGTGCAGCGGGTCCAACTACAAAGGTGGTCAGAACATGTGGTAAAGTTATTGTGGTGGACGACATGGGAATAGAGCCAGACTCACGTAACATCTCCAGGGGTACTTGATTAACAAATGACACGTGAGAGCCAATGAACTGGCTCAAATATTTGCTTGCTTTCAAATCGGCAAATACATATGAAGCCAGCAGTTCTCCGTTGCTTCAGAAGTTAGCGGCCATCGCGCTAATATCAACCGATTAGACTGGCTGACGACTTACTGGTTGGAAAGATCAATTGCATCATCCAAAGATTTTACACTGTGTATTAAGAGACTGCGGCTTGATATTTTCCTGCTCAACATCTTGGAGTCCCTGCGAGGGTCGTTAGCGTGCGAGGACGCTTGTCTTGTGGCCGCCTTACATGACTGCATGACTGGATGGTCGGGAAACCTACCTGCTATTCACCTCAATCACCGCGCAGTCTGCTATTGAAGTCACCACTTGTATCTCGTTGGAAATCTTCAGCTCTTTCATTATGCTGTCCGCCTCGCTTGGACGCGTCGACGCTGGAGACTTTGATAATTCGAATTCAGTGGCAAATTTGATTGTCTCTTTCATGATGACGTTTAGGAAAGGCTTCTTGCAGAACTCATTGACCAGAACTATATCCGGGGCATAGGGCGATCGACCGCCAAAGCCAAACCTCGCCATGACAAGCGCCTTTGCGGCTTCCGAGAAATTGGCAGTGCGATCAACAACGGCGACGACCCGCGCTTGTGAAGGTGAGATCAGTCTCATGGCAGTTGTTGGCTCCTCGGATCCTCTCTGGAGAACCTTTACATGATGTAAACCTAGCTCATCATCTGTGGCGCGACTCGAAACGATTTCGAAGATATCGGAATCCAAAGTGCTTTTCAGAATTTTTTGAAGCAACGAAGGCACTTCACGAACAGTCTTTTCCAGCTGTAAGACACTGGTGCTTAGTAAAAGTGCCTGTCTGGTCTGGAAACTTGAGGTTCTTCGGGCACCTTACCTCGATCACCACACAATTACCAGCTGCGAGTGCAGCAGAAAGCGGTACAACGATTGAGTAGAACAATGAATGCGTTGTTGGAACGATATACACGATTCCTACTCCTTCTCTCAGTGACGGCGCATCCTCTCCACGCGCAACCGCGTACTCTTCGTGAAGGGCCTTCGTCGCGTCTAGTGATGCGTAGTATTCTCTCAAGCACATGAGCACTAGTATGTGCTCGACCCGCGCCTCGGGGATGCTGTTGCCACCATCCCTATGGATTGCCTGCATGACTGACTCGGTGTTGTCGATGAGGGCATCGTGCAGCTTTTCCAATTGGGTTTGGCGATAGATCACATTTTGGCATCGTCCGTCAATGGCGGCCTCACGGATCCGCTGTAACGACACTGGCATGTTAGGCTTTTGGCGAAGGTGGCAGAGTTGCGCAATCAACAAAGTGCAACCAAGTCCAATCTAAGGGCTGTTGAATTCTGCTACAAGCCCCTCGTGATATTCTCTAATTGAGTAGGGTCTTGCGTTTCGGCTGGCGCTCCCCACCTGCTTCCCGCTCACTCCACATATCTCCACTTCCCGAACAGCCAAGAACACGAGCTTCGATTTGTTCCAAGCAACTGGAACTAACCTACACGGTTTTGTCTCCCGTCATGAATCTTCGTTAAACACCACAAATGTTCGCTGGCAGGTGATCCACCTCCAGTCCATTTCAGCATGTCCACCACCACGACCACGGATACAACCCGCTATGCAGCGCACAGCTACTTGGCCGACTACGAGCTCCATCACTCAAACCACCCCTCTGCATCCGATTCCAGACCCAATAGTCATCCAGATGCCCGTCAGTTAGACTCGTCCGCATCGCCACACACAATCGCAGAACTTGCACAACGAAACCCGCCACAATGGCCCTCGAACTACCGCCGCATCCCTCCATATCGGCCCATTAACAGAGATTTAGACCAGAGCCAAAGACGGGTCTACACAACTACAGGGGAGAGGATCTTCTTATTCGTCATGTTCACAGGAGTACAGGTGAACGCGGTAAGCGACAGTCATCTTCTCGCACGCCAAATTCGGTGTACTCATATCGCTGATACTGACCAACGGTGCCCAGGACATCAATCGTTTGTGGAATGCCACTGGTGGAAGGCTTGCACAATCTGTGTTTCAGTACAAGATTGGGGGTGAGTGGTGATACATGAGCAGTTGAGTTAGGGTATACTGAGGAGTTAGTCTCTTTGAAGACCACTACAAGCATACGACTGCTCCGTTGCAAGCTTAAATATCACACAATGACAGTCCTTTATTCAAGTTCGATCTAGCCAGGCGTTTGAATGAACTCTCCACCATGTAATGGCATGAGGAACTTATGTAAGGTGATCCTGATTCTATTTGAGTTGCGTGCTTTGTAGTCTCCGGCCTCAGAATTTTAATCGCGGTGCTCACTCAACACATCAGCATATCAGGCCGGCGGAATGATAGGAAGGACGACGTAGTTCGACGATGTCGAACCAAAATGAATGTGGTTCATCCCGTCGAACTTCTCTTGGCTCCTGTGATGATGTGAGCACAAGCTTCGGATACATGCTCAGAGAAAGGCGACGTACCTATCAGCAGGGTCGTTGTGCTGGAACACGCCACAACCATGTGTATCGCCAGAAGCGACTTCAAAGATGATCTTCCCTCCCTTCTCAGCTACCACGTTCGTCGGCCATATCTCAACGTCAACAGCATAGATCTCTCCAGGGATGACTGGCTGGGTGTCTTTGCGCGTGTAGTTGCGATAGGGCAGCCACGGCCGATGTTTTGGGTGGTTGGGATCTGTGTTGCGCAGGCTGACTCGGAGCCAGCCCTTTGTCAAGGGCACAGGATCACCTGCCGTACCAGTGTAGTGCACTTCCTTGCCCTCGGGAGAGATGTACCGGAGTGTGACGAACAAGTCGATGTCCGTCGGAACCGTTTTGTTGTTTGGGTAAGGACTCACTGAGACGTTCAGATGCGCCACTATGTGGCCCGTAATTTCGGTATCGGCATCAAATGGCGCAGTCTCAAATTGGACGGCTTGGACATTTTCTAGCGTTCCGAGAGCTTGGTATGAAAGCTTCCTTGGCGCCCTGTTCGGCTCCTGTGGCGACAGTGTTTTGTCCGTTGTGAGGTAGAACTTGGTATAGCGAGTGCGTGCGATTGGCCACTCGCTCTCGCTCCTTCGGGAGTACGTTTGCTCTCCCTTGGCATTGTCGTATCCAACATCCCCCTGGCGGAGTATCAAACTGACGGAAGGAACTTTGCCCTTCACGGTCCACCCTTCCCGATCGTCTCCTTTAAGAAACGCGTCGAGGAAGCTACGCTGCACCTCAACTTCGGCTTCGTAGTAGAATGGTAAGTCGTGGCGCCCCGTGATGAAACGCAAGTACTTCAAGTCGGACCCTGCCCACATATAACCTTGGACGTTGCCGCGAAGATGCAGGCAAATGCCTCCCCAGTTCGCGACGCTCAGCAAAGGGACTTGGATGTCGCTCATAGAATACTCTTTCGACGCGTAATACGGATCATCCCGATACTTGAACATTGCATTATCTTTGGTCTGGTCCTGCCGGTTGCTCACGAGTTCGGCTTCGGGAAGGTCTCCTTCGATGGTATCTGGGCCCCATTTGCGAGCCGCTCTGCCTCCTCGGCCGTACTGATTCGAAAGCACTTGCCGATCCCACCAGAACTTGATGAATCCATTCGACAAGATTCCACCCTGCCGACATCGATCGCGATAGTAGTCAGACATGCCCTCCCACGGGATGATTGCAGCCAGGCCTTTTGGCTGACGCGCTGCAACACGCCACTGGCTTCCACCATAGTAACTGTCCCCACAGCTTCTTAGTCAGGGGGCCTCAGAACGAAGCTGGAGATGGCCTTACCTGATCCCAAGCAAGCCCACTTTGCCTGAAGACCACGGCTGTACTGCTGCCCATTCGACCACGTCGACAAACGCGTCGCTGGTGCCGCGCGACATGGTATCTAGGAGCCCCGGAGACTGCCCGCATCCTCGCTCGTCTGCACGTACAACTGCATAGCCGTGGCTGGTCCAGAAACCTGGATCTGGGACTTCCCAGGCTGAGTGGGCCGACTTATGCTCTGGGTTGACCTCGGCGAACGACTTTGGATGGAAACTGAGGGTTTTTGGTAGTTAGCGCCTGCGCTTGCTGCAGAGATCTTGCTCTTTCTGTCTTTCTTTCATTCCTTTTTTGGGAAAGTGATGAGAGGTTCTGCATTGCTGCTGGAATCTTTCGGGGCATTCTTACTCCTCGTAGGGGATGTCCTTTCCGTACGGTCCATACGTGACAATGGCGGGGACCTTTGAGTGTTCCCCCGAGCTCTTCGGTCGGTAAACATTGCAACGGACTAGTCCGTCACCTGCTTGTAGATCAATGCTAGCATTTTGCTCAAAGATATAGGGAAAGGAGAAGGAGTCAATTGCGTGAAGGTCCTTGATCTGGTTCGGCATGGTTGTATTGGGACAGCTGTTTGCCAGAGACACAGAGAGAGATGCAAGTGTTGGCTCTATATAAAGTGCGTAGTCACGTATGTATTTTCGATGCGGGCAATTCGTCCACCGGCCCACTCACCTGCACTCGTGAAACCGGGTGCCGCCGCATGGGGCCGAGCTTGGCACCTAGGGCAGCCGTGAAATGTCGGGACCACTCGCTCGCCTTTGCCCAATCCGAATGAACAGCTAATCATGGTTTCTGGGTACTTGTCAGGACCTTTTTCACGACCTTGGACTGATGGCTAGGCTGCAACAAGGCTAACGCAAAGGACCAAAGAGTAAATAATCGCACCTCCTGCCCAAAGGCGCGTAATTACAAGGGCATCTGCTCGGCGATCAAATTCTCAGGATTAATAATCGGTGCAATATTTGCATTTGGTGTTTGTGAAGTGTCGTGGGAATCGCTTGTCTCCGGTGTTATCGTTGCGTCGGTGATAGGGTTTCGATCTAATAGTCCAATTGACGAGTCGTAATTCGCTTCGAAGTCGTCTGATGGTCAAGCCTCTTTCATTCATTCGATCTGCCAAAGGCATTCATCTTCAGACGTTAGATAGGGCAAGGCCTCCTGCTTTTTTGTGTTATGACAGACGTTTGATTGTAGAATCCGAAACTATTAGTCAAGCGAGATGCGCGTGAGTCTAGAAACCCTTGAGTTCTTCTTATCAGGACCAGCAAGGTTGATTTCACAGGGATTGAAGGCTGTGCAAGAAAACATGAGTTGTACAGTGGAGGGTCAAGTGGATGTGATGTCTCTTGAGTACAGAGACGACGTAACATCCGCTAGGCTAGAATACGGGACTGTGAAGTAATACCGAGCTAGTATGATTTCTGGGTTAGCATCACGGTGCTTTATTGGCTAAGACGTTCGGATAGGCGTGAGGGATGATTGGAGCGAATTGAAGCCTAGAATTCAATTCTAAAGCATTACCAACGCCGCCTAAAGCAGGGAAGAAAACTAGTACTGAGCCCCCACAGGCACCACATTCGTACTTTTGGCATCCTGGAAGACAATTGTGTGGGAAGGGTAGTAGTGTGAGGCGTCGCGGTTGAGTCTCGTCAGACGTCAGATAGAAGTCGCAGCTTTGACCAAGAGCAAGCAGAAAGAACGAACCTTGGACCACTCACAGGTTCCGGAATGTTCAGCAGCCAATTGAAGTGGCTGCAGGTGATCATGTCTTCACATGCAAAAGAAACTCAACTGTCAATCGCCTTGTTATAGAGTAACGTCCCATTGTATTACATATTGCCAGGGAGCATCCTCATGTCATGCTAGCCCCCACAAAGCTTTGATCTATGCCCGGATCGAGAAGCTGCTTCTATAGAAGGACACAGTCGCCAGCTCCCACCGCAACAACATCCATGCAAGCCGATCAGTCTCCCGATCGATCACCATGCGGTTCTAAGGCCGGGATACCCGCCTGCAAGCCCATCCCAGCTTCAAAAGCCCTCATAACCCCCATAGCCACGGTCCCGGCCTCCTTCCTCGCCACTCATCCATACCAGCCCGTCCTACGTGCACACCCAGACGAAATCCAGTCCGAGTCTGAGTCTTGGGAAGAGGCTTCTTCGCCCAGTCGACGGTGGCCTTCGAACGCTATCAACAGGCATCAGTACGCCCTAATTATAGCACTGCTATAGACAAGAATTAATGTTTTTTCTTACCTCACAGTCAAGTTCACCACGAAGCTTCAAATTAGCCCTCCGCTCCTCCTCAAGCTCCTTGGCCATCTCTCCATGGACATCCTTCTCCAACGCAATGACCTTCTTGCATAACTCCATGTTCACTTTCTGCTTTCCTTCATTGGCCTCCTCGAGCTTGGCGATCTTTTCGGTGAGCTCGTCGATGAGGCCCTGCTTCTCGCTGTTCTCCGTGTGTAGCTTGTCGGCTTTGCGGGCATAGTGCAGCTTGGTATAGTGAGGCGAATTGGCGCCGAAGTGGGGATCCTCGCAGTAGAGGCAGTACTCAAAGGGTTCGAAGATGCTGGCGGCGGCGCTGAGTGATGTTGGTGGGGATGCCATGTTGGAGAACGGGGCGGCGTGGGGAGAGACCGTAGACGGCAAGAGTCGGGATTCTAGGGGAGCTCTATGGCTTAGAGTGAGTGGGTGTACGCTGAAAGATTTCCCCAAGTTTCCGAGACTATGCGCTTTTGCAAGGTTACAAAAGTTACAACTCCATCCGGTTCAGCACAGCGTGGTTAGTAAACCGGCCAATCCTCAATCGGATTGACGGCCGGTTTATTAGTATAGACTCTAGATAATCCAATCAATCAATCCTCTAATCAATCAAACTCCAAGCGGAGATTGATCCGATTGATCCGATTGGTGTATATAAATCGGAAAGGATATATATGAATCAGAAAGGATGTATACAAATCGGAAAGGATGCATACGGACGTGATTTTTATGGATTTTTATGGGTATAACTTCGTCATATAAGCTCACTACGCCTATGTACGAGGCTACGGAGTGCCTTAGAGTAGAGGGCAACGTGAGAGTACCATGGTGGTAAGGTTCTAGGTGAGGGGGGGTTAGGATGTCCCTTAGGAACGTCGGGCGGAGTACCAAAGGGGGATACATTTTTGAGGCCTAGAAGACCCAATGATTCGCCTCAAACGTAATTCGACCTGTAGAAATCGATTCCCGTTGTCCGTTTGAGCTCATCTCGTCATGGTGGAGTGCTAAAGGGGGGGCTCGGGCCGTGGTTGATGAGGCTAGCAATACGTGTTCTCCCTCCGCCGGCGGAACCTTGGGGCGGCATTCTATTGGCTCGTTAAGACACGGCGAGGGCCTTAGCGCACAGATCTCTTAGCGCGATCGTATTCACTCATTTCTCAATCTGGTTCAAACCAAAATTCTAATCAATCCAATCAATCAAGCTTCATTCTATATATAACAACCCAATCAATCTGCTCTCTAGTTGAGCCGGCCGCCGGTTTAGTAACCACGCTGGTTCAGCACTCCTTTCAAGACACTCCTTGGGTTATTCGCGGACTATAAATGAGGTGTTTCTGCATCCCCGTAGATCTTAAGTTAATGATCTATGCTCTCCATTTACTACATACCATTCTCCAAGTTCTAGGATCAGATCGAGAAAGTGCCCCGTTATTGCTCCAAGGTAGTTCCGGCAAAGGACAGATAGATATCTATCAAACTATGGCTTATGGTCCGCATTTTCCTTCTCGATCCTATCCAGGGTCTCCATCGTATGGTCCCAGACCTGCTTGTTTGTTTCACCGGTGCGGACTTTCGCGTAGCTCTTTCCCTTGCTCCACGAATCCCCTCTCTGTCCAAGGGCGTATGAACCTCCTCCAAGCTCTCCCTTTGTGTTTTTCGCCACCTCAACCCCGTTCACGAGCCCTCCCTTTGCTGGGTAGCGCGGCGTAGCAAGAGACACCATTACTTCGCCACATACAGCCGGCGCCGTCATGTACAGCCATGCGAGTGGCTTTATCAAAGTCCACACAGCCTTGAACCAGGTCGGCATGTCTGGACTGTAAAAGGTTGGGCCATCGACGAGTCCGGGATAGATGTGGGACAGGCTGAGTTTGCCTGCGTGTTTCTCCGCAAGCTCCTCAAAGAAAAAATTCTTCATGAAACAGGTGTGCTTGCGGACGCCAGATATTCCATACGTGGAGTCGGATGGGCAGCCAATCGGCGACTCCCCAGGAGATGTTCCATCTTCCATGCCGCCGGCATATATCGAAATGACGTGCGCAGGCAATGGGGAGGCAAGGAGTATCGGCATGAGCTGCAGGATGAACCTCATCCGGGAATAGTAGGTAGTTGAAAGAAAAGAATCAAGGCCTTCCGTTGTGGCTGTAGAGCAGTGATTAGCCGTGTACGCTTTGGTGGCCCACGATGAGAGTTGAATCAGAGATATTGAATCACTTACTACTTCGTTCCTTCAAGATTGGATAGCAGTGGCTCATGTACAGAAGGTCCAGTCTTGGCGGCCCGCCGTGGAATGACCCTTCAGTCTCCTGACGGATGATTTCTGCGCTGGCGCGGTCGACGTCGCTGATAAGGGCGAGATCTGTCGCCTGAATGAAGCGCCATTCCGAGCCTGGGCTGATTCGCTGGCCATCGGTGATGACAGTCTCGGCACGAGTCGCATTTCGGCCGACAATGTAGACGCGCAGTTTGGAACCGCTTTTAGCAAAGGCTGTAGCGAGGGCCTTCGCGACATCTTAAGGTGGTAGTACATATGTTAGCGGGTTTTCGTAAAGAAGGGAGGTTTCAAGACATATACTAGATCTCTGGTGTCTGTCGTCCTCGAGTGCTACTCTAATCGTCTGTAAGATACCATTCCGGGCTTAAAAGGAACTAAAATAGGTGCTCAAACACGACTTGAAAGGGTGCTCAAGCACTACATGAGTCGTGTTTCAACACAGTTCCTGGAACAATGACACTGGAGAACTCCGGTAAGAGTAGGACCTTACGTACATGAGCCTATACCCGTGGTTCCGCCTGTCAAGGCAACGACCAGCGGCGGGCCATTGGGGAGTTCTGCTATGGCAGAGCGGATGATCTTGAGGCTTGGCATTATGACGACGAAAGCGGAGAAAAAGCAGAGGTAAAGACGACACGAGAAAGTGGGGTTTATGAAAACGATATTGAACTTGAAAACACCAGGAGCAATCCACGGAAGATAGTGGCGCTGATGGAGAGTGGGTCAGCAGCGGCTTTGTGGATGGTTGTTTTGATTGATGGGTGAGGGAGGAAGGGTATATATACGGTTTTGGCCGAGTAAGCCAATAGCGAGGAAAGGCGCGTGGACTGGAGAAGATGTTGCCCCGCCCCGACGAGAGCGTTCGGTATGGGTCTGTCCGAAGCTCCGAATCCCATCTATTACGGGATAATGTACGGACTGAAACGGAAATGATATAGTTCGCCAAGCCCGCTAAGCCACGTTGGGCATTGAGCTAGACATTCCCTCCGTATTCCGCTGGCTGCGCTATTCCTCACATCGTATTTCAGACACAACACTCAACACTCGAACTCCTTTACATCTAAATAGTGTTGAGCCAGAAAAGGGCAATGTGGTGCCTGGCCATCCGTGGCAGGGGCCTCCAGATTTGGGCCAGCCTTAGCTTGCTTGAGTCTGCTCAGAGTTGCACCGCCACGAGCTCAGGTTACTCAGTCATAGCTCAATATAATGATCTGTATGCTCAGGGTTAACATCGGAAATGAGCTTTGGTGGGATCAGTGTTGAGGCAAATGGGCGTCGCGTGCAGCCCTGAGCTATCGGTGAGAAATAAGGCCTGCTACTAGTTCAGCAATCATAGTGCAGTGCCTTGCCAGAAGTCTAGGCGCACTCGCTCATCACCGTTGGAGGCGCTTTAGCAGATCATGAAGCTTCCAATACCATTTAAAGGCCTTGAGAGCTTAAATTAGAGGTTTCATGTGGTAGAGGAACTGGAATGGACCTCCACATGTTAACTCGAGAAAATCCAATGGATATGCGAAAAACTAACCAGAACCCCAGTAAATTCTGCTTATTAAATTGCGTTATACCCGATATGGATGTCACGTGTTATCTGGAGCTCTATAGCGATTTCCCCTTAACACCAAATCCAGTCCAGTACAGCCCAGTTTCATCACTGATTTCATGCGTTTACAGTCAGACTACTTGGGCCCTGTTTGTGGTGCTTCAGCACATCACCATGCTTCTAGAAAAGATCACGAGACTACGTGCCCACAATTATTTCCTAGTATTGTACCCTTATTTCTAAATCTAACACTTAACCTAATGATTTTCGAGATACTCGCATGCAGGTGATTGCGTTGTCCGACGTGCAAATACGTCAATCTGCCCGTTACACAAATGATAACAGTCATAGCACAACATGATCTCTTTTCGTGCCGATACAAGAGGCTCCTGTGGTGCTCCCACACATTTTGCGTTGGTTTATGGCCTCGGTTATCTGCAACCCGAGACAAAAGACCAGGGCGCGTCGGTTCCTGGAATGATGGACCTCCACGTGTTCCAGGAGATTGTCTAGCTTCGAGGAAAAGCATCGACATTTCGGATACAGATGAGATCTTCTCACTGTACGAAGCACCTAGGTCGACGCCTCTGCTACTGTGGCTATGAATCGAACCTTAGGGACGTGTTGTTGGCTCCGTTTCTCATCTCTTTCCTTCCTTCCGTCGTTCCCGTAGCTATAAAAGCTACAGTCGTCATAGTGCCTATCTGTCTCTTCGCCACTTGCTGAATAACAATTGCTACTTTCAACTAGCATGCCTAAGAATTTAGAAATGGGTCTTCGAGAAGAGAAGGGTGCCCCCGTTGCAACGGGGGACGACTTGGACACCACTTCCGAGTCGGAAGGGCAAGATATCAAGGTGCTTGCAACGGTACTTGATGCCTACGTCAAAACTACACGTGACGGACAGATCGTACTTACCCCCCAGCCATCTGGTAAGTCTTACAGTAGATTGGGTTGCCAATGATCCCAAGGATCCATTGAACTGGACATGGACAAAGAAACATCTCGTGTTTGCCTCTCTACTTCTACCATCTTTTCTAGCAGATTTTGGCACGACCTATAGTCAGTGAGCTTGCCCTCTGCTCTTGAGAAGCTACTGATTAGTGAGCTAGGTACTGTTGCGTTCCAGGCGCAGTCTGTCACGTATAAAATGACGGTGCCGGCGGTAGCGAACTCGATCTCCGGAGGCATTTTCATGCAAGGCCCGGGTGGCCCAATCGCAGTGCCGTTTACGCAGCGATACGGACGGTAAGTTTCACAGTCCCGAAAGGGAGTCAGCGATTGATAGCATGTAGCCTCCCAGTACTATTCTGGTCCCAAGTATTGACTTGTGCCATGGTGGTCGGAGCAGCTCTTTCCCCAACCTACGCATCTTTTACGGCATTTCGCACTCTTCAAGGTCTTTTTAACACTCCTCCTCAAGTCATCGGCTTGACTTTTGTCTACGACATGTTCTTCTTCCACGAACGTGCCCGCAAGATCAACATCTGGGCATTCTGCGTCATCCTCGGACCGTGTATTGGTCCTTTCGTCTCCTCCTTGTTACTGACCAAGCTCGGATGGCGACAGGACTTCGGCATCATGGCAGCCCTATACTTCCTCTCGCAGGTGATTGTGATCACATTTGGTGACGAGACTCTCTACAACCGCTCCCATCCAGAGCCACGGCCATCGAAAGGAGTGTGGAGCCGAATCAAGCTTCTGACCGGCATCCACGGCGCCCAGCAAGCTGGACGCCCTACCCTAGTGCGCGTTATCAAGGACATCGCCCTCGTTCATACACGGCCCCATATCGTGCTCACCAGTAACTATCCGTCTATCCTTCTTTCTTCCCAGCCCACCAAACTAACAATCTTAGCCACCGGCTTCATGATGATCATCTTCATGTGGGGCATCGGCGTCTTCACCACCATCCCTCAATTCCTTGCGATGCCCCCCTACTCCTTCACCAACTTGCAAACCGGCCTGATGTACCTCTCCCCTGCCCTCGGTGCCATCTTTGGCGAGATCTGGGGCCACTGGTTCAATGACTTCAATGCCCTCCTGTACATCAAGCACCACTGGGCTCGTACCGTGCCGAAAACCGGCTATGGGGCGTCTACCTCGGCGCCATCCTCGGCCCGGCGGCTCTGATACTCTTCAGACAAACCCTGCAAAATCGACTGCACTGGGTTGTGCTCGCTGTAGCGTGGTGCTTGTATATGTTTGGGCAGATGAGCGTGACAGCGGCAGTGACGTCGTACTGTTTGGATACGTGTCCAACACATTCGGCGATTGTGGCAGGGATAATTAATATGTGGCGGACGACGGGTGGATTCTGTGTAGTGTATTTTCAGTTGAAGTGGGTGGCAAGGAATGGGGCCGGTGTGAGCTTTGGGGTGCAGGCGGGGGTATTGATGGCGAGTTTTGGGAGCATTGTTGCTGTTCAGATTTGAGGGAAGAAGTGGAGGGGGAAGTATCCGGTGCCTGCGGCAAAGTATTAAAGAAGTAGAGTTGACGGGAAGAGGGGGATAGGATGACTGAGTGAGCTTATGGGAGGAATAGAATGCGATAACTCAGGTTGAAATTGATGTGAACTCTGCTTGTATTGTAATGGCCGTACGGGCCGAATATATACTAATAGGAAATGGCCCACCCCCCAGGTCTATCAGCTCAGCTGAATAGAGGCCAGCTGAAAGGAACGAACCCAGCTGAGAGGAACCTGTTGTAGCTGAACAGAGGACCTCGCCACGCTGTACGTAGGTGACCGTGAACCGTATGAGTTGTTGACCCTAGGTTGTAGCTGTTACAACCCGAGTCGATACGTTAAGGCTGTGGTTTGAGGCGGTAAGGGGCTACCTTTGGCAGCTATCGTTCAAATGAGACGCGTCCTTTCTACTTTGAATTCTTACGGACTCGTCACCTCAATTCCCTTCACTCCTTCTCCCTCCACTCCAAATCCTCTACCGTGGCCCCAAACATCGCGTCATTGTTTGTTACTCTCATACTCCAGTTCCCATCCCTATATATTTCTCTCGCGCTCATTTCCACGTGGAAATCGTGGTCTAGACTCATCATCACATTCGCCAGATTGGTGTTCTCCGTCGTCGGCTGCACCCACTGCCCTACCACCGGTTCCATATCAAACCGCGTCACTAACATGATCGTCCATGCCATAACCTGCGTCGTTGCGAAATGCCTCCCAGGGCATAACGTCGTTCCGCCACCAAAGCTTCTGAACGCCGCAGGGGATACCTTATGCGGGTTGGACGGGTGGAAACGACGATAATTGAACTCGAGGACGTCAGGGCCCCAGACAAGGGGGTTAGTGTGGATAGCGGCGGTGGGCATGAGGACCATAGCGTCCTTGCGGAGGTAGTAGGTTCCGTCTAGCACACTGTCTTTGCAGACTTGGCGCAGGGAGATGCCAATACTGTGAAGTCTGATTGCTTCTCGGAAGGTGGAAACGAGTATGGGGCAATTGGTGTTCACTTTCGTCATGTCGATACAATGCTTCCTCGTATTTGCGTCGTCTACCGAGCTGGTGATGATAGTGGAGATTTCTTCTCGGATCTCCCGTAAAGCTCCCGGAGTGGAGAACACGTAGAAGACCGTCCAGAAAACAGCGGCGGAGGTATTCGCCAGAATGGCGAGCGCGTGCCCAACTTCGAAGAGTGAACGGTCGGACAGCGAGAAGCCGTAAGCGATCTCAGACGTGTGGAAGTCTTGTACGAGTCCAGATGCTTGCTTGTGGTAATCATTGCAGAAATAGTTTTGGAAGGCGTCGGCGACGAGTTTGCGGTTGCGGACACCATTTCGCGCGAGCCAGTCGGGCAAGTAGAGAAGTTTAGGGATTTCTCGCTCGAACTCCCTACGTAATTTACGTTAGCTTGATATACCCAATGGGAGCTGTGCAACTCACCAAAAGGCACCCTCCACATTTGGATTCTGGAAAGGATTGTGAGGCCCATAGACGGCATCTGTAGTTGCCAAGTTGACATGATGTCTTAACTACTCGGCTAATCTCACATGTGTTGATTCCCCAGACTGTGGCTGGATGCAATCAACGAAGTCGCACAAGCGGACAGCCATTGCTTGATTCAGTTCATTCAGAGTTTTGCCTAGGTTTAGCGCTTGATGCATGGCCAAATATATGTTTCCGTACTTTCCGTTCTCCGTGTCCATATCCTCTTCCAGAATATGATACGCTTCCTGACTAGAACCGCATAGCTTTACCGAGAACTTGGCTTGAATCGGCTCGAATGCGAGAGCCTTGTTTTGCTTTTGGACTGCCTGGATGAGAGGTACAGAGAACACGGTGTAGACTTTAGCCCAGGAAGTGAAAGTGTTATGATTGGAAGGTGGTATTGGTCCCTGCGGGGAATGCGCTTGAACTAGCGAAGACGTAGTGCTGGAGCTTACCTCAATCGCTGGAAGTAATCCTTTCTATGACGGAATATACCAATGGCATGGCCAAACACTGGAATCTTGGGATAAACAACTAGAGGTTTACTTCTTCCATGATTGTTATGCTTCATCCAATATCTAGAGACTAGAGCAAGGCAAGCAAAGATAGCAACATATGTGGTGAGAGCAAAACCCATTTTGAAAGCCGTGGATCAGGGATTGAGGAAGACGAGCGAAGAAGAGAATCTTGAACTGAAGTTGGGACTTGGACCTTGAGAAGCCATGGACATGGAGAGGTCGATGTCGCATTTGTGGGTAAGTACGTACGTGTACGTTTTATTGCCATGATGACAGCAGATGATAGAGTTGCACAAAAACAAAAATTCGTGAAAGCAGGTTACCGACCGTATCTACATCGGTGACAGGACTGTGTACATAGGCTGTGTTGCGCGGCGTCTTGTCAGCGGCTTGTGCAATGCGGAGTAATGCAGTAGGCGTTTTGAATAGGGGAAGAAGGGGGCCTCGGGGAACTACTTAGGTAATCGAAAAAGAAAAGATATGGGGAGCACCGTTTCACCGTTCCAGATAATATCTGCACTACTTCCAGAAATAATCTCGTGTCGCCAACTAGTTACTGTCGTGGAGGTAAGACTGTAGTACTACCTAACGCCGCGTTTGTGCTTACTCGGCCCGCTTTGCGGGGTGTTTTTGGTGTTATGCTGTGCAACAGCACCGGAGCTTCCATTCTTACCCATAGGCATAGACGCTCTACCAGAGTGAGGGTTCGCATGCTGTCGTGTCATCTGCACTCTGCCAGACGTTTCTCCTAAACAAGGAAAACGGCGTCAACTCGATCGAGAGCTATCTACTAGGGCGGGCCCCGTCTCCCGAACTTTCATTCTGATACACCTCACTTATCAATATTTTTATTTTCTCATCGTAACTTTGACCGGGAAGCCATCGACCGGGTGAGCTCCGCCGCCGCCCATTTCAGCCTGATACGCTCGGTTTCCGTCGACTAGTTTGATACCCTTGCTTGGATGGAGTTGGTCCCACTCGTCGTAAGCAGGTGTGACATCAAAAAGCCTCGCTGTCATGACGAGCGCAACTTTGAGTTCCTGCTGTGCGAGGGTCTGGCCGATGCAGCTCCTTGGGCCCCATTCGAACGCCCTCCAAGAGCCCTTCTTAGGGTATAGCGGGTCCTGAGGTCCAACAAACCAGCGGTCTGGGATGAACTCTTCGGGGTCCATGAAAACGTTAGGGGTATGGTGCATGATCAAGCTGAGAACCCAGATATGGCATCCCTCGGTAGGGTATTGCTGGCCATTTTCGTCGGCTAGAACGAGATCTGAGCGGCCCTCGCGAAGGCTTCCAGCAGGAGGAAAGATCCGTAGGACCTCTTTGATAACAGCTAAGGTGTATGGTAGCTGATTTAGAAGTGTAGGATTACTAGAAATGACCTGCGTCACATGCTCTGTAGAGTAATCAGACCCAAATACGCTGTCATGTTCCGCACGGACCCTGGATAGAGCTTCGGGATGGCGCGATAGTAGCAGGTAAGAGTACAACAGCGTGCTGCTTGTCGTGTCATGGCCAGCGTATAGAAACATGCGGAGTTGCGGCATTGCAAGCCTTTTGAACGTCTTCTTTGATAGCTCTCCCGTATCCCCCACGTCCCGCAGGTACTTGTCCATAGCCAATGAGGTGATGGACCTAGACTGCGACTGCGAGTCTTTAAAAGAACCGGCGCGGAGCAGGGCTAATTCTTCAAAACGCTTGTCAATCTCTCCATCCAGATAGCGATCCATACGGTAGCTGTTGAATTTCTGAACGAGGGGACGAGGGCTCAGATAACGCCGAAATGGATTGAACGTCGTCCCAAACGGCGACCAGTAGACTTGCCTCCGGAGATAGTCTGCGAGAGCACTACCTTGGGTCTGATAGTGGAGTCGAGCATCGCTGCAGCGGAGTTTAGCAAACCGTGGGCAAGAAGTGCAGTCATGGGTGGACACACAGAGTGACGCGAGCAATAATGTTGAATGTGAGCCGCAAGGTATACTCTTCCAGCTGAAACATTTGTCCCTCTCTCGCCCGCTCTTGGAGCAGCTTGCAGAACACAGCGACTTCCTCTGCCATAGCCGGAGCAAGTCTGATCATGTAGCCAGCGGCGAACCCGGGATTGAAGAGACCCCGCCATCTCTTCCACGTGCTTCCGTGCATAGTCATCAGCGATGGCCCGCCATTGATGATCTCAAGCGTGTCGCACATGGCAGCAGGCTTGTCCAGGAACGCGGCTTCGACCTGCGATGCTACAAATGGGTGAGCAACAACCAGGAAGGGCCCGCTGAAAGGCCACAGATTGAGGTAGAAAATACCGCTCGGGAACCGCTTTGCTATGTGTCGCACCGCAACGTGCATCGTAATGTTTCCCGGCAGTGCTTGAAGGCAAGCTTTCAGGGCGATGAAATGGCCGAATATCGGGTGGAATGGTGGCATCGGCTTGCGGCTATCAGCATAGTATCTTCATGCTCGGCGCTCAAGAAGGTGAACTCACCGCATTGGCTACCTGCAATTTCCATACTTGTAGTCGGTTGGCCCTCATTTGAAGAATGAAGAAGACAAAGGCTACAGCGACCGCAACCGTGATGGTTGAAGTGCTCAATGAGGTCATGTCCAATGATCTACCTAAATCAAAGGGATTCAAACTGGACTACAGAACATAAGAAAGAGACTCCTATCTGTGCTTAAGAAGCTTCTCAGATTGTGAAGCTTCCGCGGACGTGAGAGTGGTGAGGTGGACATTTCGCTTGGCATACGACGGTACGCCTAAAGAAAATGTCACGTGAGCAGCGACCGGACCCAACTACTTGTTCGCACTGGACGAAGTGGGATAGATAGACCTGGAGTCCAGTCTGCTAAGCGTATTAATGAGATGTCTCCGTCGAGTGCGTCACCAAAATTAGTTTCTATGTCATCGTTGCACCAACAGCTGGACCGGGAGTTTAGACAACGTAGCACATGCCCATTCCTCCTGTAGTACTCCAGGAATTACACATGTCACCCTTCGATATTGCTGAAATTTGGTACCACAACAGCCCATGACTGATTGGCACTTCGGGCTTTTACTTTGCTCATGATGCTTGCCCCTCCATGTACCACCGAATCCTCCTTGTTCTACCTCCCTCACTATTTACTCATGACGCTGCACACTCTCTGTTGTATCCAAAGTGTTGGCATGTTGCTGCCGATTATCCCCAATATAAGTTGTTCTTCAAGTCATCTTTTGCGTCGCAGTCTCTGAAAATGGATCTATCGAAACTTGCACCTGCGCACTACATTCCCGGTAGACAGGCTGCAATTGATCATGTCGCCAGAATTGATAAAGCACCCTTCCTGGTTGGTCCTCCGTCTCGGTGCTGTTCTCCTAAACCGCTGATATGGATTTGAGATCTCTGTTAGCATTCTGTTTGGATCTGCGTTACTCTCCGTATTAGCACGCTTCGCAATACGCATCTTCGGGCGCCGACAGATACGCTGGGATGACGGACTCGTTTTTCTCGCAACCATAGCATTAATCGTAGCTTTCGGCGTGTGTCTCAAGCTTCTAGAAACGCTGTATCTCGTAGAAGCCATAAACAAGAAAGCCGCATTCCCGTTTCGAGAAGACATGCCCAAGATGTTAGACCTAGTTAAATGGTTAGCTGTTTTCGCGATCATGAACTGGACATCGGTCTACATGGTGAAGTTCGCATTCATGTACTTCTTTTACACCCTCTTCTGGGGGCTCTCATTGAAGACCGTGAGAATTTACTGCACATCGGTCGGCCTCCTCATTGTATGTTGGATGTATACAGTTGTGAATCCCATCATCTGTCCGCACTTTGGTGCTAACGCCGGTCAGTAGAGTCTGCCTGTCTCATCGGGTTTAGTAATAGTAACACTTTGTAGCTAAATGCGGCGCGAATCCGCACCAACATGTGAGAAGCCTTGCAGGCAATTGCATTGTGGTTGTTCTCGATATTATTTGCGACGGCCTCAGTATGTCAATTCCACCTACCTTGACATATCCACCTGTAGTACTGACCATGCCAGTCGAGGCCATCCCTATCGTCGTACTCGACAAGTCCATGATGCCACTCTCTCAAAAGGTGTCCATCGCCGCCCTTTTATGTCTCTCAACCGTCATGATAATTTGCGCCCTTATCCGACTCATCGGCTCCATAACCGATACGCGAAAGGACGGCAGTGGAACAGCGCCAGTCTGGGCGACATACTGGGCCATCACCGGAAGCTGTATCTCACTGGTCATGACTTCTGTCGTCGTAATTCGCGGCGTGTTCGTCACGAATCTCATCCACGATGACAGGCAGAAGCAGGAAAGCGTCATGCGGCGGCTTGGTCGACGCCTTCTGTCTACCTTGAGACTTTCTAGATCATCACGAAGTAGTAGACGTAGCCCGCAGAGGAGTGGAGATCAATCTCCCGATGACCAAGGAGGTAGGATAAGTGCGCCACCGCGGATTGCCACCCAGGGGTTGACGCGAGGCACGCTCAATGGCGTGAGGACGTTCATCGGCGGCAGCAAGAATGGGAGTAGAGATCGAGATGAGACGCTGAAGTCTGTAGACACTGCTTACGCCTTGGAGAACGTTGATTACCATAAGATCCGAAGGAACGAGGCAACGAGGCCTACGGCGACGCCAGACTCAACGCCTTAAACCAGCACATCCTACGGCCGATACATCTTGGTTGACTTAATAATTCAATCAATCGACCGTTATTGCTCTGTAGTAAAGTAAGCGTGGAGACTAGATTATAAGGCAGCGAGTAGATGCATCGAATCCTATAGGAAGCGGCGATGTCACGTGGGCCATGAGTGGTGATATGCCAGTAACGCATCCATATTATTAGTGCATGACGCAATATATATTATGAACTGAGCTTAAAACTGTCCCAGGGGACACTTACAGCAACATAACCGAGGAAGGAATAGTGACCGTGAAGTCAGGGGCTAAGAGCCACGTGACTGGGTCTAATTAGATTTCTCTACGCATGTTCTCCACAGCCTTCAGAACCTAACATCAATGTGCTCAGTTTCAACTTCCTATCTAATGGGCAAAAATATGATCTACACTCAGTTGAGGCTTGCGAGTTGGAAGGATCAGGCGTTCTTACTTCGAGCTGAAGCTGATCCGCCATCCGTTAGAACTAAAACATGCGAGCGACCCTTTAGATCGCAGTCTGTCAGGCGCAGCCTAGGGTGCTTAATCGGGATATTTACATTCCTATATCTAGGCCGTGGAGGAAGTGCGCTATAAGCGCTAAGGGTGATCGTCAGGCAACAGCTTATAATATATATATTGCTTGTCGTCTCACGCTCCAGTCATCTTTCCCTGGCCACTCGCTTCCGCCAAAGTTTACACTCATCGCATGTATAAAATCCCTAATCTCCACCCCTAATGCCTCCTCCACCACTCCCCCAAGACCTAAAAGCAGAGCTACGAGCAAAAGCCAACGAAAGCTTACAAAGGCACCTCCAGTGCCTCGAAGATGAAGCCGGAGCAACACCAATCGCACCGCCCTCCCAACAAATGCTCAATTCTTTCACCGCGCATCTGAAATCCTCAAACCGCATCCTCGCCCTCTTCGGAGCAGGCTTATTCGCCGCCTCCGGCCTCCCAACCTACCGCAGCCCGTCCAGCTTCTGGCGCACGTATTCAGGCCAGCAACTTGCCACTCCGAAGAAATTTGAAGAAGACCCGGGGTTAGTGCGGCGGTATTATGAATGGAGCAGGTAAAAGCGCTAGAGGCGGTGCCGAATGAGGCGCATGTTGCGCTGGCGAGGCTGGCGGGCGTGAAGGGGAGTTTGTGGCTGTGAACCAGAATGTTGATGGTATGCTCTTACATTTGTTTCACTCGCGGCAACAAAATGCATGTGTGTATAGTCTAGTGCCCAAATGCTAACGAACAAAATTAGGACTTTGCCAACGCGCTGGTCATCCCGCGACCCAGATTGTGGATTTCCACTGCTCGCTCTTCCACGTGAGATGCGTCGATGGCGCGTGCGGGTATGAGGCTGGAAACTTGACTTCCCCAATCACTCCAGCGCTCGCACTTCCGAATGGTGTTGATATTGCTGATGCCAGCGTCCCGCTGCCGGATGTCGGCGTCGATGAGCTCCCGCAATGCCCTAAATGTAAGACTGATCTGCTGAGACCGGCTGTATTCTGGTTTGGTGAGGGAGTGCCAGAAGAGCGCGAAGTGAAGGTGGAGAAGTGGCTTCAAGGAGAGCTGATTGACTTTAAGACGGAGGCAACGGAGGCGACAGAGGTTAGAGCGAAGGGCGGGACCTGATGCTGGTGGTTGGGACTTCGGCTGTGGTTTACCCTGCCGCTGCTTATATAACGAAGGCGAGAGAACGGGGGGCTCGGGTGGCTTTTTCAATATGGAGGTTAAAAGTTGCGGGTATTGCGAGACCAGAATCTGAGGATTGGTCGTTCGTTGGAGCTGCGGCGGTGCTTGTGCCTTAGGTTTTAAAGGCGTTTCTCAATGGAAATGGGCAGTGAGATTATGCTGTAGATATTGGCACAAGTTTTAGAGTATTAGAGATGAGCCTTTGTGAAACTAAAAAGATTTGAACAAAGGCATAAAAATGACAGAGTGAGGAAGAACTCGGGTGTTTTAATGGATGGTGGAAGTTGGGACGCCTGACAATGTCACTTAAGACAACCGTTAGCCTCGCCAATACGAGAACCCCGCCTACTCTAATCAAGGGTAAATTAAGCGAGATCCTTGGACAAAAAGCTTGAGGCTAGGACTCGGGTTGTAACAGCTACAACCTAGGATCAACAACTCATACGGTTCACGGTCACCTACGTACAGCGTGGCGAGGTCCTCTGTTCAGTTACAACAGGTTCCTCTCAGCTGGGTTCGTTCCTTTCAGCTGGCATAGACCTAGGGGGTGGGCCATTTCCTATTAGTATATATTCGGCCTGTACGGCCATTACAATACAAGCAGAGTTCACATCAATTTCAACCTGAGTCTAGGCCCGCCTCCGACTTCTCAACCTCCCCCCTTTTTACTACGTATCACCTCCCTTTTTGCTACATATCACCCCCCCTAGATTTAGCCTAGCTCCGGCCCGTATTAATATTGTTCCACCAGTTATTATTCACTTACTTGCTGCTTATGCAACAAATTACATAACTCCTATACAGAAAAGATGTATACATAAATTAGAAAGAATAGATTATTAGATGGAACAAAAGTCTATTCACTCTATTTACTCTAGCTACTCTAGCAGCAGGAAAGCGACTAGATGGCCACCTCTTGATTACTAATTGAAAGGAACGTTGTATACGCCGTTTTACACCCGAATATTCTCCTGCTGCATCGGCACCTTTACTATAAACAGCCTCTTCCTTAAGAATAGGCAAAGGGCCATCCTTATAGGCTGGTTAACTGTTAGGGACTAAGGAAATAGAGACCTAGGTCGCTGTTAGGGTGCCTGCTTGTCCAGCGGAGAGATCCGGTACTGTGTTGGTGAAGTAAAACCGTTATACAATACTACTATCCCCTAAGCGACAGCCTAATTTATGGAACAAAGCTGTTACGAGCCGAAGCTAAGCTAAATCTAGGGGGGGTGATATGTAGCAAAAAGGGGGGTGATAATTAGGCTCGTCCTAGTTTTAGGTGATTGCCATCATACTCACTAATTGCCGCTCTAACCCTGAATTCGTAGACACCTCGGACAGAATTGAATTTTAAGCTTCAATTCATTCCAATTCCTCTCCAGCCATCCCCCACGCCTGTCCTAACGTCCTAGCTAATAAAGCACCCTAGTAAACCCAGCCATTATAATAACTCGAGCCCTTAACCCAATTTTGAATCTTTACACACTTGCTTCATCCGCCCCAATCCTATCACGCCCGTCATGCTGTCCCACGCCCCTATGCATCTCCCCAATCCTCTTCGGCTTGAGACTGAGCATGATATGCTCCGAGTCCGCCAGATTAACATGCCTTTCAGTTGTCATGGTAGGCCTGACATCATTCGTGAACAATGCCAGAACGCATGCGAGGAGACCGGTGGCCATGCCTACATAGTAGCAGATTCTAAGTCACGATTAGATCAAGGGTGAAGGTGACCGGGGGAAAGATAGAGGAGGATGAATAGAAGGGGGGAATAGGTACCGAAATGCGGCAGTGTAAGCAAGTTTCGGCTCAGCCACAGCGGTGCCTAATATTGGTAGCGTGGTACCAAGTACCTGCATCAGCGCAGCCTGGTCTTGGCTCGCTAGAGAGGTGATTGGGAGGCCGAGGGGTAATACCGCGGCGGCGACACGTTTGGCGAGAGTTTTACCGATTTGAGAACTCAGGATGGTGAGGTAGAAACACACTGCTCATGGTCAGCGAACCTCTCTTACGCGTCTTACATGATTGCGGGTAGGCGAAATAGCGGTAAGTACAAGGTGTACTGACACGCATACGCGGGCCCAATCCCCCGAGTCAAATTCATCACGCCCATCCCCGTTCCAATCAGCTCGTCCCCAAACGCTAATTGCGTCTTGACTACAATGAGCACTTTCATGTAACCACCTGCAAAGTCCCCGATTGCCGTAAAGGCGAGCCCGGGCTTGATACTGTTCGGCGTCAGCGTCGCCATGAGACCTATGAATACCCTCTGCACGAAACATGCGGCGGCAAATTGGAGGCTTGTACAGCCGATTGCGCGGACGCTGAGGCCGGCGGTCAGCCCACCGACGACGGTAGCGATGCCGGGCGCGAGGAGGTACCGGTAGGTGCGGAATGGGTCGGGGGGTGTGGAGGCGTAGAGGGTGGGGATGATATTGCTGGGCCAGAAGGATGAGAGGACGGATTCGGAGAAGTTGGCGAGGGCAATTGCGGTAATGAGGAGGAAAAAGCTATATAAATAGACTTAATCAGCAGGTAACAATGATACTAATTGGAGAGCATTGGGATTGCTTACCCTCTGAAGTTCGCAAACATGGTTGGTGGGAAGAGGGGATGGGACGCCCACCACGGTTCTAGAATAGTGGTCAGAATTAGCTAGAGTAATATGGAAGGGGAGAGACGTACCCCAGACACCGAGGAAGAAGAGCGCAGCGAAACCGAAGATCAGAGGGACGAGGACGGCGGAGTTTGACCATTTGTGGACGCCGAAACCGGCTCAGGCGATGGAAATGGCACTCATGGCGATGAAGACCTGATAATTTCAACGTGATTTTCAAGCACGAGAATTAGGAATGCTAGTTTACGTTCAAGAGGAAGCAACCAAACCAGTCAAAGTGCTTAATGTCTGCTACGCTACGGCGCCAGAAGCTGGAGACTGTCAAAGAATGGTCGACATTCTTCCTTGGAGGCTATGGAGCTAGTTAGCCACGAAAAGGTAGTCTAATTCGAATGCCATACAGGATTGTACCAAAAGAGGATGAGGATTCCGGAGGCAGCCGTCAAGATGGTGTGCTTCGCGATGGACGCTCCAATCAGAGGGCTAGTCATCAGGAAGGGCAGCGGCGAGATGTACAGCAGTCCTGACCAGGAACACCGTCAGCTCCGAATGAGCTTCGTAGTTCAAGCTCATATAAGGGGGGAAATTGCAAATTTATCTTGAATGTATCCTCTATGCCTCCTCTGAAACACTTCGGAAAGAATAGCGCTCGGCTGTCCCTGGCCGCCCTGACCGAACCCACCAATGCAAGAGCCAAGAAGGATAACCCAGATATCTTGGGCCGCGGCACAGATGATACTGCCAATCAACGCATGAACGGTGCTGACCATCATGACATTCTTTCGGCCATGGAAATCGGAGAGAAATCCTAGTGTTGTCAGGTTACCCCTTTGCTGCAGAAAGTGAATGGGGTGAAAGCATTATTACCGCCAAGAGCCCAACCGACAATACTCGATACATTTCCAGTCAAGTTGATCCAGTAATAGTATGGCTTAGGCCCTATAGTACTAGTGAGCTCTCTATGCTATTGGATGCAGAGTTAGGTTTAGATTACCTAAGTCCTCATTGATGGCGGACAGCAGCTGTCCGGGGAGAAGGGCGGCTTCTTGCAAGGCGATATATGCTAGCACGATACCCTGAAAGGACTTTGATTAGATGTTTCGTGAATGGCATTTCGAAGAATACATACAGTCAGTCCTAAGCACATTCCCAATCCGTTTTCGACGGTGCCGTGACCGTATTGGGTGGTGAGATGGCTTCCTCGACATGCTCAGGCGATGACGCCCTTCGCTTTTCGATATCTCGTGTGACGTGATCCATGATTGCGAATAATAAATATGAATCAATATGGTGTGACTCCAACGATTCCAAGAGAAGAGTAAGATTCAAAGTTAAAAAGGATCTGGGAGAGCTTTTCAGATATAGCGGCTCCATGCGTCAGTGCACTCAGCATCCCAGCATTCGGATGCTCGGAGTATAGCGAACATACATGGCTCCCACATGTCGACCAACTCTGCTGCGAATGTTGATGCCACGATACAGCCCAATTAACGGATCTTTGTCTGCCGTAAGCAGTTTATCAAATCGCCGAATTACTCAAAAGGGATATCGTCTGATCTTCGACAAGGTATTGAAAGCTAAGATCTTCGGCTATCATGTCATCTGACGTCGTGGGGAATGGGGTTGCACGTTTGGGGTGTAGTAGAGTGGGGGGGGCATATCTAGTATAGCGTGGGAATAAGCACTCATGCGTTCCGTGAACGTAGATCACCACGCGACTATGATCCTATCACCTCGACTGATCATCCTTCTCTACCGCAATACGCCGGGAGGCTGCAGCGGGTGGCTGATAATCCCGGGGTTGACATTGGTGTCTGGCAATTTTCGGAGATGCAATATTCGAGCACCCATATTGTGAAGGAACTCGGTGCGGTATCTGAGTATTATGGTGAGAGTAATTCCGCCTTTATTTTTCAGGGGCACAAAAGCGGAAGGTGGAACGGCGGAAGGTGGAACGGCGAAAGGTGGAAAGGCGGATCCGTAGAGCAAATCCTCGATGCCGCAACTTGTTCGTGTCGGCCCTAAACTTTCAATCCGCGTCGTCGTCGTTACTTACAGGGTTTGGTTTGTAGGACTGAGCCTGGGAGGAAGGAAAAGTCCTTAGATTAATCTATCATCGGAAGCGTCAGCTGCCAATGCAGTCTACTCAAGGACCAATCAAGAAACCTTGGTTCGAGGTCTCGTTTCGTTAGCAGCTACAAAGGTATATTAGCCAAATCTTTCGAAATGGAAAAATAAAACACAATTCTGAAGATCTGTTATAGCCTCAGAACGAATATGAGGTCAGGTGTTAATAGACCAGTGACAGCGGAAGCGATTATGATATAGTGGAAAGCTTGATAGAAATATACGTAGGGTTGATCCAAGTATTACTCACAGATACCCATTACAGTCCTTACCAACTGAAGCTCTCCTCTACAAGCGTCAATTTAACGTCTCTTTCTCTTCCCAACCTCGCCACAGCCACTCTTACCTCATCTGCCATTCCAGGTGGCCCGCTTAAAACCACTGCGACACTCTCCTTGGCGAAGTCTCCAACAAGATCCAACTCATTCTCTAGAACCTTAGCTACGTTCATTCGCTCGCCGACAAATACCTCTTTCTCCACGCCGGCTAGAACACTCCTCATGTCTTGCACGATTCGATGGGTTTTCGCGACCTAGAAGAGCTTCCTGTTGCCAGGGTGTGCGCGGAGGAGCGGAAGTACAGCACTGATGCCCACACCCCCTGCGATGGCTATAAGGAGGGAGTGCGAGGAGAGATCTTCGTGTGGTCCGTAAGGTGATTCGACAAGCACTGGTATAGATGACAGAGAGCGAAGTTGGGCTGTCAAGTCACCTCGGGTACGTAGGAGAAAGGTAAGCCCGATCTTAGAATTTCTATTCGCTTCTTGTGGTGCAGCTCGATGATATCCCGGGAGGTCTGCGATGTTGAGGTTTGTACTGGATGCTTCTCGATATCTGAAGCCAGTGCCTCGTGACGGCTAGTAGTACTGGTTTGGTGCGTTGCAGCCGGAAGAACGGTGGACGCGACGGAGAAAGGATGGTTTTCCCACACGCGCCACGTGAGAGTTGGGAAGTAGAGGTAGGCATGACCGTTCCCGCTAACACCTTCGACATCAACGCGGAGATAGTCGTCGTCAATCACGGTCACAGTTGCAGTGCGGAGCCCGTTCCTCACGAGCTTTGCCAACCGCATCATGCGCTCAAATGCCCAGACGGCCATTGCCACGTAGATCCAGACTTCGTAGCCCCACTGGTGGCCAAAACGATAGTCGATATGGAGGTAACAGCCTGTGGCGACGAGACCTGAAATGGCAATGTGCCACAGGAGAAAGCCTTCGTAGAGCTTCTGTCTTAGTGGGAGAATGGAAGTGGGTAAGAGGATTGACATGCCTAGTGTGGCAATAGCGCCCCAGATCCAGTAGGGCATCTTGCTTTCGGAGGAATGCTCGCCTGATGCGGCGTATATCTGTAGGTATATGCAGGAGTGGATCACGGCTTCAATGGTGCAGATCCAGGCAACCCATCTGTGAAGTAGAAGGAAGGTTCCGTGAGACCAGTTGGTGAGCTAGAGGAGAACGTCGTCGCGGCCGGCGTATAGGATCAAAAGCGGCACATTGGCGAAACTTAGGACACCAGTGCGACTGGTGATGTAGCTTCTGATTGTGATGAGACCCGAAGGCTGGAGGATAAATGATGTGTGCGTTGGATTTGGTGACAAGATGGGCAGGCCATGGGACGAAGCGGACTAGGGAGAACCCAATTGGGATGACGACACCCGAGAGGAAGACGACGAGGCTTTATATTATTTAGCTTTCGATCAACAAGACTTTAGTGCGTAACGTACCAATAGCGCTCATGGGTGTCCTCTTGGATCTCGGAAATAGAGTCGACATTATAGTTTGCGATCCAGTCATCTTCAGTGACCAGACTGGTTTTGTTCAATGGATCGCCGGTGACGAGGATCTCGGTTGGCGGGTTCGTGACTTTCGCTAGAGCTCGCTGGTACGTCTCTTTCGGGTCCGGTTGTACTGCTCCGTTCCCAGCTACATTCATCCTCCAGAATCTCTCAAGCTTCCACACAGTAACGCCTTGGCAGTGGGTTGAGATGCACCAAGCCAGCGTCTGCAAGAATGACTCGTCGGTAGCATAACATTCTGGGCCGGTTGAGGCTCCACCCATGTCCATGCTTCCCATTTCCATCTCTTCGGTAGAGCAGTTGAGGGGGCTGCCGGAGATGGTGTCGCGACACGCAAAGGCGCAAGTAGGCTTGTACATGGTGATACCGTAGCTAATGAGTCTATGACCGCGACGGCTGTTGGAGACCACGGCGGTGGCGAGCAAAGAGTTGAGGCATATCGCGACTAGGAAAAAGAGTCCTGGCGCCATCTTGAGAACATACAGCAAGGACAGCGGGATGGGGCAAAAATGAGGGAACTTGTAGCAAGGGTGGACAATTCCTTATAACGCGGTTATTTGGTGTGGCGGTATCTCTAGCGGCTAGGGATATTCCGACTTGGATATAAGCTCATATCCAGACCAATGCACTGGATGGCATGGCAGGCTCTATGCAGCTCCTAGACCATTACGGAGCTATCACAACCGCTTTTGGTGAAGATTTCTCATGATTTTGTGGGGCTTCAGAATGGCGGTGCGACGGTTGAGCACGTTTCTGCACGTCTATGAAATGGCCTCAATCTGCCGCATTCTGAGATGAAGTGGGCCGCTTTTTTGACACGCTTTGATAGAGCTACGGCCGGAGAGGAAGAGGACGCCGTTGATATGTTGATGATACAATTGGTGGAGATGCCTAGCTGGAAATGCGTCGGTGAAAGGCCGAGAAATATGGACGGAACCCCGACCGTTTTGATAGCCCCGAGCAGCTTCAGGCTAATAGTCGACTGGGATCGTGGTAAAGCTTGTGGTATCCGACGAGGCCTTTCGCGCGGGATGTCATTACTCAATCTGCTCGTACAGTCCACATCTCGACCCGACTATTTCACACCTTAAATGGAGAACGTGACTCAGACACTAGGCACGCGTGATTAGAACGTGACGAGGCATTGTCGAGAGATATGAAAGATGAAATAGTCATGGCGAGAATCGAAGGACGAAACCACGATTACTGAGGTATTCAAGACGAAGTATTGTTCAAAGTGACTAATTCGCGAGCGAAACAGTAGCATTTCAATCTCCACAGCATATGGTGAACCAGGAAGAAGATAGCGAAATGGAAACTGTTGGTGTTGGCGAGATGGTTGAACGAGGAAGAAGAGGGGAAGATGCACGATCCAGGCCGAACCGAACCACTCATGTGTCTGACTCGTGCCGAGACTCGACACCGACGCAGCGCCACCACAAATGCATCAGCATCCTCAACAATCATCAAAGTGCCGGACGCGGCTACGTCGTCTCGTTTCCATTTTTCCATCTCTACTTTCGTGTCAGGTGATCGGTTCTATGGCCAGCTCTCTACAGACACCCACGTCACCATGGGACTCTTTGTACAAGAAATTGACTGCACCTGGTATTCATCACTAATTACAACTGCGCCTGCTCCTGTCCAGCCTTTCTGGTCTGCGTAAACTGACCCACCACCGACATGGCGAGTCCAACATTATCACCCCAAATGGCCGGTAACGTCCTCACCCACTTCTTCTGCTCAGATTCATCCAACAACCACTTGGCCAATTGACTCCTCTCCAGCTGCGGCTTATGGCCTCCCTTCCCTACATATCCGGCATGAGCACCCTCACGCTGCTCTCCATCCTTCACCATGTTCAGCCGGAAGAGGCAGACATCTAGTTGCTGGTCACCGTCTTTCGCTAACTCCCCAATGCAGTACGGTTTCCATTGCCGTTCAATCCCGAGAATCATGTGCTTGGCACCTTTGGCGACAAAACCGATGATTTGGACGTGGACCCATGTGATGAGCTGGAACGCGTCTTGCGGATCTTGAATCGTCTGTGTCCCGACAACCAGCACATACGGCCTCTGGGCGCGAGGGATCTTATGTAGGCGAGTGATGAGCCATTTGTAGAAGTTTTCCAACTCATCACCACTCCCTTTGGTGTTGTTTGGGCCGAGCAGCGAGATGATGGCGTCGAATTGGTCGATGAGTGGGTCCAGGTGGCCTGGTGCCTCTGGGAGTGTGCTCTTGAAGACCTGTTCCACCAGTTTAGTAACAACCTCGAAACCACGCGCAGGAAGCTTACAGTCAAGTTCGGATTCTCCGTCAGTTTAGTAGGTAGCTTTTCCGTCTTCCTGTCGGCAACCGTCACTTTCCATCCTCTCTCAAGCGCCTGCGCCACCGTCTGCAGCCCCGACCCTCCAGTCGACCCCAAGACAAGTATATTCTTTTGACTCGCCATTTTGCTCTTTCTCAATCCCAATCACCTGTCAAGTCCTAGAGGAGTATTCTATTATTTTGTAATTTCCAAATCTCCCATCTCGGCTTCCCGGTTCCACGGAGCCGGAACGGGCCGGCTCGTCCCGAAACGCTGTAGCGGAGAAGGGGCGGAACAAACACCCTCGCGTATCCGTGAACTTTCGCGTTCGAGATACAGCTTAGAAATCGAATCAGATATACGGAAGCGAGCGCGGGGAAATATCCGGGGTAGTGGGGTAGCTCGCCAATCCACAATTATATGCAATGGACATCCTCGAAGATCATGCAGGTCCAAAGTGCCAGCTTCTATCTACTTCTCGCTTATCACCAGCAACATGGGTCGCGAAACTCCTCTTACCATTGACGAGTCTAAGTTCAAGAACCTCGCGGGTAAAACCATTCTCATTACGGGTGCCTCTTCAGGCATTGGACTGGAGACTGCGAACTACTTTTACAAACTTGGCGCCAATGTCGCCTTTTTGGCCGGTCGTAAACGACCCGCAACCGATGTCCCTCTCGACTCAGACCGAACGCTCCTAAGAAATATCGATGTGAGCAATTGGGAGCAGCAGGTCGAGGCTTTCGAGGCTACTGTCAAGAAGTTCGGACACATTGACATCGTCCTTCCCAATGCCGGTGTCAACGAACCAAGGCAACAGTTCTTCAATCTCAAGACTGGTGAAAGCGGAAAATTACAACCGCTTGAGACGAAGGTGATTGATGTCGACTTGAAAGGTACCGCATACACGACTGCACTAGGTATCCATTACCTGAAAGAGAAGGGCGGAAGCATCATCATCATGTCCAGTATGGCAGGTTACGTAGGGGTAGACGAGATGCCGGCGTATGCCGCTACGAAGCATGGTAAGTACTTACAATTTATTTTCCTACGACCTTCATTTCATACCTCCTCTTCCTCTTTCTCCTTTATCTCCTTCATGCTCCCTTTGTATCCGGCCTTCCCTTACACACCCCAGGCGCCACCGCCCTTCTACGCTCCCTCTACAAACCCGCCGCCGCCCACAAAATCGCCATCTCCCTCTCCAATCCGGCCCTCGTCTTTACCCCCGGTTCGCTCTCCGAGATGTACGCACCCGGCGAGGAAGCCTACCAAGCCGCCAAGAAGCAACTCGCGGCGATGGGCGTTAAGATGAGCTCCGCCTTTACGGTCACGCTGTCAGTCGCGTATCTAGCGAGTCTTGGCATGGAGGCGAGTGGAGTGGGGTTGCTAGTTGAGAATGATGAGATTCATGACTGGGAGGCCGGCTTGCAGGAGAGCTTGCCGGGGTGGTTCAAGGTGAAGGCGGGTGGGAGGGAGGGCATGGCGAATGTGAGTGATTAGGTGGAAGCGGGATTTGAGATGCTGTACTTGCTTGGATTGAGGTATCGCTTGCTATCCGTTGGTGTGCTCCCGTTCTAGCCGTAGATGCCTAATACTGCTGTCTTATGTGTTTTAGGGAATCTACGGCATGATTCAGATAAGAGATCGTTGTCCTTTGAATGGTTGACAAATGTGTTGAAGCACCTGCGATGAATGTAAGGAGCGTTGGCGGCTGTCACCTGTCAGGGTCCGTTGAATAAAAAGTGACAGTCTATTCTGACGCCGTCTGAGGTGGCCTGAAGAGCTATCAGCCTCGTCAAAACTATGGTTTTGCAGTTTTGACAATGCACCAGAACACCTCAAGCAGTGCTGGGCCAGTGTACATGAAATGTATCAATCCGTCCATGTTCTCTACATTTTCCCCAACCCCATCAATCAATCAAAGGCCTCAAGCTCTGGCCGACGGATGACTGCCCATGCTGCCACGCTGGGCGTAGAAAAAGTGGCACACTCATTAAGTACTCTGTCTCGCGTGTACACCTGTTTGCCACAGTCTGGGGTGCTGCAACAAGTTCCCACATAGTCCAAGCCGAAAGGGTCCTGTCTCGTTCAGATTCCTGAAACTGCATTGAAGCACCCCAAGCAATGGCAGACAGGTGTACACACAAGACAACTTGCTGTGGAATTGGAGTGCCACCTTTCCTATGCCCCGCGTGGCTGCAAAATGCTGCGAGAGCACTTTCCGCCCACATGATAGAAGGAGCTAAGGCAACCCCATACATCCTCCCAAACATGAAACTTCTAAACCAAAACACATCAACACCGCATCCACTACTATCCCCAAACGCACATCCTGTCCAGCGGTTACCAAATTATCTCTACATTCATCCACCCTGTACCCTGCTTAGGCCACGACTGCGTTCGTTTCGAGTCTCGACCCTTCGCTGCACTCGTATCTTGACTTGGTGCAGATATTGATGCTCGTGGTTCTTGGGCTGTTGGACACGACGTTTGAGCAGCCGAGGTTCATCACGCCGGAGTTCTGGGACCGCTTGTCCAGTCCGTTTACATATTTCGCCTGTCGTACGGCGGCGCGCATAAGCACGAATCGGGGCCTAAGAGCGCAACTTTTATCAGACTCTTTGTGTCGGTGGCATGACCACCCTGAAGGAGATCCAGTCCAGGTGGAGTGTCTAATGAAACGATGGATTGAAAGAAAGAGTGTATTCAGAAAATAAAGAAGATGGAGGATGTGGTCGAGGATGAGTGAGCAGAGGGTTATGATTCGGTACTTTAACCAACAATGATTGTTTTTCATCGACTACAGGACCTGTGTCTGTTCCTATCGTCAGTGACTAGCAGATCCCAAACCTTGCAAGACCGTGGCCTCCATCCGGCCCAAGCCGACTCCTCAGAAGCATCTCTGCTCATCCTCGCTGTCGTCGTTATCCTCTTCCGTCCACACCTCCACATCCCGACACCACCGCTCTGGTATCTCGACTCCCAGCTCCGGCCTCCCCTCTTGCCTCGCCCCCATTCTGCACATCCCCACAATAACCTCCACAGCCGCCTCACTCTCCTCCGACGCACAACAATACCCAACCGCTCCCCTCCCGACTCTCCCCCACGCAACCGGCGTCAAATTCTCCTCCAAATACCCACCCAGGTTAGAGTAAACCCGCTCCCTCAACGGCACGTTCGCAAGCTGCATCCCACCGAACTCAAACTCAAACGGGAGAGCCGGGAACTTCTTCCCATGAACATCTTCTTTGAAACGGCCCCTCGTGCGCGTAACCCTGCTATACTTCCACGCCAAACCCATACACTCGCTGAAAAACCGGTTGAGATCCTGCGGTACTAGTACTACGCCCGTGGCCTCACTGAACGACGACAGTAAGACGACGATTCCACCGCTCTGGGCGTATTCACCGAGTTGGGTAGTGACGGTGCGGTACTCGGACTCCGGTTTTGTGATAGCGCTGTCGGCGATGAGGATGGCGATTGGCGCGTCGTTGTTCGTGCATTTTTGGAGATGACGTAGGGCGGTTTCGGGGGTAGTGAGGTGGTGGAGCATGAGGCGGCGGTTGAAGTGGATAGAGAGTGCTTCTGCGAGTGCGTCGTTGAAGTGAGCTGATGGGTGGTCGGGGCCGGGGTAGGTGGGTTCGCCGTTAAGGGAGAGGATCACGATGTGAGGCCGCGATGTGGGAGTGGTGGGGGGAGGCGAAAGTGGCCTGGGCTTCGGTTTGGTGGTTGGGTTCTGCGAAGATTTGTCCGCGGAGAGGGGGTTGTTGCGGTGGTCCATTGCGTAATTGAGTTTACGGTGCTTGCGTGCAAAGGCGACGGAGAAAGGCGGTGAAGGGATGGTAGAGAGACGTAGGAAAGAGTTCCTAGGAGAATGTAATGATAGAGTAGCAAGGCGGTGTAGAAACGTACTAGCACGTGATGTGGAAATCTCAGTAGGTGAAAGCATACTTTGGTATCAAAAGGGCGGTAGAAAAAGGTCTCGTGATTGGACAACCTTCTTCGTTGATGGTGTATTTCCTAAGGCCGGGACACCGTACTTCAAAAGAAGCAGATTTACGCATGGCGTAAACTTGATTGAAGGTGAGTCGCTTCCAGAACAATCTGGACTATCGATTCTGACATCAGAAAGGACTGAGATATCCCTCGGTACTCATCGAATGACTAGAAATGCAATAGTGCATGCACTTCTCGGTCCAACCGCTCTGCAACAACTGCAAAACCAGCTACCTACTCTCTGGTTATTTGGAGTATACCATCGAGACCAAGACTGCATTCAAGTTATCCGGACTGGGCGGCGACAAGCTCGAATTCCACATTCCATAGCCACACGGCACTTCTCAAGCCAGCTAAAGGACTGGAGACATATTTGGTCGGCCCAGGAACAACCAAGCTGGAAATCGATCTCGACATCGACATGCAACTCGACACATCCGAAAGAAGGGGCTCAACTGCCTTTTACCATGGCCCGCTTCTCTACGCTCTTGACGTCGAGGAGGCCGCCTCTTTCCACTCCCCCCTCAACTTCTCAGACACCAAGCCCCTACCAGCCGACGAAGTGAGTCCTCACACGCATGACTATATTATCGAGCCCGCGTCGCCGTGAAACTTCGCGATCGATCCGACGTCACTGGAAGTCGAACACGTGATCTCCAGTGAACCGGAGCATCTTGCGAATCCTATTTCGGCGAGAGGAGTGCCGCCGACAGCGATTTGGGCTAAAGCTTATTCGATTGAGTGGCCAGAGGAGCTGGGGACGGCTGGATTACCTCCACATGATCCGATTGTTGTAGGGAACGCGACAAGGGCCAAGCTGATTCCTTTTGGGGCGGCGAAGCTGCATACTGCTGATTTCCCAGCCGTGAAGGTGGGTAAGTGACGAAACGCTTGATAGGATTCATTACATATACAGAGAATAATGATTTCGGGCTTGATGAACGTTTGATGTGATGGTGATGAGTTGAGGCTTGAGAAGTGAGGTTGAGCGGGCGGTGGGCAGGGAGATCCTCCGCCCGAGATCGGCCCTACCTTTTCTCTCTCGTCCATCGTCAGCCTTAGCACCAAAATATATACATATGTTAATGTCTAAGGATGCATGAGGAACATGCATTTCAATTGATGTGTGTCTAAAGCCTTGTGTGGCTGTGCACATTGCTTGTCACCGGTCAGCCTCATGAGCCTCATGCCTCTAGGCAGCTCAGCCGCGTCTCAAAACTCTCCAGCTTTTAACCTCTCTTCAACTCTCAATACCAAGTTCTCCCTTGTGCTTTGAGTCTCTTCATAATGTACAAACATATTCCAATCCACGAGCGAAATATCAGGGTCCTGCGATTGCTGCCAAACCCCATCAAAACCGCCCAACTCGAATGCGAGCTCATTGAAGCCGCGTTGGATGACCTCCCGCGGTATGAAGCCATCTCATATACCTGGGATGGACAACTACCTAGCTGGGAAATCAATTGTCACGGCGAGAAGTTGATGATCACGGAAAATGCGGATACCGTACTCCGCCGGTTTCGCCGCGATAGTGAAGAATGGCTGCTATGGATAGACTTCATCTGTATATATTCCCATCGAACCACAATGAAAGATCCCCGAACCTTGAGGTTTGCACCTTAGTTTCATGAAGGGTTTGATGTTATGTATTTGGCTAGTTAGATTAGGCAATACATTCTTCTATGTTTTAAAATAAAATCTATTTCTATGCTTTCTATTTTCGCGTTGCCTTTCCTTTTAGTAACTATATATTCTTGTAACGTTATGGACTAAGTTGCCTTGGACGAGCACCTTGTGATTTCTAAAGCCGATCGTAGGCAGAGCAGCAGCAGCGTTGCTCAGTTCTCGGCGATGTTTGCCTACAGGTGGTATCTGCATGAGTGTGCCTGCTCATGATGTTAGCTTTGAGCTTTTAAATACGGCTTCCATTCACGCTGATGCCCTTTATGTGGGATGCGGATCTTCCTGTCCAATCAGGTTGAAAGATTGGAAGTGCTGCGCCGCACCAGCCACCATGCCACCTTCACTACCCCGCGTGCTACGCCAACCCTGAAGCCACCTTTCGTCTTCTACAACTCCCCCAACCTCGACTCTCATCGCAATAGATCTAACGTCGCCATCATGGTAATTTGTGGAGTTGTAATCCGTCTCACGGCCAAGCAGCAGAGCCGGATGCGAGACAAAGCGGCGCCTTCGCAGCGATCATCACGACGCCGGGAGCTATCACGACCGCCAAAACCCGCTTCACGGATCCCGTTCCTTAGAAAACGACGGGAGCAGCGTCTTCAGACTGGCTTGCTCTTCTCACGACTCCCTGCGGAGCTCCGAAGCATGATATTCTCCTACTTCTTCGGCAATCCGGACGATGTGGTCCATATTCTTTGGATGGATAAGAGTCTCACCCACGCACGATTCCAAACAGCAAAGTCTCAAGAGGATGGCGATATTCGCCGTTTATGTTTCAGAGACTCGCTCCCCCCACCAGCCGGACTCTATTCTTCTTCATACGGCGACTGGGCCGCCCTCCTAAGTTAGATATCGCGCTTCTACAGACATGCCGACAGGCCTATACAGAGGCCATTAATCTGCTCTATTGATCCTATTCTCCATCACTACCGGAGAGCCGCAGTAGCTATCCTCGTCTTTTCGTAGCTCCAGAATGGCGGCGGTCAACACGCCACTCTTTTAAAAACATGATTGAGCCGTATTTTCCTAACCTTCGGAGTTTGGGTGTTGTTCTTATGTGATGAGGTGGCCAGATGATCCTATTGCAACTAACGCATCCTTAAAAAGTGGTACCTTTCTCAGCTAGATAGCATTTCGTACCAGGGGAAATGCCTCTTCACCCACACCGCTCCACAGAGTCGGAGGCATTGAGTGTGCAAAAAAATCCGTCTAGAAGTCAGATCTACGCACAGAACATCAGATCAAGAAATTTAATAGAATCCTCGATTCTCTATGAGCATCTCAAATACATTTCACTCTTAGGAGAACATCCTCTCCTGAAACCGGCGTTATAATACCCAAAGAAGGTCTCTTTTCATCCATCCGAGGAAACGGCATGTTCAAATCGCAAAGTCTCGCTCCAAGCTTTCCCAGTACCAGAGCGACGACCGTAAGGCATTCCTTCTCCGCAAGGAACCGACCTGTGCAGAAAGCAACGCCACCGCCAAACGGTCGGAAGCTAGAACTCTTAACTAGAGAAGGAGATACTATGAAGCGTTCTACATTGAAGTCTGTGGCGTCCGCTCCGAAGACTCGTTCGTCCAGAAGCATTTGTCTATAAGGTATGAGGACATGCGCTCCCTTCTAAAGCGTTTTACCCCCAATCACGCAATCTTTGTCCACCTTCCGGACGGATGTCGAGGAGGATGTAGTCCATAAGACCTCACTGTATGTCGCCATTAGGTAAGAGCAGTTTCTAAGCTTTAACGCAAGTTTTACTGGCGAGAGGCTATTCGTGGACGTAAAGTAGGGCGCTATCTCCGCTTCGATCTTTTCTCTCAATCTGGCATCATGAAGAATCCGAGCGAGCACCCAAGAGGCGAGTTTCCAAGGGTTGGAGTTGACGCTACACTTTGTCAGCTTCAAGGAACGGAGGGCTATAGACAATAGTGGGAGACCGTAAACATACGCCCAGTACATCGTCATAAAGTAACCCCCAATATCCGACGAGTTTATATTTAGCTCCCGCATCTGCGGCTCGATAGATTGTAAAACCCAACATGCATCGGCTCGCTCGTTCAAGGGAAGATCGAAGTATCTACGAAGCGCATCCTGCACTGCTCGCCTGTTCTTGAACATCCCCTTCGCAAACACAGCCGGGAGCCCGCAGTTGATTTTCCAGCCCTCATCTTCAAACTGCATGTAAGACTGTAGATGGCTAGAATCAACGTTATGCAGAGCTTTCCCAAAGACAGAATCGACTACGGCTCCGACGAGAACCTGTCGGATCAACTTTTGCAGCGAAAGCACAGTTTCTCCCGGATTGCTTTCGAGACCGACTGTCGTGATTGCCTGGGCCCGCTCGATTCTTGAATGGATATTATGGAGCACCGAAACTTCGAAAGTCTGTGCCTGTGTCCCGAGATGAATCTGCGCTTTTAAAGCAGTCTCGCAGATATGGATGAGCTGTTTGCGGGTAGAATCGTTTGGCTGTTCCCACATTACCGCAACGCCTCTCTCCGAAACGTCGAATTGGGACATCGTCTCACGCGTATAGTCGCAAAGGTCAGGCTCGCCGCACTCTTGTGGACCTCAGTGACATCTCGGGCGGAGGTGATGATATAGTAGGCACGATGGCCAAAAGCTAGCGCGAAGGGCTCACGGGTGTTGCCGAAGTATAGTCTCATAGGAAGTCAGCGTATGAACTTTACATCATATGAGATCATACGAACCTCCCTCGAGTAACTACTCCATCACTGTCGCAGAAAAAGCCTATCAAGTGTCCTAGACCTAAAGAATGGACATGTGAGCCAAATCGATGCTGACTGTAACGCGAATTAGACTCTTACCTGGTACCCAGTACGGTAGTAGCTTCGGGCGATCTGAGCATAGCAGCGAAAATAGTGTGAAGGTCCAAAGTCGCCATGTGAAATAGACTAGAAGAATGACCAGCCCAAACAGAGATACAATGCTTAAGTCCCGTACAGAGTACAGTGCGGTTTCGATGATCAGAACTGCAAACATGACGGGATATGATTGCGAATAAGGGGTTTGAATTTTGATTTAAATGATTTTTTCATTATGTGCATAGGGTTCCCTTCATTTATATAGAATTATCTTGTATTAGGACTATGCTAAGCACCGTCCTTAAAACCCATGATCACGAAGTTGAAGGCGAGGCTGACATCGGGTCTTGGAGCATGTTCCTAAACAGGCATGCAGGCACGGCGACCGAAATATGCACGGAAGACGCAAAGAAGGTGCGAAACTGGTGATCTCAAACAGTGAATTGGTTCTGTATCACGGAACATGAAGGTTACCGGGCATCAACAACGAAAACATCATGCAAGGAAGGGCATTAGCGATTGTAGCACAGCACCGGTACCCAAGAAGCGGCGGAAATCACCGCGACGCGACAGAGATGCGCCAGGCAAGCAAGATGCTACGCCGCGAAAACTACCGTGACACTTGATTTTCGGACCGGAGGTTCTCGAAGTCGGCGGAAGATCTAGCATAGGAGGTCGGTAACGTTACTTAGTGCTTCTCGTCCTTGCAGGGCCGACAGACTGAAGGTGGCTATACCATTCGTCAGCGTTACAGCATGCTCATTCATGGGCCCAATGCCTCTCTAATTGAAATGAAGCCTGTGTTATCTTCAAACATTTGCACTCGAGCAACCGAGGCATGGATTCCATATCTTGAATCTACAGGACGGGACAGTAGAGGCTGCTAAATGTCAACGAATAACCTGGGGTGTTGAAACTGTTGCTTGACGCGGCAGATGTGAAGATCAGATTATGGCTATGATTGAGCAATGTATCTAAGTTATAGAAGAAACCAGATGTGATTCTGGGTAGAAAGTGCACGTGTTAGGCTGCCATTGAAGTTCAACGTGAGATTATCAATATCGGCCGATATTATGGTACATTGATCAAGAGCTTTAAGGAGAGAAACATGTTCGACCCTCAAAAACGTTGCTTTCAGAGCATAAATGAATTCTCCAGCAGCAGCTTGCTGACATAACTAGGTAAATTAGAGCAAACGGCCACAAGACTCCTTTATACGCCCATCACTGACGTCTTTGTACCACTTCGCAGTCATTGCCATTCCCTCTTGCAAGCTGACTTGCGGCTGATATCCCAATCGCTCCTTCGCCTTGGTGATATCCAGAGTTCTGGTCATGGTGGAGTATTTGATCTTCTTGCGAGTAAGTCTAGGGTCTTTTTTACCAAGCGTGAAGACGAAGAAGACCCATTCCGTGATCGTGGCGACCATCCAAGCAACCGACTTGGGCACTGTCAAGACATCCGATTTTTTCATAGGATATCCTGCTGCACCGGCAAGAGCACGAGTGAAGTCCCAGAACGGCTGCAGATCATCATTTGTGATAGCGAACGCCTCGCTGTCAACTTTGGGATGCTCCGCAAGGGGTTCAGTGAGAATTCGGACGAGGGCTTGGGCGAGAAGGATCTGGGGATGGGTGTTGTTTCCAACATAGGTGAAGTCGAAGAGGTTCTTGTTGTCGCCGATTTAAAGCCTGAACTTGCCTTCTTTCGCGTTTGAGATGATGTTCCACGACGTGGAGAAGTCCCTCTCTCCAAACAAACCCGCTGGGCGAATTGCCACCGCAAGCATCCCGCCCTTGCCATTGGCGGAGAGAACCATGTGCTCAGCAACAGCCTTGGTGTGGGTGTATAACTCCTTCTGCTCCGGCAAGTACACGAGCGGGCGATCTTCGGTTGCCATGACCAAGTCGGTGAAGCTGTTGTGAATGACGGACGAAGATGACGTATACACCAAGGCTTTGGTAAAACCGCACTGCTGAGAGCATTCCAACAGGTTTCGAGTTCTGTGGATGTTGACATCTTCGAGTAGCTTGAGATTCCTGACGAGAGCGTAGGGTGAGGCGAGGTCAAAGATGACCTCAGGTTTGACGTCGTTCAAGACTGCAAGAACTTCATCTCGTGACGTGATGCTTCCAGCAATGTATTTGATCCCTTCGATGCTGTTCGAATTGGTGAGATCGAAGACTGTGAGCGTGGAGGCGTCGTCACTCCGTCGCAAGCCTTCGACAAGGTGGCGGCCGAGGAAACCACATCCACCAATAACAAGGACGGAGCCCAATGACTCGTTGGATGCTGCCATGATAGCGCGGTAGGATCTCGTTCAAAGGAAGCGGTGCTGCTAGATGCTGAGGACTTGAGGTGCCTTAGAAAATTAATGACTTTCAGGTACGTAAGGAGGATGGAGGTCGAGGATAATATTAGGACTGAATGCAACGGTGATATAGGGCTGTGTAATGGAGCTGGTGAGGAAATAATTGTTTGGACGTTGGAGGATTTTTCGTTTCACACCGAGTGTTACGAGAAATCTCCTTGCTTCGAGCCGGCATGAGGCACCTTTTTGTCTTCCAGAAGGATTCCCGCGTATGCTACATATGCATCTAACTTTCTACGCCGTAACCCCGCTTCCTTCGGGCTCTAATAACGTTCAGCGAAGAAAGCTTAAAACAGTATAGAGCATAATTGTCCGCGAAAAAAGGAGGCAAAGGTGATATTTTGGAACCATAATTATTGGTCGAGATATTCCAAATCGAAAGTCTTTTAACATAAGTCGGCATTCTAGCTTGGTTATAGAATGACAGACTGAGATGACGGAATGCTGTGCCTCCTAATGCCAGGCCCACGTGCCACATGACTGACCCTCCACCGTTAATTGCAGCAAGGGCGTCCGCCATAGTAGATCCAGAGCCATGGGATATTCTGATTCTCTTACTCTGGTCTCGCAGTGCATGATTTCAGGCATCGAGAGTGCTTTGATGCAAATTCCGAGCAGTTCCAATCTGCTACGTACGCCGCTCTATCCGATGTGCATATCTTGGCAACAACATTTTGAGCCTAGGAAAAGTCAATCATTGAATACTTAGAAGCTTGAGAGCCTCAAAATACAATCGATAAAGTTCCTGCCTCACCTCTAAGAACCTACATCGTTTTTTTACAACGTTCTTCAATATGGTGTTTTCTATCTACGATGTCCCGGCGATGCCACCTCCGCCTGGTATCAAGTCCAACTTCGAGCACCCAGATACAAACGCACCATGGATTCGAGTCCTGAATTCGATCTTCGCTCATCTGGCTTTTGTGTTGGTTGCTATCCGGCTGTACCCAAGGACCACCATGCCGCGAAGCCAGCGCTTAGAATGGGACGATGGTGAGACTTCACCTTGAGATTCCTAGTTGACTTGTCTAAATTAGTCCCAGGGCTCTGTGTGTTAGCAATGGTAAGCCTCAGAAACAGTGCTTTTCTGATTATTTCGGAGGAATATTGTAGGCAGGGTCGATTATTCGCACTGTTCTTATATATCTCGGTAGGTGAGCCGGTTCCATAGATAAGACAAATAACTCATGCTTTCTCAGCATTGGACATTAGATATGGACGCCACCTGTGGGACATCCGCGCTATGTCCTTAACGCACTCCAAAGTCGTATGTATACTTCCAAGCACAGTTTTTAGTATCTTTTTGCGAGGCTGTCTTCAGATTCTTACTTCCGATGACGAGACCTACATCATCTCGATTTACTTCGTTTAAATCTCCATCTTACTCTTGTACCATCGCCTGTTCAAGATCTACACAATCTCGAGACGGCTGATTTACATTGGATTATTCGTTTGCACACTGGTAACAGGCCCTGCTCTAGGGATTTCCATCGGACAGTCCATAAAATGCAGTGGTACAGATGCGATCGGAAATCGTTTCTACGCTTCTCTGTCAATATGCACTACCGTCACAGTATTCGGAACTATGAACACAGCTACCGACTTCTATACTCTCGTCATTCCCCTTAATCGTGTCCTGAAGCTGAAGATAACCAGGCGGAAGAAGATTGGGCTATCGGCGATCTTCTTGGGGGGTTTGATGTGAGTTTATCTGCTCGTTTTCTCGTCTCATCAAACCGTAGCTCATATTAGCATCATAGTGCATGCCTCATGAGCACTACGCGTCTCATTATAGTCATTATCAACTTCAATAAGTCTCCAGATAATCTTTGGGAAGCTGCCATCGTTTCGCCCTTCGCGTAAGCAAATCCTAAACCTACGAAGCATTTCTCGACTAACGGCCGGCAGCATTTTGGAGATGAACCTCGCTATTATGTGCGGTTGTATGACGTTCATCCCAGCTTTCTTCAAGAAGAGCAAGGTTGTCGCTCGCTCTGCGTTTTCGGTGCTTACATCAAGTTCCAATATATCAACTACCACCGGCGATTCCCAGACGCCCAGTTCCCTAGGCGTCGAGAGACAAGACTGCGGAGGAACTGAGCATCAAAAGGAGGGATTTGAATCGTGGGAGAGAAGTGCCCCAACCCTGACCCTTCTCACTGAAACAGTGGAGCTTCCGTCTCCTACGCTTGTCCGCTAGGACTGGTTTCTTCTTTGCGAGAGCTGCGGCGGGAGATATGAATGAGTACGCTAATAAAGGGGATTTTTTCTTCTTTTTGACGAAGATTTGATCCGGCTCGGGCAGTCTTCTGATGGCGAAACTGAGAAAAGATGTGAGGGGTGGATGGTGCAGGTACAGGATCAGTGTTCAATCTTTTAGCGAATGCTCTCCGATCGCGAGTTGAGCGTGTGCATGGGCGTCGTATCGAGATTGATAAGATGCTTCTGAGACTCATCCCCCACATTAGCGTAATTCGCCATGAAGAATTGTGGCTGGTGAAACGTAGAGGTTTTCTCCAGTTGATCTCGCCGTAAGGATTTCTTTTGAGACTACGTCGCCCATGTTAGCGAGGCGAGCACATTATCAACCGCGAGGTCCTAGCTTTCGAGCCTCCGCTGTAGTGGAAGAACAGACGTTTATCGCACGGTGCTGGCTTAGGAAAAACATAGACAGACCTTGCTTCCCACTCTGCACACGTTCTCTCTTTGGTGGTACTTGAACCGCTACACTCAAGTCCTGCGTGTGAGCTCCGTTCCGCGCATAGCAAATCAAGCGTTCGTGTCTAGGGACTGATGATATATGTGCGTATTATCAGGAGAAAAACCTAGACGGAAGAAGGATAAGTGTAAGTCGGAACCCCCGACTCCAGTAGAACGGCTCACTATGCCAACTCCTCGACTCCAAACACCTGATCTGCAAATGCACCCATTCAAGGACCCCATATGTGAGAATAAATAGGAAATCGTCTCTACAGTCTACTACTTGCCATGTCGTGGCTCCATCTTACGCCTTCCTCCGACTCCTAACCTCACTCTTCTCAATCTCCACAGTACTTCTCCCAGCGGCATCAATTGCCTGGGCCAGTTTGACCTCCTCCTTTTCAGACACATGAATTGGCACTCCATCTACTCCCGCATCCGCATCCGTGTCCACATCCACGCCCTCCACCAACACCTCCTCCTTCGCCGCCTTCTTGGTTCCCTTCGTGCCAAGCGGCGGATCAAACCGCTTGCGCACCGTCTCAATCATCCTCCCAAACCACATCCAGTTTAGTCCATTGAGGATTATATTGGCGCCTAGATAAGTCACGGCCAGCCACAAAGGCATGGGCCTGTTCCCCGCAAAACGCATGATGTCGGTATCGGGGTTCAAGCTGGGTTCGGCGGCCCAGTCGATGGGGACGTCGCGCATCTCAGAGGTGAAGGCGCGGTAGATGTCGTAGAAAACGCGGACGGATTGGTAGGAGCCCCACAGGAGGCGCGAGCAGAAGAAGGTGAAGAGGAGGGCCATGCCGTTGTAGAGCTGGACGGTGGAGCCGGTGAGGTTGAGCTTGTCGCAGAACCAGTGGACGTTGAGGAAGGGGGAGGAGAGCTCGTAGAGGATGAAGGTCGAGCCGTAGAAATTGAGGAAGGGGCGCTGGTAATCACATTTCATGTTAGTACGGTATTTTCAACCATGGTAGGAGTGAACGCACATATCCAAGAGAGAAAACGAACAAGGCGCTGATAGCATGCGCGAGCATCCCCCAGCCGAAAATGTGCACATGCATGGACGTGATGCACAGGTCCCAGAGGAAGTATCCGCCCGCAAACGCCTGTATCATTCCCGACGCCCCCGTGTACCCCCAGATCTTCTCCGGCCAAGTCATCGCCGCACGTTCCTTATCCACCCACATGACCCACAGGGCGAAGATGTTGATGAGCGACGACTGCACGAGAGACACGATGTGGACGTTCCAGTTGAGCCTGGTGCGCCGGTTGAAGCCACCGTATATGCGGGGGAAGAGGTGGGAGGAGATCCATGGCGCGAAGTAGACGTTGACGCAGGTATAGAAGAGGAAAGCCAAGATCAGCTCATGGATGTGCAGCGGGAGCGTCGTGAAGTGGAAGAAGTCGGCGGCGGGCTTGACGAGGTTGGCGAGGGCGGGCGGCGCGGGGATGGGGAAAGGGTCGAGCATCGTATCGGGGTTGGTGGATGTGTGTGCGATGCAAGGGGCGAGTTGCGAGGAACGGAGGTACGAAGAGGGGTGGTGTTGGCGGGGACTAGCTGCAAGAGGGAACTATTCGAGGCCGAGGGGCAGCAGCTCTCCCGCGCGCAGGGCCGAGAGAGGAAGAGGAGGGCGAGAGAATGGATATAAATACAAAGAAGAGCGGAGGGCGGCAGAGACTCGGGGGTTACGGCGGCAGCCTGCACGCGCTCTTTCAGCAGCCGCAGAGTGGACCCTGGTTGGCCGCCTGGCCGCCTGCTAGAATTTGTTGGGGAGCTCTTCCGGCCACGTTGATCCGTCCCGACGACACCCAAATGACTCGACCGTCACGAGCTCCAGCACGAAGACGATGCATCATGTTTATATCAGAGGCCCGCGGACAAGTCATGTACTATCAACCTGCCCGCCTGGGCTTGGTTCTCGCAAGAAGTCACTTTGGAATTTGCCAAGACATGGCCAGAATGGCAACAGGCAGAACAAGCCTGATATATAACGAGGTATTCAAGTGTTCCTGCCGGAGAACACATATCAAAACAGAGCAATAGATGGGCAAGAGTAATAATATAGCTTTGTCGACGCGAGAAGGATTTCTTAGGAGCGAGGTGTACACCCTTGTGAATTGTATTGTCATTATTCAGCATGCAACAATGGCTGAATAAGTGGCAACCTTGAGTGACCGGGAGGAGTTCCAGTTCGTAACGAAATGAATGAGTATGCCAATACTATCAAAAGCGCATACAAGCGGAGAGCTGCCGAGCTACGTTTTCAAGGCTGGATCGAAGCCACAGACACGGCCAGAGGGTTGTAGCATTGTATTGAGCGCAATTGGAGGAAGAGACCAGAAAGCGCTTTGCCACGAGACTAGCTGTTGGGCCATCGCTGGTTCTAGAAGAAATAGGTTGCTGGGCTTGGGAAAGCTTTCGATTCTACCACAAGTCAGTCACGGGACTCAGTTGGCCACTAAAAAGAGGAACATACGGTCGTCGCGCAGACTTGAGATTTGCTTAGTTCTAAGTTGCACATGTGAGGTAGAGGGGACGTGAAATGTTTACCTTCGACTTTTTTGCCGACAGCAAACTCACATGTAAGCCTGTGAGGCTGAGTCAAGACGCTGAGCTGCGAGGTTGAGTTACGAGGTTGCGGTGGGAGCCTTGGACATGCACGAAGCGTCCAAGCTAGTCTGGGGGTCTTGCTGAGTTGAGTTTGGTGGACCCTGCACTGCGGCATACGGAACCGGAGCATACTGAGCTTGCGATTGATGATAAGGCACATGCTGAACTGGTGGATAGCGTTATGGCGGATACTGAGCTGGTGTATATGACCCGGGTGTGTGTTGTACGGGCGCATGTTGGGGTGGTGCATATTGAACAGGTAGTTGTTGGACTGGTGCATATTGAACTGGTGCCTGTTGGGTTGGCGGCGGCGTATCAGCAAGAACATTGAATTGAAACCAGCAATTGCCACACAAATCGTGACGGAGATATTCCGCGTATGCCTCTAAAAACATAGCACCGACATAGCTAGTGCGTTCGATTTGGTCAAGCAAAGAGTAGAAATCCTGAATGGTGCGAAAACTAATGTTGGGTATGCTTTCTACCGATGGTATAGTTGGTGGTTGGCTGGCGGTGTGCGATTCTGGTTGAGTGGCGTTCTTGTGGTCAAAGGTCAATATAGGCGAAGATGATGGAGGTGCAGGGAAGGGCAAGCGGTTCTCGTCGTTGGCTTTTGGATGCAGCGCGAAGTCATGTGACTGCGTAGAATGCTTGGACCCGTGCTGAGGTGAGATGCTTGAAAGAGCTTGAAGTGGTAGGCTGATAGAAGGCGGTTTACTTGCCGTGCGCATTTCATTCCACCTAGCCAACTCGTCAACGTGGCCCTGGAAGATTTCGACTTGTTGCGGTGTGGCTCGGCGTGCTGCCACAAGCTTCATAATCGACTTCAACTCCGGGTTTGTCGTAGCTCGCCTGGCCAGCATAGAAACGACTGGGTCTGGCGCTGGTTGCGCGGCGGCTAGTGCTTGGGCTCGGGTACGCGTAGTCGTTCCGGATGCCATAGCAGGGACGCTTCCCATTGGCGCCAGTCTTGTCGAGCTACTGTAAGCCGTCGCGGATGCTGGCTGGTGTTGCGGAGGCCCTGGGGTTTGCTTTGGCGCTGCGGGCGCGTATAGAGACTCATATCTGACTGCACTTTCTGGCTTTGGTTCTTGTTCTTGGTCCCGTAGCATCGCATCCATCATGGCAACCCAGACCTTCCACGACGCTTCGGTCAAATGATCCGCCTTCTCCACCAATTTCAACGCGGACCTCATCTCGAATTCGGTCTCATATGGATGCCACTCATTGAGTCTGCTCTTCCTCCCGCCTGGGCGTTGATCCGGGTCCTCGATTGACGGATCCAAAATGCCCAATTCATAATTGACCTCCCAATTCTTTTCTTCATTATTGTTCCGTTCTGCGGTAGAGACTGTTCCATCCGACCACGAGAGGCGTTCGGCGACAAGAAACAGCTTCCGGGCGTGTGGTGTTGGGGTCCGCACGGCGAAGCACCTTGGGCATTGGAAACGGTAGGGCTTCGTTGGGTCGGCGCTGCTGTGTAGGGTCCACCAGGAATCGTATGGAAGGAGAGTGAGAGGATAGGAGACGGCGTGGAAATTGGTGCCAACCTTGGACTCCGGATGGTTGCTGTGTTTTATCCGAGGAAGATAAGACTGCCAGGCGTGCTTCCTGGGGGCGGTTTCCGGGGCTTGTTGCTGATGTTGCTGAGGAGAAGTGGACAGGCGGGGGGCTTTGGGCGGAGGCTCATAATTCGTCCAGTCCGCCCGGCGTTTTGACATCTCAACTGATGTGTCGAGGACGTGGACGAGGTATCAATTCGGTCAATGCTGAGTGATGATGGACGGACGACACGATCTGGCAGCTCAACTTCACGCGACTGCCAAGCACCAAAATGCGGCAGGGGTCTCCGGGCATCTTCAAAAGTGCCCAGCTTCTAGCTGCCCTTATTCCAAACTCCACCATAGCGCCGACCGAACCACAATGAAGCCTCAATCCCCAAGTTTTTTATCTTGCTCGTCCTGTCGAATACGCATCCTCCAAAATTCCAGAGTACTGCGACCTCGCCCCTCAACCCGTCGAAATTATGTCAGGCCATCAATTGCGCCCAAACCTCTCATCGATCTAAAACACATTCGCCAGAACCCAGGCTTATACGAACAAAATTGCATCGATCGGAACTACAAATCACAATCGAAATCGTCGTGGAAGATCATAGAGCTCTTCGACCAGTGGCAGGCGCTCCAGCAGAGCGCAAGAGGGCTTCGCGAACGGAGCAACGAGATACAAAAGAAGCTGAGGGACACGAAAATCAGCAAACAACCTCTTATCATCAAAGCGGCATCTTTGAAGGGCGAGCTCAATGAGTTTGAGCAGCGGGAGGAAAAGCTGCAGGAGGAAATGGATGATCTGGCACAGGATTTACCCAACCTCAGCAGTAGACACACTCCCGTCGGCGATGTCCCTGAAGTCGTATCATACATCAACGACCACCCGGAGCCCGAATCCTCATCGTCGGATCGAGTCTGGCGGTCACACATACACATTGGAGCAGAATTGGGCTTGATGGACTTTGCCGGGGGGGCAACTTCGTCAGGATGGGGATGGTACTATTTGCTGAACGAAGGAGCGATGCTGGAACAAGCTCTAGTGCAGTATGCTCTGAGCGTGGCGAGAAGGAAAGGGTGGATGGTGGTGGCGCCACCTTCAATCGTCTACTCGCACATCGCAGCAGCTTGCGGATTCCAACCACGAGACCAAAATGGAGAACAACAAGTGTATGCACTGCAGCAGGCAGAAAAGGATGAGGCGAAACCACCGTTGTCGCTAGCCGGAACAGCGGAAATCCCACTAGCAGCGATGAAGGCCAATCAGACTTTAGAGGATAAAGATCTGCCATTGAAGACGGTCGGAGTGAGCAGATGCTACCGGGCGGAAGCTGGAGCTCGCGGAGTGGACACGAAGGGGCTGTACCGGGTGCATGAATTCACCAAAGTGGAGATGTTTGCGTGGACGTTGCCGGACAATGTTAGCACGGAAGCCTTTACGACTGCTGGAGTCCCTTCATCGGACGTTATTTTTGACGAGATGCTCGCTGTTCAGACGGAGATTTTAACGGCTTTGGGGCTTCATTGCCGAGTTCTGGAGATGCCTACAACAGACCTGGGGGCTAGCGCGACGAGGAAGCGTGATATTGAAGCGTTCTTCCCTTCGAGACGAGAGAAAGACGAGGGATGGGGCGAGGTCACATCAACATCGGCGTGCACAGATTACCAGACCAGAAGGCTACAGACAAGAGTACGGCTGGAAAAAGAGGGTCGCAGATTGGATTTCCCATATACCCTGAACGGGACAGCGCTAGCAGTTCCCCGAGTACTTGCTGCTATTTTGGAGAACAACTGGAATGAGGACGAGATGTCCGTTACGATACCCGAAGTTTTACGGCCATGGATGGATGGCATGGACAAGATTCTGCGGAAAAAGTGATAGTGTTGATGCTGTATTTTATGTACACTCTCAAATAGGAAATGCGACTGGATACCACTAACAACGGCTACTCCACTGAGACGGTCGTCACATGTGCTCCCTATATCACGCCCCAACGCCTGCTATGAATGTCATTCTATGAGGTCAAGTGACTCTTTGCAAGGCACACACGGATCCCCCCCGTGCATCAGTATTGGTCGCTGCCAACCTTTGATCACCTCGGCACGGTCGAGCAGGCTGAAGTCGCCTTTGGCATGGCTATCAGCGGGCAACGGTTGGTGCTGCTGGGACCTCTATGCGACCAACCACCTGCAAATCGCCCCTCAGCTGCAACCATCGACGAGCCACCCGCCACACCAGACGAGAGCATCTTGAAACACTCTACCACCACCACCACCACCACCACCACCACCCGCCATTCCTACGCACGACTGGAGTTGAATACACGCGCGTATTGTTCGAGCCCCAAGCGCGCATTCTCCCTCGGCCGACACCCTCACTCGCGGCCGATCCAGCGACCCTCCGACCCATCCTCCTCATCCCCAGTCAAGACGCCAACGGCCCTTGCAGACGACCTGCAGCCTGCGCGAACAACAACACACCAGCCCTCGCTGTCGTGAGAAACGCGCCTTTTGCACTTCTTCCCTTCCTTCTCGCGACCTCGAATCTCCCTTGCGCCGGCCCATATCGCGATTTCGCATTTTTGGATTGCACTGCCACACCTCTCCTCTGAGCCTTCTCGAGCCCTGACCTCTGACTCCCGCATCACCACCTCAACACCACAATCCTATGGTCTCCTACCCCGACTCTGCCCACGGCGGGGACGCCATCTCCCGCACCCTCGCCCTCCGCAATGCACCCTCTGTCGCCTCGTCTCGCGCTTCTCACTCCGGCTCCACCGTCCGGCGGCATCGCGGGCACCGGTCACACTTCGGAGGGAGCAGCTATGCGCCGCAGAACGAGTTTCCCGTTTTCACGCATACGGGAGATGTCGAGATAGTGGTCAAGGCCGAGCGGGGCGGGAAGGAACAGCGGTATTTACTGCATCGGCTGATACTGGCGCAATGCTCGGGCTTCTTCGAGGCGGGGACGAGCGAGGAGTGGTCGCGGGCACAGGAAGATGGGAACGCAAATGGAGGTGGAACATTAGCCAGGATACCGGAGCAAAGTGGGAGTGGAGGGGTGGGATCACAGGGGAAGAAGAGGTGGAGATATGAGTTGGATTGGGGGCAGGGCGAGGATGATATTCCTATGCTTGTGCAGAAGGTAAGCGCTTTTCCCACTATACACCTCTCAAAATCTCGTTATGGAAACTCGCGCTGATTTACATGAAAAGGACCCCAATACCTCCCTCTTCGGCGGCTCCACCACCGCCGCCCCACCCCCTGCGCGCAACAAACCCTCCACCCCCTCCACTGGCTTCTTTCGCAGCATGGCCAACTTCTCCGCCCTGAACCTCCCCTCCTCTTCCGCTGACCAAGAGCCCATCGACGAGACCCTCCGTGACTACGACAACCTCTTCCGCGTCTTCTACAACTACCCCCCGGCGCTCGACCCCATCAACATTGCAAACGCATACGTAGAATGCAAAACCCTCCTCCACCTCGCTGATATGTACGACGCTCTCGACGTGATAGGACCGCGGGTAGACCACCACCTCCTCCGCTTCCAAGGTCGCCTCTTCAAGCAAATCGCAAAATACCCGCCCTCGTACCTCAAACTCGGCTACCTCGCGCGCTCAAAGGTTATCTTCAGCGAAGCACTCACCCACGTCGTCGGACAATGGCCCGCCGGACTCCCACAACTCCGCAACCAGACCCCCGCCGCTGTACTCGAGCTCATCGAGGATAAAGTGGATGAGCTGGACGAGCTGAAACAGCGAATCGAGGGAAAACTATTTAGACTTACGCTTACTACGAGTCGGGGCGAGCGCGTGAACCCAGGAAATGGGTGGCTGGACTGGCTGGCGATGAGTTTGTTCAGGCAATGGGTAGCGGAGAATACGACGCCGCCGCCTGCGCCTATTTTGAAGTCACCGCCGACGAATGGGGGGCATTCGAGGAGTGGGTCGAGGCAGCCACAGCAAGCGACGCCAGCGGCGATAAACACGGGGCATATCTTCCGCCTGCTTGGGACGGGTGGGAACGCTTACCTGCCCCGGGACGAACTTAAGCGGTTTTTGAAGAGCACGCCGGGGCTGAGTTATGATAGGGATACTGTAAGAAGGTTTGAAAGGAGCGTGGAAGAGTTGAAGCATCTCGCGCGGGATTGCGTGAAGCCGCTTATGAGGAATTTTCTAGAATTGGATCTAGGGAGAGAGGGGGGTGGCGGGTTGCCATACTTGACGTGTACGAAGGTCGAGGAGAGGGATTTTCCTTGGGATGAGTAGGGGGAGGATGAGGGGGGATTCGGGATCTTGGTCTTACGGGGTGTTTTTGGAAAGGGGTGAGATGGGATTGTTTTGATACCCTTGTGCTGTATTTGCATCGCATATCTTTTAGGGGCTTAACATTGGTACTATATGGGTTGGGAAACGGGGATAAGGTATAAGAGGCAGGGCAAGCATACTGGTTATGTGTTGTCTGCCGTACGAGTATAGATAAAGAAATAATTCGATATTAGTTTAACCTATCTAAGAAAGAGCGTTGCTAATACCACACCCCCTAATTCCTACACGTACACCCCCTTTTCGCTGCGCGTACACCCCCCTCCCCCCCCCCCCCCCCCTGTCGTTTCACCACCTTTTGATTGGCTCGGAGCACTACGCCGGAGCTCCGGGCATTCACCTATACATCACGTGATGCTATACGCGAGGCTATACGAATCGGCGTACAGCCTTTCCGATTTGTACAGCCTCGCCGATTTATATAGCCTTACGTACGAGCTTATATACGGCTATACGAATCGGCGTGCGGCCTCGCCGATTCGTATAGCCTCGCGTATAGCATCACGTGTGATACAGGTGAATGCTTGGAGCTCCGGCGTAGTACTCTAAGCTAATTAGAAGGTAGTAAAATAATAGGGGGAGAAAAGTATATATATAGGAATTAAAGGGTATAGTATTAGCAGCTATTACGCTGTTTTTTTAGGTTTTTTTAGCAGTTATTAAGGTTATAGGATATTAACGTAGTCGGCAAGCTAGTGGGCTATGCAAGCTAGTAGGCCACCCAATTTTTGGTGCGATTTAGACCTTTTAGCACCCCAGCAATCTCAACAACTACGAGATATAAAGTATAGCTTTAAGATTGCATATACTATCTAGCTTATTTTAATAGCTAAGAGAATGTTTAGAGCAGTATAGCAGCGTAATCCTATTATATTATAGGTATTACTTGATTTTAGGGGCTAAAACTAGGCAACATTTTACTGCGGCTAAACAGGGCTATTAAGAGATCTAAAAAATTAACAGATAATATTAAAATAACCACGGATATTATTA